TAGGAGGAAGGATGGAAATAAAAATCTACAAAAACAATATGGGCAGTATGGTGGTAGTGGGGAGTGATGGTAATGACAATGGTAATAAATAATAAATGGTTACTTTGTGTACACACGCATACACATACCCACGCTCATACACGCTCACTTACACACTTAGATCAAACACTTAATCACTCTTGCCACTGCTGGAATTATGGATTTACAAGATTGCTCACTACTGCACTATGTTGGTTTGTTTGTATGTATGTCTGATTGTTAAATAAAAAAAAAAAAAAAAAAAAAAAAAAAAATGATCATTTTAGAAGAAAATTTCAAATGGCACTTAGAGGCTTTTGCATCTGAACTCTTCATATATTGATTAAAAGCAGCTATACAGACGATCTGTCTACTTACAAATGAGAACAATAGAAGCAGTACAGACGCTGTAATGTGCTTTTTTAGGCCGGATTCACATATAGAGCCTAAAAACGTGTAGAAAACACGTTCTCTTTTTCCGCTAGGGCGGTTGCGCTCCGGTTGGTTCTTGTCACGTGACCTACTGTGTGCTTATGGTGCACTTGCGGCATTCTGAAAAGTTGAGATGTTTTTATCTCGATGCGGACGCGCTTGGAACAAAAAGACGCGCGTCGCACCGGCCCTTATGCTGTAAACAGCTGCTGTACAGTGTTTTTGCTGCGTAAAACATTACTTCTGAATCATGCTTTGGTTTTCATGTATTCTGTGTGCCATCCAGAAACTTACACTCTGCAAGTGAATATCGTCTTGTGGCGCCATCTTAAAGAGGCAAAAAATCTCTTTCTGTGACCTTTACCTTGACTGTTCTCTGCTGGTGGAATGATCCACCTATTAACAATTGTTATTTGAAGTTATTTTTTTAGATTTAGCTCTGTAATAATGTAACCCCTCCACCCGGGTCCAACTCGCTCCGAGCAGGCCTCGAACCCGGGTCTCCGGCATGAGAGTCGGGCGCTCTAACGAGGAGGCTAAAGACTTCAGCCTCTAGCATCTGTCACCGGAGCGCCTCTTGAGATCAGGGGAGTGAGGTTTACTCGCACAGCAACTACTAGCTGGCCTCCGTTACAATAATAAATATAAAATGTAATTTCATGTCACGTGCTTAATTAGGTTTCTTTATTCACTGAATAAAGTGTCAGCTTTTTAAAGATACTTTGATTACGTGTGTAGCCACAAGGACAAATGAGCAGGAATCATTTTATTTCAGGCATTTTATTTTATTGCTGTGACTGGGACTCGTGTAACAAAAACAGTTGTGCATGAGCGCCTTCACCATAGATCAGACTATAGCAGTAGGTTGTCCATCCATATATTGTAATATATTTTCAAACATATATTTTCTAATGTATTGCTATATATTATTCTAGTATATTGCAATATTTTTGTTTCATAAGGGCAGTGAAGGAAGAGAGCATGGGAACCGGATGGGTCCAGCAAAGCAGGTGAAGCTACATGGAAACTTAATGCCAAAGACAAGGTTGAAACATTCAAACATTCAGCTCATTTATATCCTCTGCTGTCGCTCATCAAGAAGTGAGATGATTGACAGCAGCGTAATCCTGATTATTCCTGACAGTCAGATTCCTTCACCACTGCGTAATTCAGATCCTCAGCAGATGTGATGCAGCACTGAGAGTCCCCAGTGGCTTTCTCAACTGTAGCGTAAACGCAGTGAGGAGAATCAGAGGGGTTTGTGGGTAATTGGGCAGTGGCATAAACAGTATTACAAGAATCAGAGGGGTTTGTGGGTAATTGTTTGTGAGTGTCTTTAATGTCCTCATAATCACAACCAGTGTGAAAAACCTGAGGAGAGAAAGAGAAATTATTTAAAGACATAAATGGTGATACATAAATTTAAGATGTAACGTCTCCCTGCCACTTCCACTGTACCGCAGGAACAGCCGAGTTCAGTCTTGGTAATACCAAACCTCAGACCTCCGCAAAGAAACATTTCTGCACAATGCAGCGTTCTTCCTTTTATAGCCACGCGTGGGGTGGACTTACACCATGCAAACTCCGCAGACCCATGGAATTTCCTTGCCATTGGCTCGTTTTATTTCTTTCGAAGATGAGAGGCTTCTAAGCCAACCCCATTTCGTTGTCAAACCAACGTAAGATTTTTCCACATCTGAAGAAGAAGGAGTTTTTACCTGGAGATTAACACTTCTTCCAGATCCAGAGAAACAGAAACAGCGATAAAAGTCCAGAGATGATCAGAACCAGAAGAGCCAGAACCAGAGGACTGATCAGAGAAGAGCCTGAAAGCACAAATAATCTGAGAATCTGATCATCTGAGCTAAATATCAGATCAGATCATGGGACGTTTGAAGTGGGATTGAGCAGATCATGATACTGGATTCACAGGTTTAACATTGCATTCACAAGCCTTTTAAACAACGTCTTGTTCTGCACTTGCTCAGTTGAAGCTGAATGTACCAGCCAAGTTGCTCCTAAAATACACTTTTAATTAATAAAATATTACATTTCAGCCACTAGGGGCATCAGGTCTCCTCACACAAGCTTCACCCATTGATCACATGTTTGTATTTCGTCTCAAGATCACCTGCTGCTGTGGAAACACCCGTGGACGCTGAAGTTTTGACTGCTGAGAAAGAAGAAGCAGATGAAGTTGAAGATGGTGGTGGTGATGATGATGGTGGTGGTGGTGTTTCTGAAACTTTTGTATATAAAGCAATAAAACGATTAATTCCTAAAGGATGTTTTTTTTTTTTCACACACAGAACTTGACATCACTTTTCTCATGATACTTGTTACTGATGTCATTCATTCACACGTTTATTACCCAGAATTCACATTTGCTTAAACACAGACACTTAGCAAACAGTTTGAGTTTCCAGAACTGAAGCCTGTGGTTTCACACTGAATAATACACTGCAGCAGAGTCACTGATGAGCAACATTAAAGTTAAAGAGTTAAAGGATTAGTTCACTTTTGAAAAAAACTTTTGCTGATAATTTACTCACCCCCATGTCATCCAAGATGTCCATGTCTTTCTTTCTTCAGTCGAAAAGAAATTAAGGTTTTTGATGAAAACATTCCAGGATTTTTCTCCATATAATGGCCTTCAATGGGAACCAGACGGTTCGAGGTCCAAACGACAGTTAATAACAGTTTCAGATGCAGTCTTTAAACGACACCAGACGATGAATAAGGGTCTTATCATGCGAAACGATCGCTTATTTCAAAACTTATTCCAAAAATGTAACTTTTCTAAGGGCAAATGCTAGCCTTGCTCTATTCTGTGAGGCGCGTTTGTAACGTCACGTAATACGTAATATCGTTCAAATGGTCACGGGCGACGTAGCCAGAAGTACAGAGTCAGTGTTTACAAGTTGAACGCATAGGTTGAACGTGCAAACCAACTCAAACGCCGTTTACAAAAAAAGTAATTAAAAGGTAAAACAACGATGTCGGACGATTTTGATTCCGTACTTCCGGCTACGTCGCCCGTGACCTTTTGAACGTAATTACGTATTACGTGACGTTACAAACGCGCCTCACAGAATAGAGCAAGGCTAGCATTTGTCCTTAGAAAAGTTACATTTTTGGAATAAGTTTTGAAATAAGCGATCGTTTCGCATGATAAGACCCTTATTCATCGTCTGGTGTCGTTTAAAGCGTCGTTTTGAAGCTGCATCTGAAACTCTTATTAACTGTCTTTTGGAGCTTGGACCGTCTGGTTCCCATTGAAGTCCATTATATGGAGAAAAATCCTGGAATGTTTTCATCAAAAACCTTCATTTCTTTTCGACTGAGGAAAAAAAAGACATGGACATCTTGGATGACATGGGGGTGAGTAAATTATCAGTGAACTAATCCTTTAACTGTAGTAAATAGAGTTAGTAGGACTCACAGCAGTGCAGTTTCTCATTGTTTACACAAAGCTGCACTTTTACTAGCATAAACTGGAAACATACAAACTGTAGTTTGTTGACACACTTCCCCTTTCTAAATATTTGTGGTTTTGCTTTGTTAAACATAAAGAACATCCAAATTAAAAATAATCCTGTGGTTAAACATGCTTGAGCACAATCAGCTGCAAACATGACTCATAACACACAGTGATCTGCATCCGTACCTGTAACTCTGATCAGGACTCGTGTGATGAAGATCTTGTGTCCTTGATCAGTCTGAACTCCACACCAGTATTCTGAATCTTCTTCAGTCACATGACTGATTCTTCCCGTCAGGAGCTGCTGTTCTCTGTCATCATACAGCTGGATCTTTCCCTCATCCCTCCATCTTCTGCTCTCATTCACAGACGTCTCTTTAGCACAGAGATCAGCTCCAGATCTCCAGCACAGAAACTTCACATCACCACTGTGGGATTGTGGGTATTTGCAGTTGATGTTCACAGATCCTCCAGCAGAAGCTGATAGACTGATGCTCTTCACACAACAATCATCTGTGTAAGATCCAAATAAATGTTACAATCACCAGATATATTCATGGATTCTGTCAATAATGCATAAATGACTAAGGTCAGCTCACCCGTCTTAATGTCCAGATCAAACTCAGAGAAGAAACTGTAGTCTTCAGAAACTTTGACTATAATCTTATATTCTCCAGAGTCGTTCTCATTCAGATCTCTGATAAACAGCCGTAAGAGTCCTGCAGATGTGTCATCATGAGCGGAGAATCGTCTGTCATGTTTCCATTCTGCTCTTCTGTTGGTCTTTATTACAGTAAAACACTGATCTGATGATGTTTTACAGACGTCTATCACATGATTTGTGTGTATCAGCTCATATTTGTAGTTTATAATGACGTTTCCTCCTGAATATCCTCTCACAGTCCTGGTTTGTTGACCTGTCGAACACAAACACAGGTAATATTGTTTTAAGAATGAAGTCAGTAATGATACTTTATCTTCATTTATTAACAAACATGTGATTACAGTCAGTGTTGAGTATCGAGATGTTGTGGAGATCTTCATGAGTTTGAGGATCTCAGTTTCTCACCTGTTGAAATCTTCAGCTTCACTTCAGTGGAGGAATCTATATCTTTAGGTATATCAACTGCACACTGGTACGTCCCAGAATCCTCTCCTGTCAGATTTCTGATGGTCACAGTGAAGACTGCTGATCTTGTGTCGTCATACAGAGAGAATCTTCCATTATGAACCCATTTATCTTTAATATCAGTCTTGATTCTGTCTATGCAGCTCAGCCAATCTCCTTTACAAAAATACTTTGTATTCTCTTTATATTTTTCATCATATTCGCATGTGATGTTGACTCCTCCTCCTGAATATCCCGTCACACTCATGGAGCTCACGACACCTACAACAAACCAGCATTAAAACACAAATACATGAATGAGAATGAACAGATGAACTTTGAACTTGCTTTTATATTTTTAAAGTAAATTGAAATTTATTTTAACACTCTTCATCAAATGTTTTATATTTTTAGTGATGTACTCTGAGTTCAAACTCTTACCAGGAATCATCATCAGAGTGAAAGTCCAGATGATCTTCATTCTTCTCTTATTAAATGATCTTCTCTGTTGTTGGTAGATTCAGTTCTTCTGAAGCTCTCGGTGTGTGTTCAGATGAGTTTTGGGTGTTTCTTTCCTGGTTACATGTTTAACATGAAGAGCTGAATGTGTCAGAGACGCCCACTTCCTCAGAGAGAGAGAGAGAGAGAGAGAGAGAGAAAGGGAGGAGAAACTAATATTTTATACGTACACACAGATGCAGAACAGACACCTGCAGATAAAACTCATTATCAAGAGTTATTTTACAGGTATTTTTCACAGACAATTCCATTATTTCAAAGGCTCATTTTTATATTTTCTCAGAAACATGATATTTAAAGTTGTAACTGACCTAAGCGTTTAATAAAGAGTTTGTGTCGAGGGGGGTTGGTTCAGCGGAGTCAGCAACAGGAAGTTTTAAACATCAAGTGTAAGAAGGTTCTGTTCAAGTTCTGTCACTCATGTCGGTTCTCATTATTGTCAGCTACTTCAGAAGAAGAACGAGCATCGATTTACCATGAATGAATCATAATGTCTACACTGGACGCAGCACAGGGCGACACGATCACAGATTATGAATTATCACTAGCCAGCACTAGTCAACAAGGAAGATTATAGACACATCAGGTAAGAAAACAGATGTCATGGACAAAATGTGTTAACATTGCAAACGTGTTATTTTTACATTATTGAAAACTGCTACGGCAGCAGGGAAAATCATGGGTGATTTGATTTTGACGCACCGTGTCGCGCTGTGTGATCCTGTGTTTATCCTGATGGAAATATAAAGAAGCCTCACAGTCTTTCAGAAATACTGTGTTTTAACCACACAAACAGTTTAATATGAATAAAGTGTCCAGACGTAGATTACAGATCCATATCAAGGGTGCAAATCTTCAAAATGAATCAGACTCAGTTACCACCCTGAGTGTAAATCCTAACTGATTGGTTGTAGCAAGAACGTGCTACCATTGGTCAGCTCACTGTAGCCGTTATCTGATTTGTGTTTTTGTCTGCACGTCGATGCTAGAAGAGTTTCAAAATCCACATATGTGTCCACAAGAAGCTATTCACAAATGTGTGCAGCGATTTACAAATGTACGGAAAGCAGAGTTGTGTTTGTGATATAAAACACATTTGTTTGTTTTTTGTGAATCTCTTTACATTTGTTTGTGAATCCAGAGGCCTTCGTGGACCTCTTTGAGAAATGTCATTGTCCTGTAACGTCTACCCGAGGGCAGCAGTTCAAACAGGGAATGTCCGGGGTGGGATGGATCCTTAATTATTTTATGCTTTTTTGAGACAGCGGGAACTATAGACCATTTCACAAGATGTAAACAACACTGGTCCAGAAGCACTTCCTGTTTCAGTTTTTTAACACTACATAAAAGCTGGGATAAAATACAACCAACAGAACATTTAAAACTGAATCAAAAAGTTAAACAAACATCTTTAAGATGTGAAATAAAGAAAACAGTTACAAACTGAAACAGGAAGTGTTTCTGGACTAGTGTTTGGATATTCTTGTGAAATGGTCTATAAAGATCCTTCAGGGAAGGGAGAGGGCAGCCAATAATCTTCCGGAGGTGGTGATGATCCTCTGAAGCGCTTTCCTCTCTGTCTCGATGCAGCTTGCAAACCACACACAGATAGTCAGTTGGCTCTCAATAGAGCAGCTGAGATGATTGAGATGATGCTACCTAAGAGTCCTCAGAAAATACAGTCTCAGCTGTGCCTTCTTAACCAATACTGTGGTGTTGGTGCTCCAGGTTAGAAGTTAGGTTCTCCTCTATATGCTCCAGGTTAGGTTCTCCTCTATATGCTCCAGGTTAGGTTCTCCTCTATATGCTCCAGGTTAGGTTCTCCTCTATATGCTCCAGGTTAGGTTCTCCTCTATATGCTCAGACCCAGATTTACCAGTTTAGTAAACAGTCCGTAAGGAAGTGTAAGACAACTTACGTTTAATAATAGATAATAATAATATTTAAGGGGCCAGATGACTCATCCTATAACTATAACCTCTGCAGCGGACATAAATATACAAACTATAGTGAAACACTATTATTAGCAAGGTAACTTAGATCAGCAGTTTAAGACATTAAATCTGTAAGCACATAACACAAGACAATTATCTTAAAGATATAAACAAGACTTTATTGATTGTTCTAACACATAAAACTAAAATCTAACCCAATCACACGCACACACACATTCATACGAGTTGAGATAGAGTAATACGAGTGAGGAAAGAAGGAGTTTTAAGAGTGAGATGGTGAAATCCCAAGTTTCTATATGCACTTATAAGACATGACCTGAACAAACCATCAATCATTAATTTAACCCTTCTATCGTTTCTTAGGCGGTTATTCAATGTTATCTCAATGCACCAGTTCAGCTAAGAGTATATTTGCGTTCGTCTGTGTGTTGCTTTGGGGATTCCCTTTTGTCTGCTTAAAAGGGTGTTTCCCCGGGTCCGTTGTTTGGCTGGCGGTCTTCTCGTGCCTGAACAGATCATGGGGCGGCCAATCACGCGGTGTGTTAGCGATTGATGAAAGTCTTTGGAAGTTTGCAGTGAGCTGTGCAGTGGAATCGTTTAAACGAAACTTTGCAGAAAAAACCTAACTTAGAATCCGTCACGAATTGTTGTGGGATGATTTTGTATTTTTATATGTAAAGTCTCGTAGAATAAACAGCAATAGAAGAATCAGAGGGGTTTGTGGGTAATTGTGGAGTTGCATAAACAGTTCTAAAAGAATCAGAGGGGTTTGTGGGTAATTGCGGGGTTGCATAAACAGCAACAGAAGAATCAGAGGGGTTTGTGGGTAAATGTGGAGTTGCACAAACAGCAATAGAAGAATCAGAGGGGTTTGTGGGTAATTGCGGAGTTGCACAAACAGCAATAGAAGAATCAGAGGGGTTTGTGGGTAATTGCGGAGTTGCATAAACAGTTTTACAAGAATCAGAGGGGTTTGTGGGTAATTGTGGAGTTGCATAAACAGTTTTACAAGAATCAGAGGGGTTTGTGGGAAGCTGATTCTTGTCCCATTTATGCCACTCCACAGAGGGGTTTGTGGGTAATTTAGCGGTATCATAAACAGGTCTAGAAGAATCAGAGGGTGTTATGGGTAACGGAGTGTTTCTGCAGTCAGTGTGAGGTCTGGTGTCTTTAATCTCCTCGTACAGCGGTTGAGGAACCTGAGAACAGAAAGAGGAATTATTTACAGCTTTTAATGAAGGTCATTCATTCAAACACATTCTTATCAGATATTTTTAACTTTACAAACCGCTTCACTGTTTTCTGCTCCAGTTTCAGATGTTTTAGAAGCTGAATCACAGTCTGTAAAACAAATATATTACATTAAATACAATCATAAATAATGACAATAATAATTCACATTAGTGCTAAAGATATATGAGACTTGCGTTGACTAGTTGTGAGCAGCAGGGGGAAGAAACATCTTTCTAGACTACAATGTAATTCACTGGTAAACAACTGTAAACAATATTCTGACAAATAAACTTCTAAACATTGAGAACATTGGCTGGTTTACCTCGAGTCTGATGCTTCTTGTAGAGAGTCACTATACAAAACATGAATCCAATGATGAGCAAAAGCAGAATCACAGTCACACAGATGACCAGAGACGAAGATGAGGATGAAGCAGATGGTGAATATGATGGTTTAGATGATGATGATGATGATGATGGTAAATATGATGGTTTAGATGTTGATGATGATGATGAATATGATGGTTTAGATGTTGATGATGATGATGATGATGGTGAATATGATGGTTTAGATGATGATGTTGGTGTTGGCGAAGATGATGATAATGATGAAGATGACAAAGTTGGTGTTGTACTATCCTCTAAAAAATAGAGAAAAGCATTCTCTGTGACAAATAGTGTGTACATTTTCAAGGTTTAAAAAATCCAGAAACTCTCCCTTTTGTAAATGAAAAATCTTAATAAACTTTGATTTTTATAAACCTCAAACTTATTGAGAACTACACGAGGCAAACATCCCACCTTACTACACCTTCAGATATGAACATCATACAATACAACCAGGGATTATCTAAATACTTACATACAGTGTGTCTCTAGAACAGACACTCAAAACACGGTTTTCCATTTCTTTAATTAAGACTTTTGCTCTTGTTTAGGGGAACGTTTAGCCATGCATGATGTGTTAGAGTAATATTTTGGTTCCTGGTGTTTTAGTTCTGTTCTGCCTCTGTTTATCATTTGACCCAGTTTCCCATACTGTAAAAAGGAGAGCTGTAAATTAACAGTAAAGGGCTGTAAATGAACAGTCCATTGCTGGCAACCACAGCTGCCGGTAGATTACCGTTATTTTACAGTTCAATTTTTTACAGTCTAATTAATGATTCTACGTGTACTGTTAATTATCTCTCAGTTCTTGTGTGTTTATTCTCCCTGTTGGGTTATGTTCTTTGTCTGTCAAACCCAGATAGCAAGCAAGCATCAATTTATTTATTTTTTAAATCAACGATAAATCAGTGTTTATGTTATCCACATTAAATCAACATCTCTTCTGCACCTGCAATTAATGTTGAAAAAAAATCATAATTGAATCAATGTTATGATGTTGCTTCAAAATCAAGCTTGCACTCTCAAATGAAACACAACCAGTACAACTGACTTAGACACACCGCATGAAGTCCACTGAAGAGGATAGAAGACATTAAACAGTGGAGCATCGGTGCTTGCGACGCCAATGTCATGGGTTCGATTCCCGTGGAAAGCAAGAACTGATAAGAATGTAAATGTGTACTTTGAAATACACTGTGAGTGTCATGATCCTGTTTTTTTCTCTCATTCCCACTATCACATTACGCTATTTCCTCATTATCACACACGCCCACTCGTTATCCTTGTTTTCCCTCCTCAGCTGTCTCTTGTTCACCTCTTCACCTGAATCCTTTTCTCTTGATTAGCGTCTCTATTTCTCCCCTCTCTTTCTATCTGTCTTTGCCTGAGTATTGCATTTCCATATGTGTGCTAGTGCCATCTAAAAGTCTTTATGTAAACACTGTAATCGATCACATTTTGCTCAATCTCAATGAGTTTTCGATCGGACAGGAGACGAAGGTTCATATCCGATCGAGAGAACATCTAAACACTTTATCTGATTGAAAGCCGAAACTGAAAGGAGTGCGCATTTGCAATGATGTAGAACGAGCATAATGACGTGTGACTCGCAGAGCGAGCTGTTGTTCCTGTTGAATAAAGTGTAATATAAATGAGTATCTCATCATCCTATAATCCTCCTTTCACTGAAATGGAGGACAATGACGACCCTCCAGTTCTGCTGTTTAAAACAAATAAAGAGCACATGTTGGAGAAAAGTTACTGTGATCAAACAGCAGGAAACTTTGTATATTGTATTTAAAAAAAAAAAAATTCTGATTTGAAGCTTGTGACGTATAAATGCGGACATCAACCCGGTCACGAGTCTCAGAGGAAGAGCTCACGGAGAGCAGCAAATATTAGAGATTTAACTTAAATATCTCACAATTTACCTGGGTTTCAGCAAGCGATCCACATAGCAATTATGTGATATTTCACACAGCCATGCCAATAAAACTTATTTGAATTTAATTGAGAGAGATTGCAACAACAACAATGCCAAAAAAAAAATAAATAAATAAAAAAAGACCAATCTGTATAACACAGAACTGTTGATATACTGTTTTGTGGATGAAGTTAAGCATGTTTTCACATAAGACTGTAAACAATTGTCATAAGTTCCTCTTTATTATTCTCCGCAAGCATGAGATTGACCCAAAATAACATCTAACATTTGATTTGAGGTTGAAAAAATTTTCAACATTAACTGCGGGTGCAAAAGTGATGTCGATTCAATGTTATTAACATTGATATATTAACATGATTTAACGATGATTGATGGTTTCTTGATATATGTGGTAGCTTTACTATGTGGATGATCTTATTAAAGCCTATTTCTGTGAATACTAATTTAGTTAATGCATAAAACAAGAAAAAATACATTCAGAAAAATAAAACTTAATTTAAAAGGAAAACTAATTTTACCAATTCAATTCCTTGTGCAATATTGTCAGAAATAACAGCATTAGTTATGGTCAAGATCAAAAAGCATCTGGGTTACTCACTCTTTCTAACCAGATTCACTTCAGTGGAGGAATCTATTCCTGTAGGTATATCAACTCCACAGTAGTATTTCCCAGAATCCTCTTCTGTCAGATTTCTGATGGTCACAGTGAAGACTGCTGAACTTGTGTCGTCATACAGAGAGAATCTTCCATTATGAACCCATGTATCTTTATTATCAGTCTTGATTTGGTCTTTACAGCTTGGCCACTCTCTTTTACAAAAATACTTTTTATTCTCTGTATATCCTTTATCATATTCACATGTGATGTTGACTCCTCCTCCTGAGTATCCTGTCACACTCATGGAGCTCACGACACCTACAACAAACCAGCATTAAAACACTTTATTATGTTGACTATGAGGATCCTAATGGCTTTTCAAAAGTTTCCTCAGTTTCTCACCAGGAATCATCATGAGAGTGAAAGTCCAGATGATCTTCATTCTTCTCTCTAAAGCCGTTCTGTTGTATCAGTGGAGTCCGTTCTGTATTCAGTGTTCAGTTCTTCTGAAGCTCTCCGTGTGTTTCAGTCTTTTCAAGTGTTTGATTATGAATATGATGAGATGCTGACTTCCTCTTCCTTTGTCTCTGCATGTGTCACAGGTACAACTGAAACAGAGAAAGAGAGAGAGAGAGACTATTTTTAACTTTTCAATATAACTTTTATTACAATAAATTTAACAACCATAAACATTTTGTCATGATAAATGAATTACAAACATAATGTGAAATACAAGTCTCCATTCACAACTGAACATAAAGCATCTCTATAACATATAACTTCATTAAATCAACAATCCTGGAAATCACCATTACTTCAAACACCTTTACAACATCACTATCATTCATTTGATCTATGATTTCTCTTATGACTTATTCAGTCATTTTCACTTTACTTTAGTATAGAATTAAAACACTCACATTCTCCACGTCTGCTTTTTTCATATATTTAAAACCAAAAATTTTAATCTATACAGAAAAAAAATATTAAAACAATTGAACTTTTTTATAAATATATATTTTTATATATAATTAATTTATGTATTTTTATTGTATAGTATTATGAATGCTTTGGCAATGTAAAGATTTCATGATTTCAGATTTCAGATTTCATGATTTCAGAAGATTTCACCATGCCAATAAAGCGATTTTAATCTTGAATCTTGAGAGAAAAAGAGAGAGAAAGTGTGTGTGTGAGAGAGAGCAGCAAATATACAAACATTAGAGAGTTATTTCTTCCAAATATCTCACAAAAAATTTACCTGAATTTCAGCAATCCAGCCACATGGTGTGCTATTTCACACAGCCATGCCGATGAAGAACATGCCAAAAAATGAAAAAATAAAATAAAAAATAAATAAATAAAATAAAATAATAATAAATAAATAAAACAAAGTCCATCAACAAAATAAGACCAGTCTTGACTTAACACAGAACTGTTTTGTGGATGAAGTTAAGCATGTTTTCACAAAAGATTGTAAATTTCCATAAGTTCCTCTTTATTATTCTCCTGACTTTTGAAAGAAAGCCAATATTATAATTACATGAAGTAGTAAGTGAACACACTTATCATAATTTCACTTTACTTCCGTCTCGATTTCCCTCTATATCCACATTCTTGTTCTATTCAAGTACTCATGAATAAATGTAGTTATACATGTGTAAAGCATTTCTCACCCAGCACACAGAAAAATCCCCAGGGTTAAATTAACACTGAGAAGTGTGAATTATATAAAGACGTAGTGTTAAATTTAATGGAATAATTAAGTGAATAATTGAGTGATGATTGAGCATTATTGAAGACACCTGATGATAACAAGCAAAATCTCTGAAGGAGAAAACCGTAATTTTAAGTCACCATTATGGAGATCAGTGTTTGCTTTAGTTGGGCTCTTGACCCTTAAATAATTATTTTTAGATTTTGTTTTGGCTGCCGTATGTGAATATATACTGTAACAGCCAGATGAACAAATAGAAAAGGTGATCTGGTGGTGTTGGTTGTGTTTTAAAATGATCATTAATTGACCTGAATCGCTGAACTCTTCAAGAGCATAAATTCTGAATTAAATTTACCTTATGAATTTTAACAGCACGGTAATTATAGAACACACCATTTTTAGCCTTTTCAATGAATTCCAAACAATATAAAAGACAAAAATGCAAAATAGTTTCAAAATCATGTTGGCACACACAGACATCAAGAATTAACGTATACATCTCAGCAATGGTGACAAACAGATCACCTCTGAACATAAGCTCATTATTTATTCATGCAGCAATGCATGATGGGAGGCATGAATGAGTTTTGATTGGTGGTACCCTGAATGCAATGCAACATGCTTTATGATTGCCACCATTGTTGAGATTCACAGGCAAAACATTGATGTCTGTGTCTTAAAAAAATAAAGAAGAGAAAGTTTTAAGAAATTATTTTGAATACATTGTAAACATTAAAAAATATTTTGCTGTACAAGGTCACTGCTGCTATAATTAATAAAGTAAACCTTACTCAGAAATTAGGCTCTAAATTAATTCAGTGATTCAGGGTTTCCACCTTTGTGGAAGCGGCAATCCACCTGTCACTCGAAGGGCCACTCCATTAATTATGCAGAACTTTAAAGCTTAATATAATCTAAACAGATGAGTTATACAAAAATTCACCCCCTCACAGTTATCATGAAGGGCAAAATTAGCTATATAGACCAAAACCCCTTTTTGCGCTAAGCTGAAAACACATTTTTTGTCTATATACTGTAAGCAGTACAACAGTTAAAAGCTGTCTATACTTGATGTGACAAAGTGACCGTTACAAATCGATTTGTTCTTTGAGTCAGGAGTGTATGTCATCAATAGATGGGAGCATCAGCTTCTTGTCTGGGATTTGTCGTGTTCTGCCGCATCCAGTGCAGAAATTTCTATTGTCTTTAGTTGTGTTTCGCTGCTTGCGTCTGGTGTATACACGATTAGAGTTCCCGACCCGTGGATGTGATACCCTCATTTCTTTTTTTTCCACTTAGCAACGGAAATGGGCGGAGACAGTCATTTAATTAATCATTATTTTTTTGTTGTTGTAATGTTTCGGGTTCGCCACAACCTGGCCCGTGGCTTTTAAAGCCCGGACCCGATGTAACCTGACACATCAACATGAGTTATCTGCCCGAACCCGGCCCGCGGCCCGATGCCACCTCGAATTTTTGAATAGAATTACTGCTGCTACATTTCAAAGCCTTTTCCCCGTTGCTATTTGATTCACGGGACCAGACACCAGATAACTTGCCAAGAAAAATCTTTATTCTTATATCAGGAGAGAAACTTCTAGAAGAGTACTTCTATTCATGCCAGATCTATGCGTTTCAGAGTCAGTATAGTCAGATTGAGCTTATACTTCACAGAGAGACTTTTTCAACTGCCTTGTAAGGTAACAAAACTCGTTGCTTAAACTTAAAATGGACCACATGTCATTCAAATAGATTATATTTGCATCAATAGAAACATCTATACTGAGTGAACATGTTACATTGCACACCTCTAGCAATTTATATCTTTCCCTCTGTCTGACATGTTCCTTACATCCATGCTATCTATAATCTCTTCATTCATTCAACCTCAAACTCCATAAGATAATACAACTTATTATTATTATGAATACTAATTAAGAATAATAATACAGATACATGATATAAAAAAAATGAAAACATATTAGATTAAATTTTAGTCTTCAATATTCATACCCTTTTATCATTTAATGTTTTACTTGAAAAGGGATAAATAGAAAAATCTGTCACATGGAACCTTTAATATACAGATAAAATGTATCAAATATTCCAAAAACAACTCTAAACTAATTTATTAATTAAAGCTGCAAGCAGCGATGGGCGGGCCCTCGCACCTGTAGCACGTCGGGGTGTGAGGCGGCCGCGTTTCATTTTCTGCAGCTCAGCCAGTGCTGCTGTGCATTTGCCACACTGCTTCGTTAAAGGCCACTTCCTGTTGCCAGCAGGTGGCGCTATGACTGTGGGTGAATGTCGGCATGTAGATTTGATCAGGGCGGGACTCTTGTCAAATGTGTTAAATTTCGTGCAGATCTGGGCATTTACAGCCAAGTTACTACAACTTCCTGTTTCATGGCGAATCATGGACGACATCGACGAAAACGCGCAGATAGCACAACTTTTCATCGTCAATGCCTTTAGAAGGCACAGCAGAAATTTGAAGGCAATCCGACTAAAGCCCTAGGAGGAGTTAGTTAAAGTACGTAATGAGTAAATCATCCAAAAATGGGGGTAAAATTAGAAATGGCTGACTTCCTGTTGAGTTTAGGGCATCGCTCCAAGAGACTTTTCTGTGCGTCTGGACATGGTAGATGTACCACAGAAATTTCGTACATGTCGGTCAAACATGCGACGGGGGCTGCTTCGTTAAATGTCACTTCCTCTTGCCACTAGGTGGCGCTATGAATGTGGGTGAATGTCGGCATGTAGATTTGTTCAGGACGGGACTCTTGTCAAATGTGTAAAATTTCGTGTAGATCTGGGCATTTACAGCCAAGTTACTACAACTTCCTGTTTCATGGCGAATCATCGACGCCACGGACACGCCCATCGACGAAAACGCGCAGATAGCACAACTTTACATCGTCAATGCCTTTAGAAGGTACAGCAGAAATTTGAAGTTGATCCGACTAAATCCCTAGGAGGAGTTCGTTAAAGTACGGAGTGTGTAAATCGTCCCAAATCGGTCGCCGAATTCAAAATGGCGGACTTCCTGTCGAGTTTAGGGTATGGGTTCTTGAGGCTTTTTTGTGCGTCTGGTCATGGTAGATGTACCACAGAAATTTCGTACATGTCGGTCAAACAAGCGGCGGGGGCTGCTTCGTTAAAGGTCACTTCCTGTTGCCAGCAGGTGGCGCTATGACTGTGGTTGAATGTCGGCATGTAGATTTGTTCAGGGCGTGACTCTTGTCAAATGTGTAAAATTTCGTGCAGATCTGGGCATTTACAGCCAAGTTAGTACAACTTCCTGTTTCATGGCGAATCTTCGACGCCACGGACACGCCCATCGACGAAAACGCGCAGATAGCACAACTTTACATCGTCAATGCCTTTAGAAGGCACAGCAGAAATTTTAAGTCGATCCGACTAAATCCCTAGGAGGAGTTCGTTAAAGTACGGAGTCTGTAAATCGTCCAAAAATGGCCGCCAAATTCAAAATGGCGGACCTCCTGTCGAGTTTAGGGTATGGGTTCTTGAGGCTTTTTTGTGCGTCTTGATATGATACATGTCCCCACCAAATTTCGTGCATGTAGGTTGAACGTGGACGAGGGGCTAATTTTTTCCAATTTTCTAGGTGGCGCTAGCGTGCCATTTTGCCCCGCCCATCTGCGAAACCCACAAAATACGAAATTTTTCACCAGTCCTGACATGCGTGCCAAATTTGGTGAGTTTTTGAGCATGTTGCGGCCCCGAAAATGGCGCTTACTTTGCAGAAAAAAGAAAAAAATAAAAAATTAAAGCTGCAAGCAGCGATGGGCGGGCCCTCGCACCTGTAGCACGTCGGGGTCTGAGGCGGCCGCGTTTCATTTTCTGCAGCTCAGCCAGTGCGGCTGTGCATTTGCCACACTGCTTCGTTAAAGGCCACTTCCTGTTGCCAGCAGGTGGCGCTATGACTGTGGGTGAATGTCGGCATGTAGATTTGATCAGGGCGGGACTCTTGTCAAATGTGTTAAATTTCGTGCAGATCTGGGCATTTACAGCCAAGTTACTACAACTTCCTGTTTCATGGCGAATCATCGACGCCACGGACACGCCCATCGACGAAAACGCGTAGATAGCACAACTTTTCATCGTCAATGCCTTTAGAAGGCACAGCAGAAATTTGAAGGCGATCCGACTAAAGCCCTAGGAGGAGTTAGTTAAAGTACGTAATGAGTAAATCATCCAAAAATGGCGGTAAAATTAGAAATGGCTGACTTCCTGTTGAGTTTAGGGCATCGCTCCAAGAGACTTTTCTTTGCGTCTGGACATGGTAGATGTACCACAGAAATTTCGTACATGTCGGTCAAACATGCGACGGGGGCTGCTTCGTTAAATGTCACTTCCTCTTGCCACTAGGTGGCGCTATGAATGTGGGTGAATGTCGGCATGTAGATTTGTTCAGGACGGGACTCTTGTCAAATGTGTAAAATTTCGTGTAGATCTGGGCATTTACAGCCAAGTTACTACAACTTCCTGTTTCATGGCGAATCATCGACGCCACGGACACGCCCATCGACGAAAACGCGCAGATAGCACAACTTTACATCGTCAATGCCTTTAGAAGGTACAGCAGAAATTTGAAGTTGATCCGACTAAATCCCTAGGAGGAGTTCGTTAAAGTACGGAGTGTGTAAATCGTCCCAAATCGGTCGCCGAATTCAAAATGGCGGACTTCCTGTCGAGTTTAGGGTATGGGTTCTTGAGGCTTTTTTGTGCGTCTGGTCATGGTAGATGTACCACAGAAATTTCGTACATGTCGGTCAAACAAGCGGCGGGGGCTGCTTCGTTAAAGGTCACTTCCTGTTGCCAGCAGGTGGCGCTATGACTGTGGGTGAATGTCGGCATGTAGATTTGTTCAGGGCGTGACTCTTGTCAAATGTGTAAAATTTCGTGCAGATCTGGGCATTTACAGCCAAGTTAGTACAACTTCCTGTTTCATGGCGAATCTTCGACGCCACGGACACGCCCATCGACGAAAACGCGCAGATAGCACAACTTTACATCGTCAATGCCTTTAGAAGGCACAGCAGAAATTTGAAGTCGATCCGACTAAATCCCTAGGAGGAGTTCGTTAAAGTACGGAGTCTGTAAATCGTCCAAAAATGGCCGCCAAATTCAAAATGGCGGACCTCCTGTCGAGTTTAGGGTATGGGTTCTTGAGGCTTTTTTGTGCGTCTTGATATGATACACGTCCCCACCAAATTTCGTGCATGTAGGTTGAACGTGGACGAGGGGCTAATTTTTTCCAATTTTCTAGGTGGCGCTAGCGTGCCATTTTGCCCCGCCCATCTGCGAAACCCACAAAATACGAAATTTTTCACCAGTCCTTACATGCGTGCCAAATTTGGTGAGTTTTTGAGCATGTTGCGGCCCCGAAAATGGCACTTACTTTGCAGAAAAAAGAAAAAAAAAAAAAAAAAAAAAAAAAAAAAATAACCCTAACAGTTTCAATAGGGTCCTCGCACTGTTAGTGCTCGGGCCCTAATAAAATTAAAGCTGCAAGCAGCGATGGGCGGGCCCTCGCACCTGTAGCGCGTCGGGGTGTGAGGCGGCTGCGTTGCATATTCTGCAGCTCAGCCAGTGCGGCTGTGCATTTGCTACGCTGCTTCGTTAAAGGTCACTTCCTGTTGCCAGCAGGTGGCACTATGACTGTGGGTGAATGTCGGCATGTAGATTTGTTCAACGCGGGACTCTTGTCAAATGTGTAAAATTTCGTGCAGATCTGGGCATTTACAGCCAAGTTACTACAACTTCCTGTTTCATGGCGAATCTTCGACGCCACGGACACGCCCATCGACGAAAACGCACAGATAGCACAACTTTACATCGTCAATGCCTTTAGAAGGCACATCAGAAATGTGATGTCGATCCGACTAAAGCCCTAGGAGGAGTTAGTTAAAGTACGTAATGAGTAAATCATCCAAAAATGGCGGTAAAATTAGAAATGGCTGACTTCCTGTTGAGTTTAGGGCATCGCTCCAAGAGACTTTTCTGTGCGTCTGGACATGGTAGATGTACCACAGAAATTTCGTACATGTCGGTCAAACATGCGACGGGGGCTGCTTCGTTAAATGTCACTTCCTCTTGCCACTAGGTGGCGCTATGAATGTGGGTGAATGTCGGCATGTAGATTTGTTCAGGGCGGGACTCTTGTCAAATGTGTAAAATTTCGTGTAGATCTGGGCATTTACAGCCAAGTTACTACAACTTCCTGTTTCATGGCGAATCATCGACGCCACGGACACGCCCATCGACGAAAACGCGCAGATAGCACAACTTTACATCGTCAATGCCTTTAGAAGGTACAACAGAAATTTGAAGTTGATCCGACTAAATCCCTAGGAGGAGTTCGTTAAAGTACGGAGTGTGTAAATCGTCCCAAATCGGTCGCCGAATTCAAAATGGCGGACTTCCTGTCGAGTTTAGGGTATGGGTTCTTGAGGCTTTTTTGTGCGTCTGGTCATGGTAGATGTACCACAGAAATTTCGTACATGTCGGTCAAACAAGCGGCGGGGGCTGCTTCGTTAAAGGTCACTTCCTGTTGCCAGCAGGTGGCGCTATGACTGTGGGTGAATGTCGGCATGTAGATTTGTTCAGGGCGGGACTCTTGTCAAATGTGTCAAATTTCGTGCAGATCTGGGCATTTACAGCCAAGTTACTACAACTTCCTGTTTCATGGCGAATCTTCGACGCCACGGACACGCCCATCGACGAAAACGCGCAGATAGCACAACTTTACATCGTCAATGCCTTTAGAAGGCAGAGCAGAAATTTTAAGTCGATCCGACTAAATCCCTAGGAGGAGTTCGTTAAAGTACGGAGTCTGTAAATCGTCCAAAAATGGCCGCCAAATTCAAAATGGCGGACCTCCTGTCGAGTTTAGGGTATGGGTTCTTGAGGCTTTTTTGTGCGTCTTGATATGATACACGTCCCTACCAAATTTCGTGCATGTAGGTTGAACGTGGACGAGGGGCTAATTTTTTCCAATTTTCTAGGTGGCGCTAGCGTGCCATTTTGCCCCGCCCATCTGCGAAACCCACAAAATACGAAATTTTTCACCAGTCCTGACATGCGTGCCAAATTTGGTGAGTTTTTGAGCATGTTGCGGCCCCGAAAATGGCACTTACTTTGCAGAAAAAAGAAAAAAAAAAATAATCCTAACAGTTTCAATAGGGTCCTCGCACTGTTAGTGCTCGGGCCCTAAAAATAACCCTAACAGTTTCAATAGGGTCCTCGCACTGTTAGTGCTCGGGCCCTAATTACACATTAACTGTTTCTTCATGTCACTCTAATATAATTACTTTCTGCAGAATGTAAATCCTGAAGATGTTTCATTTTCACTGGTAGTTGTGATGTGGAAGTGTCCAGCGATGGGACAAAAGTTGAGTAAAGTTAAGCTTGAGCTTCATCTCACTGCGGTGTCTTGCTGTGGCTTCAACAAAAATAAGACACACATTTACATAAATTAACTGAACAGATGCTACAAATAATCTCAGAAAAAAAAAAAAAAATATATATATATATATATATATATATATATATATATATATATATATTCTGAATCAACTCATATCCAAAGAAAATGCTATTTATGATCTCATTGATTGACTACCAAGGACATTTTCTTTATTTTTTAAAAAAATTGAGAAGACTTGAGAAATTGACAGATTCTCATATCCAGAAAAACCCTACTGGTGAACAGCAGGTCTGGGATGGACAGTCTATGGGAAAAACACATTGATTATTAATGATCTGACTTTTGACTGCAACTCTTTAGCACGTGTAGATTCAGATATTTCTCTTACTGTGAGTGTGTCGTACAGGTCAGATGATCTGGTGTTGAGATCAAGAGATGTATATGTGTCTTCACTGGGATCAGTTCTGGGATCAGTTCTGGGATCAGTTCTGGGATCAGTTCTGGGATCAGTTCTAGGATCAGTTCTGGGATCAGTTCTGGGATCAGTTCTGGGATCAGTTCTGGGATCAGTTCTGGGATCAGTTCTAGGATCAGTTCTAGGATAGTTCTACAGGGAAACAGAGAATCACTATCACCACAACACAAGAGATTTTGCAGGACAATCAAAAGTGTAATCACTCCAGTGTTTCTTCTCTCAAAATCCCGTAAAATCTTGAGTGTGGTATATATTCTACATGTACAAGCTGTAATTGATTCTGTGGTTCTGTGGCCATCTCACCTCATACTCGTCTATTGCAGATCTACAGTTTATCCTTTTCTTCTGACTGTAAAAAAAAAATGGAAACATGCCATTTCATTCTTTCATGTAATAATCAAATGCACTTCTGCATTAAGCAAAAGCTAATAATATTAGTCTCTTTCGATAATTTTATATGCACATTTTATACAGCACGATGATGATGATTATGATGATGATGAATGTTACACATGCCACAGTGATCCCCATCCAGACTGGCCAACCAGCAGCAGGACCAACTGAAAGACGGAGAATATCATAATTAAAATGTTGTGGTGACCTTATATACATATAAGTCAGAGATTAGGCTTTAAATGAGTTCTATGATGTATATGATGATCATTTTTAAAACATAATCAACACTACCTGACTACCTTTTCTCTTTGTTCATCTGGCAGTTATAACTCGGTTACAGCAGCCAATCAAAATCTAAAGTTAAACATTTAAAGGTCATCTGCCCAACTAAAGCAAACACTGATCTCCACAATGGTGACTTAAAATTCCGGTTTTCTCCTTCAGTGATTCTGCTTGTTATCATCAGGTGTCTTCAATAATGCTCAATCATCACTCAATTATTCACTTAATTATCTCATTAACTTTAACACTGCTTCAGGGTTCATTTAACACTCTGCTCAGAGTTTATATAATTCACACTTTTAAGAGTTAATTTAACACTGGGGATTTTGCTGTGCAAGCAACATGAAGCAAGACACACATCACTGAGAAAATCACCCGTATCTGTAACGCTGACCAGGACTCGTGTGATGAAGATCTTGTGTCCTTGATCAGTCTGAACTCCACACCAGTATTCTGAATTTTCTTCAGTCACATGACTGATGCTTCCCGTCAGGAGCTGCTGTTCTCTGTCATCATACAGCTGGATCTTTCCCTCATCCCTCCATCTTCTGCTCTCATTCACAGGCGTCTCTTTAGCACAGAGATCAGCTCCAGATCTCCAGCACACAAACTTCACATCACCACTGTGGGATTGTGGGTATTTGCAGTTGATGTTCACAGATCCTCCAGCAGAAGCTGATAGACTGATGCTCTTCACACAACAATCATCTGTGTAAGATCCAAATAAATGTTACAATCACCAGATATATTCATGGATTCTGTCAATAATGCATAAATGACTAAGGTCAGCTCACCCGTCTTAATGTCCAGATCAAACTCAGAGAAGAAACTGTAGTCTTCAGAAACTTTGACTATAATCTTATATTCTCCAGAGTCGTTCTCGTTCAGATCTCTGATAAACAGACGTAAGAGTCCTGCAGATGTGTCATCATGAGCGGAGAATCGTCTGTCACGTTTCCATTCTGTGCTTCTGTTGGTGTTTATTACAGTAAAACACTGATCTGATGATGTTTTACAGACGTCTATCACATGATTTGTGTGTATCAGCTCATATTTGTAGTTTATAATGATGTTTCCTCCTGAATATCCTCTCACAGTCCTGGTTTGTTGACCTGTCGAACACAAACTCAGATAATATTGTGTAAAGAATGAAGTCAGTAATGATACTTCATCTTCATTTATTAACAAACATGTGATTACAGTCAGTGTTGAGTATCGAGATGATGTGGAGATCTTCATGAGTTTGAGGATCTCAGTTTCTCACCTGTTGAAATCTTCAGCTTCACTTCAGTGGAGGAATCTATTCCTGTAGGTATATCAACTCCACAGTGGTACGTCCCAGAATCCTCTTCTGTCAGATTTCTGATGGTCACAGTGAAGACTGCTGATCTTGTGTCGTCATACAGAGAGAATCTTCCATCATCAAACCATTTATCTTTAATATCAGTCCTGATTCTGTCTATGCAGCTCAGCCAATCTCCTTTACAAAAATACTTTGTATTCTCTTTATATTTTTTATCATATTCGCATGTGATGTTGACTCCTCCTCCTGAATATCCTGTCACACTCATGGAGCTCACGACACCTACAACAAACCAGCATTAAAACACAAATACATGAATGAGATTGAACAGATGAACTTTGAACTTCCTTTTACCTTTTTAAAATAAATTGAAATTTATTTTAACACTCTTCATCAAATGTTTTATATTTTTAGTGATGTACTCTGAGTTCAGACTCTTACCAGGAATCATCATCAGAGTGAAAGTCCAGATGATCTTCATTCTTCTCTTATTAAATGATCTTCTCTGTTGTTAGTAGATTCAGTTCTTCTGAAGCTCTCGGTGTGTGTTCAGATGAGTTTTGGGTGTTTCTTTCCTGCTTACATGTTTAACATGAAGAGCTGAATGTGTCAGAGACGCCCTCTTCCTCAGAGAGAGAGAGATTAATAAATAGGGAAGTGAAAGACACTGACATCTTTGCTGATAATTTACTCACCCCTGTGTCGAAAAGAAATTAAGGTTTTTGATGAAAACATTCCAGGATTTTTTCTCCATATAATGGATTTCAATAGGAACCAAACGGTTCAAGGTCCAAAAGACAGTTTCCGTGCAAACTGTTCAAAGGGCTTTAAACGATTCCAGACGATGAATAAGGGTCTTATCAAGCGAAACAATCGCTCATTTAAAAAAGAAATAACAAAGTTTAAGTTTTATAAGCTCAAATGGTTGCCTTGCTCTGTTCTGTGATGCGCGTTCGTGACTCTCCTGTTCGAACTCGTTCATCAAAATGAACAAATTCGATTTTTAATGAGTGACCATTTCGCTTGATAAGACCCTTATTCATCGTCTGGAATCGTTTAAAGCCTTTTGAACAGTTTGCACTGAAAGTGTGTTTTGGACCTTGAATCGTATGATTCCCATTGAAGTCCATTACATGGAGAAAAATCCAGAATTGTTTTCATCAAAAACCATAACTTCTTTTTGACTGAAGACAAATAGAACGGGACACCCTTAAGGTAAATTTAACTCAGAACTCATGCCCTTGATGAGTTCAGCAATTAATCAATTAATGATTATGTTAAAACACAACCAACACCATTATATCACCTTTTCTATTTGTTCATCTGGCTGATATAACTCACATACAACAGCCACACAAAATCTAAAGTTAATGAATTAAGGGTCAAGAGCCCAGCTAAAGCAAACACTGATCTCCATAATAGTGACAAAAAAAAAAAAAAAACGGTTTTCTCCTTCAGAGATTCTGCTTGTTAACATCAGGTGTCTTCAATAATGCTCAATCATCACTCAATTAATCACTTAAATATTTTATTAACGTTAACACTACTTCAGTGTTTATTCAACACTCTGATTAGAGTTTTATATAATTCACACTCTCAGTGTTAATTTAACACTGGGGATTTTGCTGTGGATTGTGTGATGCGTCTGTCACTTTAACGGGCAGTTCTGGACAGCAGCTGTCAATCAAACCAGCATCACTGATGACCGATTCCTCCAGATTCACTCACAAACACACAGGAGGAACATTCATCAGTGTCATTTATAATGAATTAAAGTCATATTCATTAGATCCGACCCCTCTGTCAGCTATCACAACACAACACAACGCTCATTTCAATAAATCCAAGACGTTGTACAGCCCATTACATTTGCCACTAGATGGAGCCGAAGGTTTAAACGACTCATCTGATGAGCAGGACGAACAGGACATTACAAACACAAACTCTAAACAAACTAGTTGAGCGTGGTGAAAACCGTGATTTGTGGAGGGAAAGTGTGTTATGCGGCGACGTCACATATGCAACGTGTAGTCTTTCTCGTTATGTCTATTCCACAAGTGATATCATACAATATCCTGTCAAACTCGTTACATGAGAAATTATATAAAAAATTCACAGACAACATATGTTGCATTCATGTACTTCAAACGGGATCAGAAAATAATTATTTTCTCTCATTCACTTGCATTGATGCTTTTTCAACCTAGAGGTCCACTTGGAGTTTTACAGATGGGCGGGACTTACCAGCTCTATAGACCCCGAAGCCCAGAAGTGTAAACAGGAAACGAAGGCCATTTGAAGGCTAATATTCAGAGGTGTATAATCCAGGGGTCAGAAATTAGAAGTCCTGTCATGTGTTTATTCCAGCCATGAACTGATTGACAGTTGATTTCAGCTGATTTCTGTCTCCAGACTGAAAAACTGATAATAAGCAAATCCAGGTGATACTGAGGAGGACTTTTACTTTCTGAACCTGGACTTACACCTCTGATAATGTGATCAGTTTCTCATCGTGGCCTCACCTGCTTGTTATCTGATTGTTAGTTCATTTGCCCCACCTCATCTCCCTCATTTTCTTCCTTGTTTGCTGTGGAAGTTTTGGGGCCTCACCTCATTCCCATCACCGCCAACCCTGGATTGTGTTTTTGCGCCACGGGGTAGTTTTCTCTTTAGTTTTTTTGTTCCGATTTTCAATAAAGCCCTTTCGTTTCTCTGGTTCATCTCTCTCTTTTCTTCCTAAATCTAGCAGCACACATGTTTACATGCAGATGACCAGCTAACTTTACTTTGTCAACTTTCACTTTTCTCGACTTCACACCGCTTTTCTGTGAATCGTTGAGGGTGGATTTTCCCGGTCGGAGCAGCTTTTATTGAATCATTCCCAGATAAACCTGAGTGCTAACAGGACAACGTGTGACGTGAACACAGATGCAGACCATAAAGTGTGTGATCATCGGGGACGGGACTGTGGATAAAACAAAACTTTTGTACAGCTACACCACTGGTCATTATCCGAGTGGGGACTGCACTGTGTTGGATAGATATTCTGTTGACGTACTGGTGGATGGGAATCCAGTGACTCTGGGACTGTGGGATACATCAGGACAAGAGGATTACGACAGGCTTCGGCCACTTTCCTACCCTCAGACTGATGTGTTCTTGATCTGCTTCTCTCTTGGGGATCCAGCATCGTTTGAGAACGTCCGTAAAAAGTGGCATCCAGAAGTCAGACATCATTGCCCCAACACTTCCTTCATTCTAGTGGGGACTAAACTGGATCTGAGAGACGACAAGGACACCATTAAAGAGCTGAAAGAGACGAAACAAACTCCCATACATACATACATACATACATCTTCTTCCGCTCATCCGGGGCCGGGTCGCGGGGGCAGCAGTCTAAGCAGAGATGCCCAGACTTCCCTCTCCCTAGACACTTCCTCCAGCTCTTCTGGGGGGATACCGAGGCGTTCCCAGGCCAGCCGGGAGACATAGTCTCTCCAGCGTGTCCTAGGTCTTCCCCGGGGCCTCCACCCAGTGGGACGTGCCCGGAACACCTCCCCAGGAAGGCGTCCAGGAGGCATCCGGAACAGATGCCCGAGCCACCTCAGCTGACCCCTCTCGATGTGGAGGAGCAGCGACTCTACTCTGAGCTCCTCCCGAGTGACCGAGCTTCTCACCCTATCTCTAAGGGATCGCCCAGCCACCCTGCGGAGAAAGCTCATTTCAGCCGCCTGTATCCGGGATCTTGTCCTTTCGGTCATGACCCAAAGCTCATGACCATAGGTGAGAGTAGGAACGTAGATTGACTGGTAAATCGAGAGCTTTGCCTTACGGCTCAGCTCCTTCTTCACCACAACAGATCGGTACATCGACCGCATTACTGCTGAAGCTGCACCGATCCGTCTGTCAATCTCCCGTGCCATCCTTCCCTCACTCGTGAACAAAACCCCAAGATACTTAAACTCCTCCACTTGAGGAAGGATTTCTCCACCAACCTGAAGTGGGCAAGCCACCCTTTTCCGGCTGAGGACCATGGCCTCGGATTTGGAGGTGCTTATTTTCATCCCAGCCGCTTCACACTCGGCTGCAAACCGTCCCAGTGCATGCTGAAGGTCCTGGTGTGAAGGGGCCAACACGACAACATCATCCGCGAAGAGCAGAGACGAAATCGTGTGGTCCCCAAACCTGACACCCTCCGGCCCCTGGCTGCGCCTAGAAATTCTGTCCATAAAAATTATGAACAGAACCGGCGACAAAGGGCAGCCCTGCCGGAGTCCAACATGCACCGGGAAGAAGTCTGACTTACTACCGGCAATGCGAACCAAGCTCCTGCTTCGGTCATACAGGGATCGGACAGCCCTTAGCAAAGGACCCCGGACCCCATATTCCCGGAGCACCCTCCACAGGCCGCCTCGGGGGACACAGTCGAATGCCTTCTCCAAATCCACAAAACACATGTGGACTGGTTGGGCAAACTCCCATGAACCCTCCAGCACCCTGTAGAGAGTATAGAGCTGGTCCAGTGTTCCACGGCCAGGACGAAAACCGCACTGTTCCTCCTGAATCCGAGGTTCCACTATCGGCCGTATTCTCCTCTCCAGTACCCTGGCATAGACTTTCCCAACAAACTCCCATCACATACAAACAAGGTCTGGCTATGGCTGAAGAAATAGGAGCTGTGAAGTACCTGGAGTGCTCAGCATTAACACAGATGGGCCTTAAGACTGTGTTTGATGAAGCCATTCGTGTGGCCATGGGCCCGTCCCGAGTGAAGAACCGAGAGAGAAAGTGTTTGATCACCTGAATTGACTGAACACACACCACCATCTGCAATATGAGCTCACCTGACAGGAGAAAAGCCGAGGGTGATGGGAAACGTGTGTTCGAGAAATAATACATACTGTATATGTGCTGTGTGAATACGGTTTATTGGTTTTCATTCATGATTTAATGACAAACGCTATAATACGTATTGGTTCATTCAAGAATATTTTATTGGGTCAGTAAAAAATAAGGATGCTTGTGATAAAACTTTAAAAATATGTTCTTTTATCCAATCTTTGTATCCAAAAATATTTGCAAATACAAATGTATTTAATGACTCTAAAAATGTTCAGTGTAAGTAAAATTGCACCTTGAATAAACTGCTTACATAATGTATGTCTGTGTCAGAAGGATATATCAAACATATTTCAAGGTGAAATACAAATCACTTCAAAGTAGCTTTACAGTCAAATTTATGTAAGATTCTGTCTTAAAGTTTCATTTCAAATACAACAATTAAAGTACGAATTGAATATAAAAAAATATCTGATCAGAGTAAAGGATGCAAAAGATTTTGGGTGGGAAAGTAGTTGCATTTAAATAATCTGTTTCGTCTCATCCATGAATAGTAATTCACACATCAACCACTAGAGGACCCTTCAGTCCTGTATAACCAGTAAAGACACAATACAGCCTTAAACTGCATGAAGTTAATAACTAATAAGGTTTATTGAAGCATTAGCATTAGTTTAAAAGGGGTGGTTGATTATGATTTCACTTTTCTAACTTAAGTTAGTATGTAATGTTGCTGTTTGAGCATAAACAACATCAACAAGTTAAAAGCAAATGAATATATTTCCCACTAAGCAAAATGATGTAAGACGTCTTTTCAACATCTTTGTCACAAAAGTCGGACGTTGAAAAGACGTCCACTGATTAGCCAGAATGAAAGTTTTTATGACGTCTTTTTTGACGTGTTCTGCACGTCCGATATAGACTTTCATCGAACCTTCGTACAAGGTTAAAAACTAGTTCAAATGTGGTCATCGTGGACATGTTTTCAACATCATTTATGGTTTTATTTAGACAATTTATACTGTTTCTGGACCAAATAAACACTCAGGATGCATTACATTAAAACTCTTTTTGAATTCTCTTAATTTGGAAAAAAAAAAATGTTTATTTCAATGTAATTTCCTTAGATGTGGTTTAAAAGTTGATTTTTGTTTCATTTTAAGTCACCATTGTGGTGATCAGTGTTTGCTTTAGTTGGGCTCTTGGTCCCAATTCTTCTCACTATAGATTTTTGTTTGGTTGTTGAAATTGTGTGTTTGTAAAATACAATGGTTATGGTAGAGAAAGTTATTTAGATGATTTGGTTTATCTTGTTAGCAACAGTTTAGTGGTTTTACAGCATATGGTAATGTGTATTCTTTCTTATAATCCAAAACGTTTAATAAAAATTGTTCTGATCAAATCACTTTCAAATGCATTTATTTAGAAACATAATAATCAGCCTGTGAATCTCAATTATGGTGACAATAATAATCCTTGTTGCCCACCAACTCATTAATGTCTCCCATCATGCATTGCGGTATGAATAAAGTATGATCTAAATAGTCTATGTAATTTACTTTTTCTACTTGAATATTCTGCTTGTCACCATTGTTGATATGCATTGACTGAATCTTGACGACTGTGTGTGCCTAAAAGACAGATTTTTTTCTTTACAACTTTTAAGAAATCCTTGATATTATTATATTTCAAATTCTGGGTATTTATGCAAAATCATAGTTATACTGTAACCAACAGCATAAATCACAAACATTAAGTTCAAATGATGATTGTCATAATCTACCCAAAAACAAAAGTTCATATTTTACTCGTTATTCATCTGGCAGGTATAACCCATAAACAACAACTATACAAAATCTAAAGGTAATGATATAAGGATCAAGAGCCCAACTAAAGCAAACACTGATCTCCATAACGGTGACCTGAAATTCTGGGTTTCTCCTTGTGATTCTGCTTTAGGTGTCTTCAATAATGCTCAGTCATCACTCATTTAATCACTTAATTATCTCATTAACTTTAACACTCTTGAGTGTGGACTCATATACACTCCCAGGTGTGTTAGTTTAACACAGGAGATTTTGTTGTGAGGAAGAGCCGTAGTTAACTGACCAGCTTAGCCATATCGCATTAAATATCGCTATCGATATGTCCTCGATTTTAACGTGATTTGGCTCAGCTTGTCAGTGATCTACGGCTCTTTGTAGTAAATGCCGCTCCATCTGAAAGTTGGTGAAGGTGATTTTCTGCTAATCAAGGAACCGGCTTTACTGACAAGATGCGTACAACAATGTCATGCGATATATCGCCCAGCCCTAATTTAAACAAATTTTTAAACTTGTACGAAGGTTCGATGAAAGTATATCAGATGTGCAGAACACGTCACAAAAAGACGTCATAAAAACTTTCATTCTGGCCCCTCAGTGGACGTCTTTTCAACGTCTTTGTCACAAAAGTCGGATGTTGAAAAGACGTCATTTTGCTTAGTGGGATACGGCAGAAGAGCATTACAAAAATAACACAAATACCAAATATGGAAGCCTAATGCCCAAAACATTCAGCTCATTTATATCCTCTGCTGTGGCTCATCAAGTACTGAGATGATTGACAGCAGCGTATTCACTGTAATCCTGATTATTCCTGATACTGACACTGTCAGGACAGTCAGATTTCTTGTGGAAATTCACCACTGCGTAATTCAGATCATCAGCAGATGTGATGCAGCACTGAGAGTCACCAGTGGCTTGCTCAACTGTAGCGTAAACGCAGTGAGAAGAATCAGAGGGGTTTGTGGGTAATTGGGCAGTGGCATAAGCAGTGTCAGAAGAATCCGAGGGGTTGGGAGATTCTATGTGAGCGCCACCAGTGTGAGAAACCTGAGGAGAGACAGAGAAATTTTCTACAACTCTGAATATATATTTTATTATTTTTATACAGTAACTGGACTCACCACTTCATATTTTCCTGGTCCAGTCTGAGAATTCAATTCACCACCTGCCAATAACAAGTGTCCTAAATGAACAACATTACAGTATATCCCATTTCAACTAGTGTCTTGTGTAAATATTTTCACACATCAAATATCTGTCTTTTGCTCGTGTCTCGTTATAGCCAATAGGTGGCGACGGAAAGTGGGAAAACTGATCAAGAAATCTATACATGCAACACGGTACCAGGCGTTTTTTGCTAGTTTCTGCCTGATCCAGTTATCATTTTGATTTCCTGCCCAATTTGTACCCATTTGTGCACCCATGGGCTGCTGGTCTGAAAACGAGGAATGTTCAGGCACGTTTTTGGCATATTGCTATTTTGAGGCAACTAAAATGGACAACGATTTTATACCATTGCGTCGGGCGCACCGACCCTTTTTCCCGTAGTTAAACTAGCAAAACTGGATTGGGACACAACCTAAGGGCATCTGTGCCGTGCGTGCGCTTTTGACCATACACTTGACCAGATCCTCAAAATAGGGCCTTATATTTTATAGTTTTTGCATCTATAGAAGTTAAAAATGAGTTTTACCTTGAGAGTGACACTTCTTACAGAGGAAAAGTAATAAGAGTCCAGGCAAGATCAGAACCAGAGGAACCAGAACAAGAGGAACGGTCAGAGAAGAGGCTGAAAACACAGGAGAAATAAAACAGGCCTGAATCATCTGAGCTAAACATCAAACAGATCATGGACGGAGCTGACGTTTGAAATAGGATTGGCCAGGCCATGATACTGGGTTCACTGGTTTGTATGTTTCTCATATTAGTGGTGGGATTTCAATGACCCGGTTCAAAAACAATTCACAAGTTTGTTCACATAATCACTCAATAACCTTACGCATATATGCAATGCTACTATGTTAACGTCTCCCACCACGACCACTAACCCTACCCAATCTAAGATAGCAAAATTAGTTTTCAATGGCTACCAGAAACTGTTTGGTTTGCAGGATTCTTCCAAATATCTTCTGTATTCATCAGCTAAAAGATTTTCACACAGGTTTGGACCAAATGGAGGGTGAGCATATGATGACAGAATTTTCTTTTTTGGGTGAACTGTGAACTTAAGTTATATAACCTGAATCAATTACAAGGATTGGAAATCAGTGGAAGTTGATTAACTGCTGTTGGACTGCTGTAGTCTTGATAGCCCATGCCAAAATACATATTCAACTCAATAGACTAATTTCGAGCCAATTTTCTTTTATTCACATCATTAAAATCGCACCGTAATGTCACTCTTTACATTGTCGTCTTCTCGGCACTGACTCGGCAGAACTGCGGATCGTACACACAAGTCTTGTACGTGACCATTCAGCACATAGTTATAGCCATCTAAAGATTTATATATGCCCTCAGTTTCTTTTTCCGCTCTGTTCTCTATCAGGTAACGTCAGGTGTAGAAGTTAGGCTGCTTAACCGGAGGGAGCGTTACCGTTAATCCTGTCAGATCGTCCATCATTCAGTGAGTGTGCACAGTACGGGTCGGCCAATCTGTTTCTGTCCATTAAAATGAACTTTTGCAAATAACAATCGCAATCCTGCACATGTGCACATTAAGATAAAATTGGATTTTCTCCAGTCATTGTTAAAAAACAAGCTAACAAAACTTGCAAACTAGCATTAGGGAAGCGGCCAGGATCGCTATGCCTCCACCAAAGCTCCTCCCACAAAAAAACATCACCATGTTTACTAACTTAAAGGTGTCTATGTAAAAGCAGGATTATTTTTGTCTAAATTGTATGTGTTTTTTTTTTCACACACAGAACTTGACATCACGTGTCTGATGTGTTACTGATGTCTTTGACACATTCATTACCAAGAATTCACAGACACTTAGCAGACGTTTAAGCTGTTAGTTTGAGTTTCCAGAGCTGAAGCCTGTGGTTTCATACTGAATAATACAGTGCAGCAGAGTCACTGATGAACAACATTACACTTCAGTTTACCATAGTACAAGTGTGGTAAAAGGGCTCACAGAAGTACTAAAACCGGCACTTCCACAGCCTCCAGATGACCACACCTGTACTAATGTGAACAACTGTAAGACTGTGTCCAAATTACCACTATTACCACATGCTGCAGTCCCAGACACTGCAGTGATACATGACCACACACTAAACTAAAAATGCTGCTGCTTTAAAACTGGGTCCAGATGTCCAAGTACTGGACATTTAAATAGATAGACTGATGCTCTTCACGAGTGCATTGATGTTAAAAACAAATGCATAAATGACAAAGGGCAGCTTACCGTCCCCAATGTGCAGGTCAAACTCAGAGAAGAAACTGTAGTTTTCAGAAACTTTGACTGTAAATCTGTATTTTCCAGAGTCGTTCTCAGTCAGGTCTCTGATAACCAGACGTAAGAGTCCTGCAGATGTGTCATCATGAACGGAGAATCGTCTGTCATGTTTCCCTTCTGCTCTTCTGTTGGTGTTTATTACAGTAACACACTGATTTGTATTATTATATTTACAGACTTTCTCATTTGTCTTGTTTTTCTGCTCATATCTAAAGCTTATATTGACGTTTCCTCCTGAATATCCTCTGAAAGATTTGCTTTGTTGACCTGTTAAACACAAACCCACATAATTTGTCATTTTGTTCTCAACATTAACACATTTCTGCTCACTTGCTGCAACATTCATGATTGTCATTCAAAATTATGAGTAAATCTTACATCAGGAGATAAAAAGGTTATTGATGGCGTCTGTTATGAGTTCCACATGTGAACGTCAGTGATTACAGTCAGTGTTGAGTATCGAGATGATGTGGAGATCTTCATGAGTTTGAGGATCTCAGTTTCTCACCTGTTGAAATCTTCAGATTCACTTCAGTGTAGGAATCTATTTTTCCTGATTTATCAACTCCACAGTTGTATTTCCCAGAATCCTCTTCTGTCAGATCTTTGATGGTCACTTTCAACACTGATAAAGTAGTGTTGTCATACAGAGAGAATCTTCCAGAATTAACCCATTTACCTGTTTCATTAGTACTGATGAGGTCAGAGCATTCTGACTGTTCACCTTTACAGAAACGCTTTGCATCGATCTTATATTTGCATGAGATCATGACTCCTCCTCCTGAATATCCTGTGACGTTCACAGAGCTCACGACACCTACAACAAACCAGCATTTAAACACTTTAATATAAAGACATTTAATTTAATATTAACACAGAACTGAACTTTCTTTAACAGGCAGTACAACAACATGAACTGAAGTAAACGATCAAATCTGTGGTGTTTTCCATGATGTACTCTGAGTTTAGACTCTTACCAGGAATCATCATCAGAGTGAAAGTCCAGATGATCTTCATTCTTCTCTTATTAAATGATCTTCTCTGTTGTTGGTAGATTCAGTTCTTCTGAAGCTCTCGGTGTGAGTTTTGGGTGTTTATTTCCTGGTTACATGTTTAACATGAAGAGCTAAATGTGTCAGAGACGCCCACTTCCTCCACGTCTTCCTTTTTATAGAATACCATACTTAAAAGAATTGCTTTCTATGTTGTTGATACAAAACAGTCCAGCCGAGGTCTATCAAAAGACAAAATTAAGTCTTTATTTACATCCACTATCTCTCAAGTATAACTAAAGACACTCTGATTTTTGGAAAATGGAAAATTTTCATCTGTGTCTCATAAGTTTATAGATCAACCCCTTTCAATGTACTCTCTGTGCCCACTTGGTTGAAATCTCCTCTGTCAGTTTTGAGTAGGGCTGGGTACCGAGGTCGGTACTTTTTAGGTACCGACCGAATTGCCTCGGTACTACCAAGTATCAAAAAATGACTTCTTGTTCGGTACCAGATTTCGATACCTGAGGCCGTGTGTCCACCAAAGCGTTTTTATCCAGCTGAAAACGCTAGACGCTCTGCGGAAGATGCCGTGCTTTGGGCGCTTGAGAGCGTTTTGGCAGCGCAGCGTTTTTTTCCGTTGAGACGTTTCGTTGCTATGATACAGAATATCCGCAGCAGTTTAAATGTTGTGACAGTTGGTCGTGTGGTTTAGTCCCACCCCTCCTCCACTGTGATTGGACACCGGGGAATTTACTGTGCAAGACTGCTGCAGGTTAGTGGATAAATATATTGTAATGACCTGGCAGTCAGTGCTAGCATTTGGGTGCATTATGGGTAATTTTTTATTGAGAGTTGATTTATGTGTTATTGCAGTAAGAACTTTAAGCTTTTGTGATAGTAAAGTTATGTGTGTTCATTTTCAAGTTAGATCAGATGTTCTTGGTTCATTTACTGCCCAATGTAAAAACGTGTGTCTCACCGTCATGGAGAGAGATGTGTAAGGCAATAGGGCCTGGGAGGAGTGGTTTTTGTGTGTTCCTTGTTAAATGAGGTAAAGTTATTGCTAGTGTTTTCTGTTGTTAATTCAACTAATTTTCCGCCTGCAGGAACTTTCTGGGTCGTGCGGTGTATGGGACAAGAGTGTTCTGATCTTTAGTTAAGAATTAATATAGTACAAGTGTTGACAGCGTAGAGTAGCGCCGGTTAGACCTATTTATTCCTATTTGATAGCTACCAGTCATTATAACATTTAGCCTATTTATTATTCAGAATGGAACAGTTGGAAAGAAGATATATTTATAGGAATATTATAGCAGGCTCAAGATAATTAATACGGTTTTAATCAATTGGCATTCATAAAACATAGTGATAATCTGCATTCTCCTGTGTGGACGAGCGATGAACACTCTAACCGGAAACTCCCGATATGTATTAAGTAGACCGCGGAAGTAGTTGTGCAAGTAGTCCATTCTGTGTATAGCTGCGGTCAGGATTCTGTGGTCAAGTTCTCGTCCCGCAGAAGGAGGATTCTGTTGTGCGACTGTTTACAATCCAATGAGAGGCCAGGATTGTGTCACATGACTTGCTATGTTTCTGATCTCTTACTGTGTTCCTCAGAGGGCTGGGCCCGGCCGGTGTGGGGTCTAAACCTGCAGGACTCTGCTTCTCCAGATCCTCAACGTCACCAAGTGAGACCGTGATTGAGCTGCGCGCGCTCACTTAAGTGTCCCCGTAATTCAAGCGCTCCATTCTGATGATGACTGAGGAGTCCGATGATGTCGGAGGGGTCCTGATGATAGCTGAGGAGTGCGATGATGTCGTAGGGTCCTGATGATGACTGAGGAGTCCGATGATGTCGGAGGGTCCCGATGATGACGGAGGAGTCCGATGATGTCGGAGGGTCCCGATGATGACGGAGGAATCCGATGATGTCGGAGGGTCCTGATGATGACGGAGGAGTCCGATGATGACGGAGGGGTCCTGATGATGACTGAGGAGTCCGATGATGTCGGAGGGTCCTGATGATGACTGAGGAGTCCGATGATGTCGGAGGGTCCTGATGATGACTGAGGAGTCCGATGATGTCGGAGGGTCCTGATGATGACTGAGGAGTCTGATGATGTCGTAGGGTCCTGATGATGACGGAGGAATCCGATGATGTCAGAGGGTCCTGATGATGACGGAGGAGTCCGATGATGTCGGAGGGTCCTGATGATGACGGAGGAATCCGATGATGTCGGAGGGGTCTGATGATGACTGAGGAGTCCGATGATGTCGGGGGGGGTCTGATGATGACGGAGGAGTTCGATGATGTCGGAGGGTCTTGATGATGATTAAGGAGTCCAATGATGTCGGAGGGTCCTGGTGATGACTGAGGAGTCCCAATGATGCCTGCTGTAGTGCGGTCAGGCCTGCGCGACCCGTCTCAGGGACCGGCAGAACTCCTCTCGACCCGATCTCAGTGCGACTCACAGGAACTCTTCAAGCTCTTTATCCTCCTCTGCATGTTCAAGACTGTGTGTGTGTGTGTGTGTGTTACAAAACACTGCCAGCAAGTCCTTGACTTTACCCCAGAACATCTACCGTCAACCAGCACTATTTCATCTACAGAGTTCACGGATTATGAACGATTGTCGACAGAAAACGAATGGATACAGTTCCAGTATCATGTATTTAGGAACAGTATTCCAGTATTTAGGAAAGGCCTGGCTACAAAGCGATTAGCAGATCTTTAAACACACTACTGTACAGGCTAAATGGTTTAACTCTCCTGCAAACACTTTTCTAGGAATTGCAAATAGCTAAATTTCCCGCTTAAACCCAACATGCTTTTCAACGCAGTCGCGCACCTCTCACGATAGCAGGCCGTGCGATAATTACGTCGTTTGCGTCAAAGAGCTGTGGTTCGCGTGCATTTCACCCGACGGTACAGCATCTTTGATAACTAACGGCCGCGGTTGCCAAAAACAAGCATAATTTTCAGTGATAACATAAATTATCCTCCACAATGGCATTTGGGATATATTATTTCAAGGACAAAACCGTGGAAGTTGGAAAAATTGATTGGATGAATGTTGAAGACCAGCAAAAATCTTCAAAAATGGTCACAGAGTGCCCCAAACTGGAGGATGAAGATGGATGGATAAATGTTAAGTGGAACAAAGAAGTCTGGTCTTTTTTCCTGATAAGGTGTTAATGTTTGGGGGTAAGTTCGATTCCCCACAATGTAAATGAAAACATTACCGCAGTCGAGCGGCAGCAGGGACCTGGCGCTTTTTAACGATAGAAATATGGCAGCGGATGCTGGAACATGGATTGGAAGTGCCCAATACTTGCAGTTTGTGTTCGTAGCTTTCTTTTTGAGTTGAGTTAAGAGATGATCCAAATAAATGTAACTGCTTTTGCGGAGTCTCTAAGGGGGAGTCGCGGCGTGAGCCGTTGTGTTGGTCTGTTTTGCCCTCCAGGTAGCGCAAATGTCACGTGACTGAAAACTATGAATTAAAAAACTTTCAATTGTCATTTTGACAGCAAAAGGGCAACCTGTACCTCAAAAGAGACAGCAGATCAAATGATTGAAGACCTGAAGAAGGAGCTGGTGGCTAAGCGAGCATCTTTTTGATGCAATGTTGAACACATACTAGATGCCATGAGAGGTAATTTTATGATTTTAAAGAAAAAAAAATTGCACTTAGACAAGATCAAAAAATGCAGAGAAAATAAAGCAACATGAAATTTTTAAAGGAACAATATACCCACAATGAAAATAATAAAATATATTTCTTTCTATTTCCTCCTGATTACTTGGCAATCATCATCCTAATGTAATGGAGTTAAATTGGTACGTGTTTGTTGATTTCAAAGCAACCAAAGAATACCGACCAGATAGAAAAATATAAAACTCTTTGCATCACTGAAAGTCAAAGCCTGAAAATGGCAGTTTCGTACACTTAACTTAAAGACATTGACATTAAAGATTGCCAGTCAATTTGGACCAACAACTTCATGTTGCCTAATGGGTGAATGCTGACAATGTTTTCACAGTATCAGAGATTCCAGTAAATGACCGTCTTATGCAGAACATTCACTTCTGTTTTTACACTTTTAAATTAAAGCGCTGACAGCGTGTGTAAACTTTCACACATTCATGTTTACTGACTCCCAGTCACCCAGATACAGCAGCAAAAACAGACAACTTCAGTTTCTTGTTACTTCTACTAAAACAATCAAGATGTTTAACTAACAACGTGATCTACATAAACCATTAACTGTATTTATAAACGATCTGCACGTAAAAGGATAAAGAAAAGGATAAAAGGAGACTGTAACAGTTGCTCTATCTCTTCTTTGCTGGGCTTTCTTTTCTTGGGGCCTGCTCTTTGGCTCACTTCTTTTTCTCTCTTCTAAAGCAATTCTCTCTCTCTCTCTGGTAACATATAAGCTGGGTAAATGGTGCGGGAGAAGGGTAGGATTGTGTATGATTCTGTCTTATTAGTGTGGCAAAGTTATTGTCATAATACAGAAAGAGGAACTGTAAGCACAGCAGCAGAGTCACAATTACTGTCTTAAATCCACAACTGCAGCAAGCAAACAATAAAAACTAAAAACTGTGTATTATTTGGAGCTCGGTGTTCATCCTGGACCCTGTATACTGCACATCTGTCTTTCCTTTTAAATCAATCATTTTATACACATTCTCTGCAGTGGAGATTCAACTGATGAGGCGGATGAAGATGATGAGGATGAGGACGAAGATGATGAGGACGAAGATGTTGAGGAGGAAGAAGATAAGGATGGTGGTGACAGTGATGGTGATGTTGCTTCTGGAACTTTTGTATATATATATATAAAAAAAAAATGAAACAATGAATTTCTAAGGGATGCTTTTTTCACATAACTTGATACATTGTACAAGATACATGTTTACTGATGTTTATCACACATTGACTACCCAGAATTCATGTTTGATGACATTCAGACACTAAGAAAAAAAAAAAAATCGCAAGATGTTAGTTTGAGTTTCCAAAACTGAAGCCTGTGGGTTCACACTGAATAATACACTGCAGCAGAGACACTGATGAGCAACATTACACTGCAGTATTAAAAGAAATTGTAATTTGTGTCCAAATTAATACTAGGCCTATTGCTGGAATGCCAAACACTTTAGTAATATGAAATTAATTATTTCTTAAATGCATAATGGTTCACATCACTGAGAAAATCACCCATACCTGTAACTCTGATCAGGACTCGTGTGATGAAGATCTTGTGTCCTTGATCAGTCTGAACTCCACACCAGTATTCTGAATCTTCTTCAGTCACATGACTGATTCTTCCCATCAGGAGCTGCTGTTCTCTGTCATCATACAGCTGGATCTTTCCCTCATCCCTCCATCTTCTGCTCTCCTTCACAGACGTCTCTTTAGCACAGAGATCAGCTCCAGATCTCCAGCACAGAAACTTCACATCACCACTGTGGGATTGTGGGTATTTGCAGTTGATGTTCACAGATCCTCCAGCAGAAGCTGATAGACTGATGCTCTTCTCACAACAATCATCTGTGTAAGATCCAAATAAATGTTACAATCACCAGATATATTCATGGATTCTGTCAATAATGCATAAACGCATGTGTGTTTGTGAGTTTCGATAGCTGTATAGTTGGGCGTGGCCAAAGCCAGTTAAAGTACTTCCCAGCTAACAAAGTTAGGTTCTGAGAACGTTTTTCTTACGTTCCATTTTGGTTGTGGGAACGTTAATTTAAAATGTTCTAAAAACGTGGAAATGTCCAGTTTGCAGAACGTTGCTGGAACGTTAGCATAATGTTGTCCTAAGGTTAGCATAATGTTGCTGGAACGTTATGAGAACGTTTATCAAACACAAATAACCTGATAAAGACGTTCCGATAACGTTGTTCTAAGAACGTTTTTTATCAACGTAATGAGAACGTTCATCAAATACAAATAACGTGATAAAGACGTTCCAAGAACGTTGTTCTAAGAACGTTTTCTCTCAACGTTACAAGAACGTTAATAATGTTATATGAACGTTCCGAAAACATTATTTTAATAACGTTTTGTCCTAACATTTACACAACTTTTAAAGAACGTTAGTGAATGTTCTGGGAACGTTCCCTGTTAGCTGGGTTATTCTAGACATTTGCCAATAGTTGTTAGAAGAAGCATTAGAACAACAGGAGAGAACATCAATCTGTGACTGTTTACTTTCTTATTTGATTTTAGCACGGCTCTTCGTTACTGTGTTTACCCTGGTAAAAATGCGCGTGTGTTTGTGTCCTGATTGAGTTTCGCTGGCTGAATAGTTGGGCGTGGCCTGCTGTACACATTAATGGGGTATTAGGCGTGTATATAACTGGTTAGTGCACCGCAGCTGCCCTCGTGTGAAGCCCTCATCGTGTGAAGACCAAAGAGTATAAAGACCAGCGACTCTACCTGTGCGACTCGACTAAGCAAGGACACCGACAAGGCACTTGAGTATTAATTTAAGTGTCACCGTCCCGGTACCGGGACGCCTAACTTTACTTCACTATATTTCTATTAAATCCTAATCTAATTATGACAAATTATATATTGTTGGAAAGGTCTAAGACTTCTAAATAAATATTCTGCCCCTGTTTTGTGTTACAAATTATGTAGGAAGAGTAATTAATGAATTTATGACAAGAGTGCACCTAAAAAAATCTGCATCATAACAGGAGGTCTGATAGCCTAGAAATCTAGACGCACCCTAGTGGCAGCAAAAATAATTTTGCAGCAAAGTGTGGTCTAGCAACTCTCCGTTGACTTTCGAAGTGGAAAAACCAAACTCTGGTCCGGCCAATCACATCGTGTATAGAGTTGGTGGGCGGACTTAACACAATGACGGCAGAGTTGTGACGGTTCTGCGCCGTGATTTCCATAGGTGATTTCCCTGATACTTGAAAACAAACAAGATGCTGCTGGCGAACAGCTGTCTTTCGATTCGGCTTTGGCCGCGACTCTGGATGACTTGAGTTAAGAGAATATCACTTAAGTCATTCTTAAAAAAGGAAGATGTGTCCAGAGTTTTGACGACCGGATACGGCAAAAGTTTAATATATCAACTTGCTCCGCTGGAAGGAAGACGCATGGGACTCACTCATCCACAGCCATTCGTTGCTCTGGTTGGTTGTGGTGCTATCCTATGGCGTGCAGAGGGATATTGAAAGACAACCTTTTATCCCGCCCCCCGGATTGAGGTATGCCAATTGTGAGTTCCTAGACCTAACATCTTGATAGGTCTGGCTTGCCAGGCTAGAGGTCTGACCTTTGTCACAAAAAGTTGATGCACCCACTTTTAATCATTGAAACTTCTGTTTTTATGCTAAAAGTTCATAATAAAAAATATAATCTAGTATTTTTCAATAAAAAATAAAAAGTATAGTATAACATTATCCTCTAAAAATTATAATATATATGTATATATTATCCTCTAAAATATAACAAAATTTTTAATCGCCTTTTTTATTATATCACATATTTTAATAATAGTTATCATAAATTAGGTATCATTTGAAAGCTTATAAACTCAGAATTCATCTAGTGAAAACCGTTTTATAATTGAACGTTGCGTTACCATAGAAACGGTACTTATTTTATCAGGCTCCTCCCCTTTTGGGCATCATTGTATTTCATAATTTATTATCAAAACCTTTTCTAATCTTGACAAAACACATATTCTTCTTTACAATTCCTGTCTTAATGTCCAGATCAAACTCAGAGAAGAAACTGTAGTCTTCAGAAACTTTGACTATAATCTTATATTCTCCAGAGTCGTTCTCGTTCAGATCTCTGATAAACAGACGTAAGAGTCCTGCAGATGTGTCATCATGAACGGAGAATCGTCTGTCATATTTCCATTCTGTGCTTCTGTTGGTGTTTATTACAGTAAAACACTGTAATAGACGTCTATCACATGATTTGTGTTTCCTCTCATATTTGTAGTTTATAATGATGTTTCCTCCTGAATATCCTCTTACAGATATACAGGAGTATCGAGATGTTGTGGAGATCTTCATGAGTTTGAGGATCTCAGTTTCTCACCTGTTGAAACCTTCAGATTCACTTCAGTGGAAGAATCTATTGTTGCATATATATCAACTCCACAGTAGTATTTCCCATAATCCTGTTGTCTTAGATCTCTGATGGTCACAGTGAAGACTGCTGATCTTGTGTCGTCATACAGAGAGAATCTTCCATCATCAAACCATTTATCTTTAATATCAGTCCTGATTTGGTCTGTACAGTCTGACCACTCTCCTTTACAAAAATACTTTTTATTCTCTATATATCCTTTATCATATTTGCATGTGATCGTGACTCCTCCTCCTGAGTATCCCGTCACACTCATGGAGCTCACGACACCTACAACAAACCAGCATGAAATACTTTATTATACACAGAAATAAACTTTCTTTAGAAGTAACTGAAGTAACATGAACTGATGAAGTAAAAGACCAAATCTGTGATGTTTTGAGTGTTTTGAGTTTAGACTCCTACCAGGAATCATCATCAGAGTGAAAGTCCAGATGATCTTCATTCTTCTCTTATTAAATGATCTTCTCTGTTGTTAGTAGATTCAATTCTTCTGAAGCTCTCGGTGTGTGTTCAGATGAGTTTTGAGTGTTTATTTCCTGGTTACATGTTTAACATCAAGAAATGAATGTGTCAGAGACGCCCACTTCCTCAGAGAGAGAGAGAGAGATTAATAAACCGGGAAGTAATACGAATGCTTCACACGTGATTAATGAACATGCAGACGCAGAACAGACAGTGCAGATAAAACTATTTTTTCAAACAGAACCGAACAGGAACCTAAACAGGAATCAGCCTAATTTGAAGAGGTAATTTCATATCTAATTATGTTTGTTGACTACACCACAGGGACTTACACCAAGAATTGAATGCAAGCAGCGTTTCATGCAGCTCAAGTTCCTGAAAGGGAAAGAAACATTGATTCTACCTGAGGTCAAACACATTCATCATCACAACATGTAGGACTGAAGGACATCCACCGTAGGCACCTCCAGCTGGAAGTGATCTAGGAAAGCACAAAAAGCCCGCTCAACTGAAATACAGCACTCTCAAGTGTGCTGTTTGTGGCTGTTTCGGCTGTTTGTGTTTGTAGCTCCGGAGAATTTCTTCACAAATCCTTGAATTTCTTCTTTACCACTTATTTATAAACAAGCACTTTCTATTTTTATATTATGTGAACTTATCCTCGATAGTATTCCTTATAAAAAACAACTGGATTGCTTTGATATCGCTACTTATATCCAACCTCCCTAAATCCTGGCTACTAGCCTTTAGCCCGCTAGCATTCCACGCGTGCCCTCTCGCCTATTTGATCGTCTCATTTTACACCCGTTTCACTGAATCCTGGTTATTTCCGACATTTCAATCCTAAATTAGTAGTGATAGTTGTTGTATCACTACTAATTTACTGATCATCCGTTATAATGGCGAACATATCAGATGCGTGTCTAACATTACCTTTGAGTGCAGATGAAGACACATTCGAGCTCTTCACGGTGAAGCAGGAGCTGGAATACGTCGAGAAACAGATCCGTGGTCTGCTGGTGAAGCAAGCCGAGCTGCTGGATCGGCGCTCAACGCTTGAAGCATCACGCGCCGACGCTAACAAATCAAATCACTCTTTGACTCCGAGTTCATCTACGCCGTACGTTACTCTGCCGAGGAAAATGCGATCATCTAAGGCTTCATTCACTCCGGCACCGAAACAACATGGACCATGGATCACACAGCGGAAGACTCGAGCCAGGACCAGAGCTGCCTCTCCTCCCCTCCCGGTCTTCGAGATCTCCACCCGGAACCGCTTCTCCCCTCTTCGCGAGCCGGAACGCGATGACGCCGTGATCATCGGCACATCCATAGTCCGCCATGTCCGCGCTATTTCGGATAAAGGTAAAGTGCGCACTCACTGCTTTCCTGGTGCTCGTGTTCTTGATGTTGCTGCACAGGTTCCCGAGATCCTGAACGGGGACGAGCGCGTCGGAGCTGTTGTGCTGCACGCGGGAGCGAACGACATCAGGCTGCGGCAGACGGAGGTTCTGAAGAAGGACTACAGGAGCCTGATCGAGACGGTACGCAGCACAGCGCCTAAAGCAGCGATCATCGTGTCTGGACCGCTTCCCACGTACAGACAAGGACAGGAAAGGTTCAGTAGACTTTTTGCATTAAATGAATGGTTAATGTCATTGTGTAATGAACAGGGGCTGCACTTTGTAAATAACTGGCATCTGTTTTGGGAAAGACCGAGACTGTACAGCACAGATGGTCTCCATCCCAGCCGAATCGGAGCGGCTGTGCTGTCCGACAACATTTCCAAGACATTACGCACCAGATGACTAATGAGTCAAAGTCCAAATTACAGCCTTTGCGGTCCAAACTTAACTAATAAGCATAGTGTGGAACACTATATAGAAACTGTGTCTATTCCTCGTTTAGTGAAGCCAAACAATAAATCTAGTGTAGGATCTAGCAAAAATCTTATTGTAATTAAACCAGAAAATCTAAATATCAGTCAACAAAAACAATTTCTAAAGCTAGGTCTCCTAAACATTAGATCGCTCACACCTAAGGCAGTTATCGTAAATGAAATGGTCACAGATAATAACTTCGATGTTCTGTGCCTTACTGAAACCTGGCTTAAACCAAATGAGTATTTCGGTCTAAACGAATCTACTCCGCCAGGATACTGTTATAAACATGAGCCTCGTCTGATCGGTCGTGGCGGCGGTGTTGCAACAATCTATAAAGATATTTTTAATATTACTCAGAAAACAGGTCACAGGTTTAATTCATTTGAAGTACTTGTGCTAAATGTTACGCTCTTAGATGTAAGAAGGAAATCTATATTATCTCTAGCCCTGGCTACTGTATATAGACCTCCAGGGCCATATGCTGAATTCCTAAAAGAGTTCGCAGACTTTCTCTCGGATCTATTGGTAAATGTCGATAAAGCAATAATTGCTGGAGATTTTAACATACACGTAGATAATACAAATGATGCTTTAGGGGCTGCGTTTACAGATTTATTAAACTCCTTTGGGGTCAAACAAAACGTCAGTGGTCCCACTCATCGTCTAAATCATACACTAGATTTAATTATATCATATGGAACCGATCCAACTGATATAGATATTATACCGCAAAGCGATGATGTCACTGATCATTACATGGTGACTTGCATAATACGTACTGCTGAAATATGTCATGTTGCGCCACGTTATAGACCAGGCAGAACAATCCTTCCAACCACTATAGATGGATTTTCAAATAGCTTACCTGATCTATCTAAGCTGCTAAGTGAACCCAAACAAACAGATGAATTAGAGGAAATGACTAGCAGTTTAAGCACCATTCTTACTAGTACATTAGATATTGTTGCGCCAATTAGATTAAAAAAGGTTCGAGAGAAAATTAAAGCACCATGGTACAACAGTGCTACGCATGCTATCAAGAGAGAAACTCGCAACTTAGAGCGTAAATGGAAACAAACTAATTTAGAGGTCTTTAGAATCGCGTGGAAAGACAGTATGTCACGTTATAAAAAGACACTAAAAACAGCCAGGGCTGAGCATCTCCGCAAACTAATCGAAAATAACCAAAATAATCCAAGGTTTTTATTTAACACCGTGGCTAGACTAACAAATAAACAGACATCACCAGAGCAAAATATACCTTTACAGTTTAGTAGTAATGATTTTATGAATTACTTCAATGCGAAAATAGAAAGCATCCGAAATAAAATTATAAATGTACAATCCGCTATGGTGTCTTATGATTCAGCTTCAATTATGGACCCTCTAGAACAACTAAACAGCTTTACAACGATAGGACAGGAGGAGCTAAATAAACTTATCATTGCATCTAAACCAACAACTTGTTTATTAGATCCAATACCCACTAAACTACTGAAAGAACTATTACCTGTAGTGGAAGAGCCTCTCCTCAATATTATTAACTCGTCTTTATCTTTAGGTCATGTCCCAAAAATATACAAGCTGGCTGCAATAAAACCGCTCATTAAGAAACCGCAATTAGATCCAAATAACTTGGCAAATTACAGACCCATTTCAAATCTTCCATTTATGTCCAAAATACTTGAAAAAGTAGTGTCCGCTCAATTGTGCTCTTTTTTGCAAGAAAATGATATCTATGAAAAATTCCAGTCAGGATTCAGACCGCATCATAGTACAGAAACTGCGCTAGTTAAAATTACAAATGATTTACTTTTAGCTTCTGACCAAGGCTGTATCTCAATACTAGTCCTACTTGATCTTAGCGCTGCGTTCGACACTATAGATCATATAATACTCTTGGATCGACTACAAAACTTCACCGGTGTCCAGGGACAGGCATTAAGCTGGTTTAGATCGTACTTATCGGACCGTTCTCATTTTGTCTGTTTAAATGGGAAAAAATCAAAGATAACGTCAGTAGACTATGGAGTACCGCAAGGATCAGTTTTAGGCCCTCTGCTATTCTCAATATATATGCTGCCACTTGGTAATATTATAAGAAAACATGGAATTAATTTCCACTGTTACGCTGACGACACTCAATTATATATTTCATCACGACCAGATGAAAACACTAACTCATCTAAAATGACAGAGTGTCTCAAAGATATAAAATGCTGGATGACGCGTAATTTCCTGCTATTAAATTCAGATAAAACGGAGGTATTACTTATTGGTCCAAAAAACTACTCACAAAACCTCTCACAATACAACTTTAATATAGACGGATGTCCTGTTACTTTATCCACAACAGTAAAAGACCTGGGTGTTATACTAGACCGCAACTTGTCGTTCGAAAATCATATTTCATATGTTACAAGAACAGCCTTTTTCCACCTTAGAAACATTGCTAAGCTACGTAACATGCTATCTATTTCTGATGCAGAAAAATTAGTTCACGCATTCATGACCTCGAGACTAGATTACTGTAATGCTTTATTAGCCGGTTGTCCTGCATCCTCAATAAACAAGCTACAGTTAGTACAAAATGCAGCTGCTAGAGTTCTTACTAGGTCAAGAAAATATGATCATATAACACCGATTTTATTATCTCTACACTGGTTACCTATTAAGTTCCGCATCAACTACAAAATACTACTACTGACCTATAAAGCCCTAAATGGTTTAGCACCTATGTACTTAACGGACCTTCTTTCGCCCTACAATCCACCGCGTTCCTTAAGATCACTAAATTCAAGGCTTCTGGTCATTCCTAGGATATCGAAGTCCAGTAAAGGAGGGAGGGCGTTCTCGCATTTAGCTCCAAAACTCTGGAATGGCCTTCCCGATACGGTCCGAGCCTCTGACTCGCTGACACAGTTTAAAACTAGATTAAAGACGCATCTCTTTAGTCAAGCATTCACATAATGCTTACCTTCTAGTCCTCTGTTACGCCATACGGAACCGTTTGCCACTGAAACTGCTTAACGCACCAGTGGGGCTCGACAGCCTCTTAGACAAACGGGTCGGCGCGTATGGTTGGGTTGCGGTTGGGTTGCGGAGAGTTCGGGTTACGGAGAGTTTGTGAGTTATAACGGAAATTATTATGAACATCAGCTATGCTAATTATTTCCCATCTGCCTTTCTGCTGTTATCTCGGGACGCTTGTCCCGAGAAAAATGGCGTTCGTCAGGTCCAGTTTTGTGTCCAGCCTCTCACGGGGATTTCGGATGCCCCAACGCCTGTGATGAGACGACTCAACGCCTGTGATGAGACGACTCAACGCCTGCGATATGTTATGGCGCCGTTTGATTCATAAACAATATTTATATTTAATATTTATATTTAAACAATATGAATGTAAGCCAGAGGAGAACTGGCCCCCGACTGAGCCTGGGTTCTCCCAAGGTTTTTTCTCCATCCAATCTGATGGAGTTTGGTTCCTTGCCACTGTCGCCTTGCTTTTGGCTTGCTTTGAGCTTGCTCAGTTGGGGTTATTTAGTGTTTAGCAATGTTGTTGATCTGTGTTGTGCTACTTACATGTTATCACTGTGAAGCTGCTTTGATACAATCTGTATTGTGAAAAGCGCTATATAAATAAATGTGACTTGACTTGACTTGACTCAAGTGAACAGGAGATCCCACTGCGACAGCCGCAGGGCACCCGTGTAAGTGGCCTTCAGCTCCTGCATGAATACACAAGAGAAATTAATACAAATACACAGCGAAATCCCCAGTTTTTAAATTAACACTGAGAAGTATGAATTATATAAACTCTGATCAGAGTGTTAAATGAACACTGAAGCAGTGTTAAAGTTAATGAGATTATTAAGTGAATAATTGAGTGATGATTGAGCATTATGGAAGACACCTGATGTTAACAAGAATCTCGGAAGAAGGAAACCGGAATAAGTCACCATTATGGAGATCAGTGTTTGGTTTAGCTGAGCTCCTGAGCCATGAATGAATTTTGAATGGTGGCACCCAGAATGCAACATGTGTCACAGGTCGAGGGGAGGAACGCTCGGGTGACCAACCACCCCCCCTCTAACTGAGTCACCACCGTGAGGAGCCGACACCACAGGCACACAACAGAGGACCACAGAGACAGAGATAAGTTTCAAAGGAGTAACAATCTTTATTAAACCAAGGGTTTCTCACAGTTTAAGATACTCTCAGCGGTGCTGCAGACTTCCGGACTCATACAGTAAGTATGGCAGGTAAGGATTCTTCACAGTACAGGGTACTCTCGTTGGTGCACGGTAATGAAGCAGTGGATTAAAAGCTTACTCCCCCCCCCCCAGCGGTGCTGCAGACTTCCGGACTCATACAATAAGTATGGCAGGTAAGGATTCTTCACAGTACAGTACTCTCGTTGGTGCACGGTAATGAAGCAGTGGATTAAAAGCTTACTTTTCCCCCAGCGGTGCTGCAGACTTCCAGACTCAGACAGTAAGTATGGCAGGTAAGGATTCTTCACAGTACAGGGTACTCTCGTTGGTGCACGGTAATGAAGCAGTGGATTGAAAGCTTACTTTTCCCCCAGCGGTGCTGCAAACTTCCGGACTCATACAATAAGTATGGCAGGTAAGGATTCTTCACAGTACAGGGTACTCTCTCTCTCTTCAGTTCACAGTAGGGCGACAGTGGGTTAAACGATTACTTTACCAGCGATGCTGTATGCTTATGGGCTCAAACAGTAAGTAGAACAGGTGAGGATAGTCACAGTACACAGTACTCTCTCTTCAGTTCACAGTAGGGCGACAGTGGGTTAAACGATTACTTTATCAGCGTTGCTGTATACTTCTGGGCTCAAACAGTAAGTAGAACAGGTGAGGATATTCACAGTACACAGTACTCTCTCTTCAGTTCACTGTATCACTCTGGGCTTCTGACGGGGGCAGATATAATAACCTTCCACGAACGTGTAAGCATGGATGGGGGCCACTTCTCAACAAAGACACAGCACACTTGTGTTCACTTCAATTCCACAGCAATAAATCAATGTGTATCAATAAGGCAAAAGCACTGCAATTCACTCACACGATAGAGTTGATCAGAGGCCTCGCTCTGTTTGTTGTGCTCACTTTACATGGGGTTTCACTTTCAATTCCTCCTCCACACACTCTGAAACACATAGCTCCTCCAACAGTCAGATCCACACTCACTGTATCCTCTTCAAGCGGTTTAAATGTTCATAAGTTAAAATCAGTTCACTTATCTTTGCTCTTTCCTTTCCCAGCACAGATCCAGTCGATAGCTCAGACCAGCAGGCTTCCTACAAACAATCACTCTGATCCAGCAAGCTTAAATGGGCGTCTCTCCCTTCCTTCCCTGTCAGTGGGTCCTCCATCTGAGCCTCCCCCATCTGTGTCCTCCCCGTCTGTGTCTCCCCCGTCTGAGCCTCTTTCTCCCTTCTGTCTGTCTCCTTTTATCTTGTTTATCTTGACTCGTCAAACAGGAAACCTGTGTGAGTGCCGCTCCTCTCTCTCTCGCACCTGCAGGGCATTAGCGTTAATCAGTGCGGGCATGATTCCATCACGCCCGGAACTGCAGTGGTGTGTTGCACACAATCCGTTCCCCTAGGGAACTTGTGACTCTGAGGAGGGTTCCGATTGCCAAGCGATTTTGTCACCCGTGACACATGCTTTGTAATTGTCACCATTGTTGAGATTCACAGGCTTATTATTGATGTCCGTGTGTCTTTAAAAAAATTAAAGAGAAACTTTTAAGAAATTATTTTGAATACATTGTAAATGTAAAAAAAAATATTATGCTGTACAAGGTCACTGCTGAAAAAAATAATAGAGTAAACCTAACTCAGAAATTAGACTCTATGGCCTCGTTTACACTGCATGGTTCAAGTGACCCAAATCCGATTTTTTCCTCCCATGTGGCACAGATCGGATATGACCGGTGAACGTGTAAGCAGGAAAAAAACGCATGCATTCCGATTTTCTCAGATCAGATTCAGGCTTCATTCATATGTGGTAATAAATCGGATATGAATCAGATACGTGCATTTGCGTGTGCCATGTAAGCAGACAAATCGGATATTCCCCAGTAAATGCGAGTCATGCGTCAATTTAAAACTGCGCGATTATAGGCGCAAGCCGCGCGATGGAAGAAAGGAGACACACAGTGGAGCAATGCGGAGGTTTCATGTCTTTTGAGTGTTTGGGGTGAAGAGTGCAGGCAAAAATGCAGGGATGTTACAGAAATAAATCCGTTTTTGAAGACATTTCACGAGATATGAGGCATCGTTTTAAGTGCTCATGGCCAGAGCCTCTCCTCTTTTTTTCTCCGCCGTACGAGACCAATGTTTTGATGACTTATTGAAATATTGTGGAAAGAAAACACTGGATAATTTTATTCGCATCTGCATCCATTGAATTTCGTGCTGTTTTGCTTAATTTCCCGGTTCAGAACCATCAGAACGTCTGCATTTGGTAATTCAGCAGTGTATAGTGTGAATGCAAAAATCGGTCGTCAAAAAAATCGCATATAGTCAGAAAATCGGATTTGGGCATCAAGACCCGCAGTGTAAATGCAGCCTATATGAATTCAGTGGTTTAGATCAAATGATTGTGGAATACTGTTTAGATTCAAGATGAATGGCGTGCTCAATTAATGGGGGCACTCCTTAATTAAAATGTCTTTATTAAAAAAATGACATGTCCTGAACGGACAAATTTAAAAAGCCCATGCGTAGCGGCATGGAGCCTTCTTCAGGAGCTGAAGAAGGCTCCATGCCGCTACGCGTGGGCTTTTTAAATTTGACCCAGACCTTAGTTTAAATCCACTGTGAGACACCAATGTGTCCCTGAGCAAGACACTTAACCCCTAGTTGCTCCAGAGGCGTGCGACCTCTGACATATATAGCAATTGTAAGTCGCTTTGGAAAAAAAAAGCGTCAGCTAAATGATTAAATGGTATTAAATGGATTGCTCATGTTTATTTAAATCCCTAGTCATTGTGTAATATCCAGCCAATGTTTTTTTTCAGTATATGTTGGTCACGTCGTTCTTTTATCCTTTGTATTTTTCATTTTTGTGCTCTACTATCATACTTTCTGTCAGACATCAGTGATGTAAATTAAAATAATTGACATGATTTGACCAGCAGCTGATTGGACAGATGTAACCCAAATGTCTCATCTATCCAATCATCACCATTTTTTAAAAAATGTTTCTGAAGTAAATTTAAAATAATAAAAAAAGGGTCAGGCCAATCCATACTGCATGTTTGTTAATCCTCGTATGATGATGCAGCATTGAGGGTCACTAGTGGCTTTCTCAACTGTAGTGTAAACACAGTTAGAAGAAACAGAGGGGCTTGTGGGTAATTGGGCAGTGTGTAACGCTTTAACCTGAGGGGCTTGTCTGAATGGTTGTAGAGAGTAAGCAAAGACTCACACATCTGTTATTCATTTATTATCAGCGTCATCAATCCCACGCAACACATGGGGCAGTTTGCAAAACATGCAGTCCACTAACAACTGCGTTACTGAATAGAAATAAAACTGGGTAAGAACATAATTATAAAACAGACTTTACACACATGCATGTGACGTTCACAGCTCACACTCCTTGTACCGACTGAGTGAGGGGTACAGTACCTAATTCTACTTGTTATCAGAAGAATCCGAGGGGTTTGTGGGTAATTGGGCAGTGTTATAAACAGTGTTAGAAGAATCAGAGGGGTTTGTGGGTAATTATTCTTTAATGTCCTCGTAATCACAACCAGTGTGCGAAACCTGAGGAGAGACAGAGAAATGATTTACAGCTCTGAATATCATCAGAATGGAAGAAATTAGACCATAGTCTCATCATGTATAAACATAAAAATTTTATACAGTAACTGGACTCACCACTTCATGTTTTCCTGGTTCAGTCTGAGAATTCAATTCACCACCTGCCAAAAACAAGTGTCCTAAATTAATAACATTACTGTATATCACATTTCAACAATTATGCCTTGTGTAAATGTTTTCACACATCAAATATCTGTCCGTTTCTCATGTCTCGTTGCAGCCAATAGGTGGCGACGAAAAGTGGAAAGTGGGAAAACAGATCAAGAAATCAAAATGTTTTATTCTCAGTATAAATAAAGTTTCTGCTATAAAAGAAGATGAGAGTTTTACCTGGAGACTGACACTTCTTCCAGAGAAACAGAAATAAGAGTCCAGCGATGATCAGAACCAGAGGAACCAGAACCAGAGGAACGATCAGAAAAAAGCCTGAAAACGAAATAATGTGAGAATCTGATCATCAGAGCCAAACATCAGATCAGATCATGGGACGTTTGAAATAGGATTGAGCAGATCATGATGCTGGATTTCAGGGTTGCCAGGTCTGTTACAAAAAAAGCCCAATGGCCAGTCAGAAATAGCCCACAAAGTATCCCAATGACCATATCCCAAATATCAAAACACAAAATAAACAATTCCCATACCTAAAACGCGTGTTTTACAGTCAGTGTTATGTAAATTGAAAACCATATCATAGTGATTATAAAAACATCTCAAAGACTCCCTACCAGCGGCCCTTCTTCACGAAACGTTTATGCAAAAATCACTTTTATAAGGTGTTTGAACGCAGATGTGTGTCCACAGAGTGTGTAAACAACCATGGTGAAAATCCACTCAATATTTGTTTTTAAATAATCTCCATAAATCATAAGCAGTCTCTAGATGTTGCTCTACTCTTATAAGAGTCGAGATAAGAGTCTCTATAGTCTCCTGGCATCTGAGCCTCTGAGGACACCGTAGACTGCTGTTTCTGGATAGGCTACAAAGCACCAAAATGGAGATTCGGGCTAACTAGAATGATTGGTTTATTTATGTATTTATTTATACTTATTTAACTATTTAAAATGTCTTAAATGTAATATTATTATTATTTTAGAGTTGAAAATATATTTCAGCCTCCTTGCAAACTTTGTTTGTTTTTCAGCACACAATCACCTGATGATGTGTTTAGAGACGCCAGTGATGTAGTAGAAGGTCTGGAAACACCTGTAAACGGTGAAGTTTTGACTGATGAGGATGAAGAAGCTGATGATGATGATGACGGAAATGGTGGTGGTGATGATGATGGTGGTGGTGGTGGTGATGATGGTGGTTGTGGTGTTCCTGGAAAAATTGTGTATAAATTGAAAAGGATGTTTTTTTCACACACAGAACATGACATTGCTTTTCTTATGATACTTGATACTCATGTCTTTCACACATTCACTACTCAGAATACACTAATGTGAAGAATGTGACAAGCTGTTAGTTTGAGTTTCCAGAACTGAAGCCTGTGGTTTCACACTGCATTCATATAGCGCTCTCACAGACCCAATGGCCACCAAAGAGCTTTACATATTGCTTCCCATTCACTCATACACCGACGGCGGTGTCAGCCATGTAAGCCATCCAGCTCGTCGGGAGCAGCCAGGGTTAGGTGTCTTGCTCATGGACACAACCGGGGATTGAACCACCAACCTGCCGGGTTGTAGACAAACATGAACCACTGAGCTGCCGCCCCATTAGTTACTGATGAGCAACATTATACTGGAGTTTACCATAGTAAAAGTGTGGTTAAGGGAAGTACTAAAACCTGCATGTCTACAGCCTCCAGATGACCACACCTGTACTAATGTGAGCAACTGTAACACTATGTCCAAATTACCACTAATGCTGAACATAGTATATGAATGTGAAATGAACAAGTAACTGTACAACACATCACATTTATAGAATGAAATGAAGAACAGTCAAAAAAAATTGTCATTTTGTTTTCAATGTAAACACATATCTTTCACTTTGCTGCAAAATGTATGAATGCAAGTCAAGATTATGAGTAAATCTTACATCAGGAGTTATTGTCAGTTAAAGGTTATTGATGGCGTCTGTTATGAGTTCCACATGTGAACGTCAGTGATTACAGTCAGTGTTGAGTATCGAGATGTTGTGGAGATCTTCATGAGTTTGAGGATCTCAGTTTCTCACCTGTTGAAATCTTCAGCTTCACTTCAGTGGAGGGATCTATATCTTTAGGTATATCAACTCCACAGTGGTACGTCCCAGAATCCTCTTCTCTCAGATTTCTGATGGTCACAGTGAAGACTGCTGATCTTGTGTCGTCATACAGAGAGAATCTTCCATTATTAACCCATTTATCTTTAATATCAGTCCTAATTTGGTCTTTGCAGCTCAGCCACTCTCCTTTACAAAAATACTTTGTATTCTCTTTATATCCTTCATAATATTTGCATGTGATGTTGACTCCTCCTCCTGAATATCCGGTCACACTCATGGAGCTCACGACACCTACAACAAACCAGCATTAAATACTTTAATATACACAGAAATTATTTTTTTAGAAGTAACTGAAGTAAAAGATGGAAAAGACCAAATCTGTGATGTTTTGAGGGTTTTGAGTTCAGACTCTTACCAGGAATCATCATCAGAGTGAAAGTCCAGATGATCTTCATTCTTCTCTTATTAAATGATCTTCTCTGTTGTTAGTGGATTCAGTTCTTCTGAAGCTCTCGGTGTGTGTTCAGATGAGTTTTGGGTGTTTCTTTCCTGGTTACATGTTTAACATGAAGAGCTAAATGTGTCAGAGACGCCCACTTCCTCAGAGAGAGAGAGAGAGAGAGAGAGAGAGAGAGAGAGAGAGAGAGAAAGGGAGGAGAAACTAATATTTTATACGTACACACAGATGCAGAACAGACACCTGCAGATAAAACTCATTATCAAGAGTTATTTTACAGGTATTTTTCACAGACAATTCCATTATTTCAAAGGCTCATTTTAACAGTTTCTCAGAAACATAATGTTTAAAGTTTTAACTGACCTAAGCGTTTAATAAAGTGTTTGTAAAGTAAACAGGAAGTAAACGTCAAGTGTAAGAAGGTCAAGTTCTGTCACTCATGTCGGTTCTCATTATTTCCAGCTACTTCAGAAGAAGAACGGGCATCGGTTTACCATGAATGAATCATCGTGTCGCCCTGCGCTGCGTCCAGTGTAGACATTATCACAGGTTATGAATTATCACTAGCCAGCACTAGTCAACGAGGAAGATTATAGACACATCAGGTAAGAAAACAGATGTCATGGACAAAATGTGTTAACATTGCAAACGTGTTATTTTTACATTATTGAAAACTGCTACGGCAGCAGGGAAAATCATGGGTGATTTGATTTTGACGCACCGTGTCGCGCTGTGTGATCCTGTGTTTATCCTGATGGAAATATAAAGAAGCCTCACAGTCTTTCAGAAATACTGTGTTTTAACCACACAAACAGTTCAATTTGAATAAAGTGTCCATACGTAGATTACAGATCCATATCAAGGGTGCAAATATTTTCAAAATGAATCAGACTCAGTTACCGCCTCAGTGTAAATCCTAACTGATTGGTTGTAGCAAGAACATGCTACCATTGGTCAGCTCACTGTAGCCGTTATCTGATTTGTGTTTCAAAATCCACATATGTGTCCACAAGAAGCTATTCACAACTGTGTGCAGCGATTTACAAATGTACGGAAAGCAGAGTTGTGTTTGTGATATAAAACACATTTGTTTGTTTTTTTGTTTTATAATTTTTTGTGTGAATCTCTTTACATTTGTTTGTGAATCCAGAGGCCTTCGTGGACCTCTTTGAGAAATGTCATTGTCCTGTAACGTCTAACCGAGGGCAGCAGTTCAAACAGAGAATGTCCGGGGTGGAATGGATCATTAATTATTTTATGCTTTTTTGAGACAGCGGGAACTATAGACCATTTCACAAGATGTAAACAACACTGGTCCAGAAGCACTTCCTGTTTCAGTTTTTTAACACTACATAAAAGCTTGGATAATACAACCAACAGAACATTTAAAACTGAATCAAAAAGTTAAACAAACATCTTTAAGATGTGAAATAAAGAAAACAGTTACAAACTGAAACAGGAAGTGCTTCTGGACCAGTGTTGTTTACATCTTGTGAAATGGTCTATAAAGATCCTTCAGGGAAGGGAGAGGGCAGCCAATAATCTTCCGGAGGTGGTGATGATCCTCTGAAGCGCTTTCCTCTCTGTCTCGATGCAGCTTGCAAACCACACACAGATAGTCAGTTGGCTCTCAATAGAGCAGCGGTGGAAGGACATAAGCACCCTTTGATTGAGATGATGCTTCCTAAGAGTCCTCAGAAAATACAGTCTCTGCTGTGCCTTCTTAACCAATACTGTGGTGTTGGTGCTCCAGGTTAGGTTCTCCTCTATATGCTCCAGGTTAGGTTCTCCTCTATATGCTGCAGGTTAGGTTCTCCTCTTTATGCTCCAGGTTAGGTTCTCCTCTATATGCTCCAGGTTAGGTTCTCCTCTATATGCTCCAGGTTAGGTTTTCCTCTATCTGCACCAGGTTAGGTTCTCCTCTATATGCTCCAGGTTTGGTTCTCCTCTATATGCTGCAGGTTAGGTTCTCCTCTATATGCTCCAGGTTAGGTTCTCCTCTATTTGCAACCAGGTTAGGTTCTCCTCTATATGCTCCAGGTTTGGTTCTCCTCTATATGCTCCAGGTTAGGTTCTCCTCTTTATGCTCCAGGTTAGGTTCTCCTCTATATGCTCCAGGTTAGGTTCTCCTCTATTTGCACCAGGTTAGGTTCTCCTCTATATGCTCCAGGTTTGGTTCTCCTCTATATGCTGCAGGTTAGGTTCTCCTCTATATGCTCCAGGTTAGGTTCTCCTCTATATGCTCCAGGTTAGGTTCTCCTCTATATGGTGCAGGTTAGGTTCTCCTCTATATGCTCCAGGTTAGGTTCTCCTCTATATGCTCCAGGTTAGGTTCTCCTCTATATGGTGCAGGTTAGGTTCTCCTCTATATGCTCCAGGTTAGGTTCTCCTCTATGTGCACCAGGTTAGGTTCTCCTCTATATGCACCAGGTTAGGTTCTCCTCTATATGCTCCAGGTTAGGTTTTCCTCTATATGCTCCAGGTTTGGTTCTCCTCTATATGCTGCAGGTTAGGTTCTCCTCTATATGCTCCAGGTTAGGTTCTCCTCTATATGGTGCAGGTTAGGTTCTCCTCTATATGCTCCAGGTTAGGTTCTCCTCTATATGCACCAGGTTAGGTTCTCCTCTATATGCACCAGGTTAGGTTCTCCTCTATATGCTCCAGGTTAGGTTCTCCTCTATATGCTCCAGGTTAGGTTCTCCTCTATATGCTCCAGGTTAGGTTCTCCTCTATATGCTCCAGGTTAGGTTCTCCTCTATATGGTGCAGGTTAGGTTCTCCTCTATATGCTCCAGGTTAGGTTCTCCTCTATATGCACCAGGTTAGGTTCTCCTCTATATGCTCCAGGTTAGGTTCTCCTCTATATGCACCAGGTTAGGTTCTCCTATATATGCACCAGGTTAGGTTCTCCTCTATATGCTCCAGGTTAGGTTCTCCTATATATGCACCAGGTTAGGTTCTCCTCTATATGCTCCAGGTTAGGTTCTCCTCTATATGGTGCAGGTTAGGTTCTCCTCTATATGCTCCAGGTTAGGTTCTCCTCTATATGGTGCAGGTTAGGTTCTCCTCTATATGTTCCAGGTTAGGTTCTCCTCTATATGCTCCAGGTTAGGTTCTCCTCTATATGGTGCAGGTTAGGTTCTCCTCTATATGTTCCAGGTTAGGTTCTCCTCTATATGCACCAGGTTAGGTTCTCCTCTATATGCTCCAGGTTAGGTTCTCCTCTATTTGCTCCAGGTTAGGTTCTCCTCTACATGCTCCAGGTTAGGTTCTCCTCTACATGTTCCAGGTTAGGTTCTCCTCTATATGCTCAGACCCAGATTTACCAGTTTAGTAAACAGTCTGTGAGGAAGTGTAAGACAACTTACGTATAATAATATATAATAATAATATTTAAGGGGCCAGATGACTCATCCGGCGTTCATTCGAATGGCCGTAACTATAACCTCTGCAGCGGATATAAATATACAAACTATAGTGAAACACTATTATTAGCAAGGTAACTTAGATCAGCAGTTTAAGACATTAAATCTGTAAGCACATAACACAAGACAATTAGCTTAAAGATATAAACAAGACTTTATTGATTGTTCTAACACATAAAACTAAAATCTAACCCAATCACATGCACACACACATTCATACGAGTTGAGATAGAGTAATACGAGTGAGGAAAGAAGGAGTTTTAAGAGTGAGATGGTGAAATCCCAAGTTTCTATATGCACTTATAAGACATGACCTGAACGAAGCATCAATCATTAATTTAACCCTTTTATTGTTTCTTAGGCGGTTATTCAATGTTATCTCAATGCACCAGTTCAGCTAAGAGTATATTTGCGTTTGTCTGTACGTTGCTTTGGGGATTCCCTTTTGTCTGCTTAAAAGGGTGTTTCTCCGGGTCCGTTGTTTGGCTGGCGGTCTTCTCGTGCCTGAACAGATCATGGGGCGGCCAATCACATGGTGTGTTGGCAATAGATGAAAGTCTTTGGAAGTTTGCAGTGAGCTGTGCAGTCGAATCGCTTGAAACTTTGCAGAAAAAAATTAACTTAGAATCGAGACACGCAGCGGAAAATAAAAATAAAGCTAGGAACAGAAAGAAAAATGAAACGAGAGTATAGATGGTTAGAATGAAAGCTGTTTAACCCGTGGATGTTATCCTGATCTTGTGGCTTCTCCACGACTTCTGTATCTCTAAGCATAACTTCATTATAACAGCAACATAATTCCAGTTTAACTAGCATAACTCCAAGACTTTCTCCGGGTCTTAGATTTTAAACTCAAATGTTTGTCCAGCCTCCTGGATGAGTTCGGACCAATTAGACACTGTCGTTATTAGAGAGGTGGTATGTCCTTCAGCTCTCATCGTAAATCATGCGTTATCTGGGATCTCTTTACTCTCCAGCTTTAGCAAACAGAGTACAGAGGATACAGTTTAGACATGACTATTATAAGAACACAAAACATTTTACACAGATTTCACTCAAGCCATTTTCTGAATTAAGAACATATGATCTTTCTGATAGGAAACACGATACACTTTCATTCACACTAATCTAACAGTTAGAACAATCACATGACTTATATGTGACCTAAGCATAATAGACACATACAGAGGTTGTAGACACAATTTAGAATTATGTAGTTGAGCGAAGTTTGATTATAAGTCCATCAATAATTGTTGTGGGATGATGTTTTGTATTTGTATATGTAAAGTCTCGGTCTCTGTGGTTTTAAGAGATTTCAACCCTGGGGTCGTTGAGGGGTCCTTAAGAAGGTCTGTTTTAAATCCGTTGTCTTAGGATCAAACAATCTCTGCTGTTCTCTTGGTGGGTCCCGAGCCGTGCCATCACTGACCCAATCAGTCTTTTCCAAACTAGCTTTGACCAGTTCGTCCTCTATTTTGGAGCCTGCAGGGGTTTGTTTTGCTCAAATCCTACATGAAGTATGGTATTAATTAAAAGCAGAGGTAAAGTCCACGAGCAACATCCTATTGTGGCTCCCCTGCTGCTTTAGAAGAATCAGAGGGGTTTGTGGGTAATTGTGGAGTAGCATAAACAGCAATAGAAGAATCAGAGGGGTTTGTGGATAATTGTGGAGTTGCATAAACAGCTTTAGAAGAATCAGAGGGGTTTGTGGGTAATTGTGGAGTTGCACAAACAGCAATAGAAGAATCAGAGGGGTTTGTGGGTAATTGCGGTGTAGCATAAACAGTTTTACAAGAATCAGAGGGGTTTGTGGGTAATTGTGGAGTTGCATAAACAGCAACAGAAGAATCAGAGGGGTTTGTGGATAATTGTGGAGTTGCATAAACAGCTTTAGAAGAATCAGAGGGGTTTGTGGGTAATTGCGGTGTAGCATAAACAGTTTTACAAGAATCAGAGGGGTTTGTGGGTAATTGTGGAGTTGCATAAACAGCAATAGAAGAATCAGAGGGGTTTGTGGGTAATTGTGGAGTTGCATAAACAGCAATAGAAGAATCAGAGGGGTTTGTGGGTAATTGCGGTGTAGCATAAACAGTTTTACAAGAATCAGAGGGGTTTGTGGGTAATTGTGGAGTTGCATAAACAGTTTTACAAGAATCAGAGGGGTCTGTGGGTAAATGTGGAGTTGCATAAACAGCAACGGAAGAATCAGAGGGGTTTGTGGGTAATTGTGGAGTTGCATAAACAGTTTTACAAGAATCAGAGGGGTTTGTGGGTAATTGTGGAGTTGCATAAACAGCAACAGAAGAATCAGAGGGGTTTGTGGGTAATTGCGGTGTAGCATAAACAGTTTTACAAGAATCAGAGGGGTTTGTGGGAAGCTGATTCTTGTCCCATTTATGCCACTCCACAGAGGGGTTTGTGGGTAATTTAGCGGTATCATAAACAGTTCTTGAAGAATCAGAGGGTGTTATGGGTAACGGAGTGTTTCTGCAGTCAGTGTGAGGTCTGGTGTCTTTAATCTCCTCGTACAGCGGTTGAGGAACCTGAGAACAGAAAGAGGAATTATTTACAGCTTTTAATGAAGGTCATTCATTCAAACACATTCTTATCAGATATTTTTAACTTTACAAACCGCTTCACTGTTTTCTGTTCCAGGTTCAGATGTTTTAGAAGCTGAATCACGGTCTGTAAAACAAATATATTACATTAAATACAATCATAAATAATTACAATGATAATTCTAAAGATATATGAGACTTGCGTTGACTAGTTGTGAGCAGCAGGGGGAAGAAACATCTTTCTAGACTACAATGTAATTCACTGGTAAACAACTATAAACAATATTCTGACAAATAAACTTCTAAACATTGAGAACATTGGCTGGTTTACCTCGAGTCTGATGCTTCTTGTAGAGAGTCACTATACAAAACATGAATCCAATGATGAGCAGAAGCAGAATCACAGTCACACAGATGACCAGAGATGAGGATGGTTTAGATGATGATGATGATGGTGAATATGATGGTTTAGATGATGATGATGATGGTGAATATGATGGTTTAGATGATGATGATGATGGTGAATATGATGGTTTAGATGATGATGATGATGGTGAATATGATGGTTTAGATGGTGATGATGATGGTTTAGATGGTGATGATGATGATGATGGTGAATATGATGGTTTAGATGGTGATGATGATGGTTTAGATGGTGATGATGATGGTTTAGATGGTGATGATGATGGTTTAGATGATGATGGTGAATATGATGGTTTAGATGGTGATGATGATGGTTTAGATGATGATGATGATGGTGAATATGATGGTTTAGATGGTGATGATGATGGTTTAGATGATGATGATGATGGTGGTGATTGCAAAGATGATGATAATGATGAAGATGACAAAGTTGGTGTTGTACTATCCTCTAAAAAATAGACAAAAGCATTCTCTGTGACAAATAGTGTGTACATTTTCAAGGTTTATAAAAATCCAGAAACTCTCCTTTTGTAAATGGAAAATCTTGATAAAATTTAAACCTCAAGCTTATTGAGAACTACACGAGGCAAACATCCCGCTTCTAGTAATGATCATACCACACCTTCAGCTATAAATATCATACAATACAACCAGGGATTATATAAATACTTGCATACAGTGTGTCTTTAGAAGTAACACTCGATTCCATTTCTTTAAGACACTTTAGTTCATTGTTCTTGTTTAGGGGAACGTTTAGCCATGCATGATGTGTTAGGACACAGAACTAAAACACCAGTAACAAACTATTACTCTGTGTTTATCATTTGACCCAGTTTCCTATTCTGTAAAAAAAGGAGAGCTGTAGCCTGTAAGTTAACGATAAAGGGCTATAAATGAACAGTCCATTGCTGGCAACCACAGCTGCCAGTAAATGACCATTATTTTACAGTGCAATTTTTTTTACAGTCTGATTAATGATTCCATTCACCTGTACTGCAATCAACCATCGAATATTTTTTAAAAATCAATGTTTATGTCAAGCTTAACCACACTGAATCAACATCACTTCTGCACCTGCAATTAATGTCGAAAAAAAACAAAAACATAATTGAATCAATGTTATGATGTTTCTTCAACATCAAGCTTGCACTCTCATAAAATGAAACACAACCACTACAACTGACTGAAAGACACACAGCATGAAGTTCACATTAAACAGTAGAGCGTTGGTGCTTGCGACGCCAATGTCATGGGTTTGATTCCTGTGGAAAGCAAGAACTGATAAGAATTAAATGTGTACTGTGAAAAGCAATGTAGGTTGCTTTGGATAAACCAGACTGACTTTATTTCTTTTAGGTGTCTACAGAAGCTCTTATTGAGAATTAACAAAGGTGGATGTTTTATTGAAAATGTTTGGTCACATTTTGGAGATCAGTGTTTGCTTTAGTTGTTCAGTTTGACTCTTTTTATCTGAGTTTGTGGTCTTTGTTACAGTCTTTCCAAAAATACATAGTACTATATATATGTGTAAATATGTACAAATTCACAGCAATCTCAGCAAGTGTGATAAAAGCAAGCATTTGCATGTAACCAAGTATCCATTACTATCTGGATTGATGGTTCAATCGGACTGAAATCTCAATGAGATTTCGATCGGACAGGAAAGGAAATGTTTATTCCATTTTGTATCCGATCGAGAGATCATGTAAACACTTTATCGGACTGAAAACAGAAACTGAAGGGACTGCGCATGTGCAATGATGTAGAAAGAGCGTAATGACGTGTGACGCAGAACGAGATGTTGTTCCTGTTGAATAAAGTGTCATGCAAATGAGTATCTCATCATCCTATAATCCTCCTTTCCCTGTGTGTGTGTGTGTGTGTGTGTGTGTGTGTGTGTGTGTGTGTGTGTGTGTGTGTGTGTGTGTGTGTGTGTGTGTGTGTGAAGTGGATCAGGACAACAGCCCTCCAGTTTTAGACTCTCATCTTCAGACCACTGGTTTTGGGCATTTCTCACAGTAAAACAGTTCATATGGATATTAAGTCTGCTGTTTAAAACAAATAAAGAGCACATGTTGGAGAAAAGTTACTGTGATCAAACAGCAGGAAACTCTGTATATTGTGTTGTTGTTTTTTTAAATCTATTCCTATTTGAAACTCGTGACGTATAAATGCGGACATCAACCCGGTCACGAGTCGTAGAGGAAGAGCAGCAAATACACCAACATTAGAGATTTCACTCATATAGCCCATAATTTACCTGGATTTCAGCAAGCGATCCACAAAGCAATTATGGGATATTTCACACAGTCATGCCAATAAAACTCATTTGAATTTAATTGAGAGAGATTGCAACAACAAAAATGCCAAAAAAATAAATAAATAAATAAAGACCAATCTGCTTAACACAGAACTGTTGACATACTGTTTTGTAGATGAAGTTAAGCATGTTTTCACATAAGACTGTAAGCAATTGTCATAAGTTCCTCTTTATTATTCTCCTGACTTTTCTGAGAGCGCAAGGATGAGATTGACCCAAAATCACATCTAACATTGATTTGAGGTTGAAAAATGTTCAATATTAACTGCGGGTGCAAAAGTGATGTTGATTCAATGTGATTAACATTGACATATTAATATGATTTAACATTGATTGATGGTTTCTTGATATCTGTCGTAGCTTTACTATGTGGATGTTACCCTGCATGTCAGTCAAATCATGTTTTCTGTGGATGACCTTATTAAAGCCTATTTCTGTGAATACTAATTTAGTTCATGCATAAAACAAGAAAAAATATATTCAGAAAAATAAAACTTAATTTAAAAGGAAAACTAATTTTACCAAACAAAATCCTTATGCAATGATGGCAGAAATAACAGCATTAGTTATGGTCAAGATCAAAAAGCATGTGGGTTACTCACTCTTTATAACCAGATTCACTTCGGTGTAGGGATCTTTTCTGAAAGTTCTATCAACTCCACAGTAGTATTTCCCAGAATCCTCTTCTGTCAGATTTCTGATGGTCACAGTGAAGACTGCTGATCTTGTGTCGTCATACAGAGAGAATCTTCCATCATCAAACCATTTATTTTTAATATCAGTCCTGATTTGGTCTGTACAGTCTGACCACTCTCCTTTACAAAAATACTTTGTTTTGTTTGTAAATTTTTCATCATATTTGCATGTGATGTTGACTCCTCCTCCTGAATATCCGGTCACACTCATGGAGCTCACAACACCTACAACAAACCAGCATTAAATACTTTATTATGTTGATTATGAGAATCCAAATCGCTTTCAAATGTTTCCTCAGTTTCTCACCAGGAATCATCATCAGAGTGAAAGTCCAGATGATCTTCATTCTTCTCTTATTAAATGATCTTCTCTGTTGTTAGTAGATTCAGCCTTTCTGTTGTATCAGTGTCTGTTCTGTATTCAGTGTTCAGTTCTTCTGAAGCTCTCCGTGTGTTTCAGTGTTTTCTAGTGTTTGATTATGAATATGATGAGATGCTGACTTCCTCTTCCTTTGTCTCCGCATGTGTCACAGGTACAACTGAAACACACACAGAGAGAGAGAGAGAGAGAGAGAGAGAGAGAGAGAGAGAGAGAGAGGGAGAGAGAGACTATTTTTAACTGTTCAATATAACTTTTACTACAATAAAATTAACAACCATTAAACATTTTGTCACAATAAATGATTTACAAACTTAATGTGAAACACAAGTCTCCATTCACAACTGAACATAAAGCATCTCTATAACATATAACTTCATTAAATCAACAATTCTGGAAATCACCATTACTTCAAACACCTTTCCCACATCACTATCATTCATTTGTTCTACATGATTTCTCTTATGACGTATTCAGCCATTTTTACTTTACCAAGTATAGAATTAAAACACTCACATTCTCCACGTCTACTTTTCATATATTTAAAACCAAAAAAATTAATCTATACAGAAAAAAATAATTAAAACAATTGAACTTTTTATAAATATATATGAAGAGTTCAGATGCAAAAGCCTCTAAGTGCCATTTGAAAATTTCTTCTAGACTGATCATTTTTATCAAGCTTGTATATTTAAGTTCAGTGATTTCACTTAAATGGCAATGATAATTACCTATTATTTGTTAATTAGGTGAAATTACTGAACTTAAATATACAAGTTTGATAAAAATCATCATTAAAGAAGAAAATTTAAAATGGCATTTAGAGGCTTTTGCATCTGAACTCTTCATATTTATATATATATAATTAATTTAAGTATTTTTATTGTATAGTGTTATGAATCCTTTGGCAATGTAAAGATTTATTTCACCATGCCAATAAAGCGATTTTAATCTTCAATCTTGAGAGAAAAGAAGAGAGAGAAAGTGTGTGTGTGAGAGAGAGAGCAGCAAATATGTAAACATGAGAAACAGTTATTTCTCTCAAATACCTCACAATTTACCTGAATTTCAGCAATCCAGCCACATAGCACTAATGAAATATCTAATGTGATATTTCACACAGCCATGCCGATGAAGAACAGGACAAAAAAATAGAAATTGCAAAAATAAATAAAAAAAATAAAATAAAATAAAAAAATAACAATTTAGTTGTTTTAAAGTCTTCAACAAATTCCATCAACAAAATAAGACCAATCTTGACTTAACACAGAACTGTTGACATTTACTGTTTTGTGGATGAAGTTATGAATGTTTTCACATAAGACTGTAATACATTTCCATAGCTTCCTCTTTATTATTCTCCTGGCTTTTGAAAAAAAAGAAATATTATAATAACATGAAGTAGTAAGTGAACACACTTCTCATAATTTCACTTTACTTCCGTCTCGATTTCCCTCTATATCCATACTCTCGTTCTCTATTCAAGTATTCATGAATAAATGTAGTTCTGCTTAAACTAGTGAAAACACTCACACTACTTGATCATTAAGCTCATGTTTTCAGTCAACAATTAGAGTTGAATTAAATATATTACATTTCTGTCATGACAGCTCTTGTAGAGACTGGTATGGTAATGGATATGACAATGTTTTCTCAGCCGATGTGCAGTTTGGAGCACAGATGTGCAACAGCTGAAAGATACTATTATACATGTGTAAAGCACTTCTCACCCAGCACACAGAAAAATCCCCAGGGTTAAATTAACACTGAGAAGTGTGAATTATATAAAGATGCAGTGTTAAAGTTAATGAGATAATTAAGTGAATAATTGAGCATTATTGAAGACACCTGATGTTAACAAGCAGAATCACTGAAGGAGAAAACCAGCTGTTTTAAGTCACCATTATGGAGATCAGTGTTTGCTTTAGTTGGGCTCTTGACCCTTAAAGCTACAATACCTAAGATTTAGATGCCGCTAGAGGGCGCTACATTCAAAACAACAACAACAGCTTTGCTTGATTTTGTTTGAATGCTGTGTGTGAATATATAACAGCCAGATGAACAAATAGAAAAGGTGATCTAATGGTGATGGTTGTGTTTTAACATAATCATTAATTGACCTGAATCGCTGAACTCTTCAAGAGCATTAATTCTGAATTAAATTTACCTTATGGTTTTTAACAGCATGGTAATTATAGAACATCCCATTTTTATCCTGTTAAATGAATTCCAAACAATAAAAAAGAGAATATAGTTTTCATGTAGGCACACACAGACATCAAGAATTAACGTATGAATCTCAGCAATGGTGACAAACAGATCACCTCTGAACATAAGCTCATTATTTATTCATGCAGCAATGCATGATGGGGGCCATGAATGAGTTTTGATTGGTGGCACCCAGAATGCCCTGCAACATGCTTTATGATTGTCACCATTGTTGAGATTCACCGGCTAATTATTGATGTCTGTGTCTTAAAAAATTAAAGAAGAAACTTTTAAGAAATTATTTTGAATACATTGTAAATGTTAAAAATATTATGCTGTACAAGGTCACTGCTGCTATAATTAATAAAATAAACCTTACTCAGAAATTAGGCTCTAAATGAATTCAGTGATTCAGGGTTTCTACCTCTGTAAGCGGCAATCCACCTGTCACTCGAAGGGCCACTCCATTAATTATGCAGAACTTTAAAGCTTAATATAATTTAAACAGATGAGTTATGGAAAAATTCACCCCCTCGCAGTTATCATGAAGGGCAAAATTAGCTATATAGAGCAAAACCCCTTTTTGCACCAAGCTGAAAACACATTTTTTGTTTGATGTGACAAAGTGACCGTTACAAATCGATTTGTTCTTTGAGTCAGGAGTGTATGTCATCAATAGATGGGAGCATCAGCTTCTTGTCTGGGATTAGTCGTGAGATTGAGCTTATATACTTCACAGAGAGACTTTTTCAACTGCCTTGTAAGGTAACAAAACTTAAAATGGAGTACATGTCATTCATATACATTATATTTGCATCAATAGACACCTCTATTCTGAGTGAACATGTTACATTGCACACCTCTAAGCAATTTTATATCTTTCCCTCTGTCTGACATGTTTCTCACATCCATGCTATCTATAATCTCTTCATTCATTCAACCACATGCATTTAAACTATAAGATAATACAACTGATTATTATTATGAATATTAATAAAGAATAATAATACAGATACATGATATCAAAAAATGAAAACATATTAGATTAAATTTTAGTCTTCAATATTCATACCCTTTTATCATTTAATGTTTTACTTGAAAAGGGATAAATAGAAAAATCTGTCACATGGAACCTTTAACATACAGATAAAATGTATCAAATATTCCAAAAACAACTCTAAACTAATTTATTAATTACACATTAACTGTTTCTTCATGTCACTCTAATCTAATTACTTTCTGCAGAATGTAAACCCTGAAGATGTTTCGTTTTCACTGGTAGTTGTGATGTGGAAGTGTCCAGCGATGGGACAAAAGTTGAGTAAAGTTTAGCTTGAGCTTCAACAGAAAAAAGACACACATTTACTTAAATCAACTGAACAGATGCTACAAATAATCTCAGAAAAAAAAAATATATATATATATACATATATATTCTGAATCAACTCATATCCAAAGAAAAGGCTATTTAGGATCTTATTGATTAACTACTGAGGACATTTTCTTTATTTTTTTATGAAATTGAGAAGACTTGAGAAACTGACAGATTCTCATATCCAGAAAAACCCTACTGGTGAACAGCAGGTCTGGGATGAACAGTCTATGGGAAAAACACATTGATTATTAATAATCTGACTTTTGAATGCAACTCTTTAGCATGTGTAGTTTTAGATATTTCTCTTACTGCGAGTGTGTTGTACAAGTCAGATGATCTGATGTTGGGCTCAAGAGATATATATGTGCCTTCACTGGGATCAGTTCTGGGATCAGTTCTAGGATCAGTTCTAGGATTGTTCTACAGGGAAACAGAAAATTACTATCACCACAACACAAGAGATATTGCAGAACAATCAAAAGTGTAATCACTGCACAGTGTTTCTTCTCACAAAATCCCGTAAAATCTTGAGTGTGGTATATATTCTACATGTACAAGCTGTAATTGATTCTGTGGTTCTGTGGCCATCTCACCTCATACTCGTCTATTGCAGATCTACAGTTTATCCTTTTCTTCTGTCTGTAAAAAAAAAAAAAAATGGAAACATGCCATTTCATTCTTTCATGCACTTCTGCATTAAGCAAAAGCTAATAATATTACTCTCTTTCGATAATTATATATGCACTTTTTATACAGTACGATGATGATGATGATGATGATGATGGTTACACATGCCACAGTGATTCCCAACCAGACGAGCCAACCAGCAGCAGGACCAACTGAAAGAGGGAGAATATCATTATAAAAATGCTGTAATGACCTTATATACATTAAAGTCAGAGATTAGGCTTTAAATAAGTTCTATAATGCATATGATGATAATTTTTAAAACATAATCAACACTACCTGACTACCTTTTCTCTTTGTTCATCTGGCAGTTAAAGGAGAACTCCGGCGCAAAATGAACCTTTGGTCTAATTACACATTGTTACCTATTCAACCGTTATCTGAGATTTGTTTTCATGATTGCCGAATGTAAATAGTTTTATCTATAAAAACACTTTAGCCTATAATGCTAGTATAACGCTAGTATATAAGGCATAGAGTAATGACAAATAAAAATCTTGCTTAACTAATGCACAGATAATACTGAATTAATGTGTAACTAATGATTATTTAAGCTATTCATTAATGATTACCACATTAGGAACTAACTAAGAGTCTGTAAGTTTCATCTATTAGTTCATACATGAATTGTTATCAATTAAATATGCAATTGTGGATTAATTCCATAATAACTCAATTTTTTAACTAATAGTGTTAATTAATATGTTAATTACCAGAATGAGCCAAAGCCTTGTATTTCAACTTCCAGATAATATGACAGGTACCCTAATATGCATTGATAGATGATTAATTGATTCATTGTTAGTGCAAATTCATGTGCAAATTACTAAATGACTAGTTAATAATGATGTGCCCCATCAAGTAAAGTCATAACATAATGATACCTTTGCAAATCATTAGCTAATGATTAATTAAAGCAGACGACTGGAAGTTGAAGTGCATAGCTTTGACTGATTGTGGTAATTAACACATTAATTTACACTATTAGTTCATAAAATATGTTATTAAGGAATTAATACACAATGACACATTGAATTAATAGCAATTCATGTAATACTTAATCTATTAATAATATAGACGCTTTATTAGTTGCTGATGCAGTAATCATTAATTAATGGTTTAGTTCTTCATGAGTTATACATTAACACATGATTATCTGTGCATTAGTAAAGCATGAATTAATGCATATTAGCGCACCCGTATTGTGAAGTATTACCTTAAACTCTGAGCTGAGTGTTAAATGAACACTGAAGCAGTGTTAAAGTTAGTGAGATAATTAAGTGAATAATTAAGTGATGATTGAGCATTATTGAAGACACCTGATGTTAACAAACAGAATCACTGAAGGAGAAAAACGTATCTTTTAAGTCACCATTATGGCTTCCCCGGAATATTGATCATTGGCCTTAAAGTCAAATTCCCATCATTCCCATCTTACCTGGAACTGATTGCCCCTCACACCTGCACTGCATTTACACACACACATAAAAGACACCTTCACACACCACATCTCTGCGAAGTCTTGATTTGCCCCGGTGATCATTTCTGAGCGTTTATTCCCTGATTCTGGTTTTGGACTTTGGACTGTTTACTGACTCTACGATTGATATCTGCCTGGCCTGAACTCGGACTGTTCCCTGGATTATGCTGTTGCCTTGTCTGCATTGCTCTGTCTGCCTTGTCTTGACCCTGATTAAACATCGTTTGATAGTTTCTTGCTATCTGGCGTAGCTATTCTGAGCGTGTTATTCAAACCTGTTTTCTGAAGTTATCTTATCAAAGCCTATTTCTGTGAATTTTGTGAATACAAATTTAGTTACTGTGTAAAACAAGAAAAAAAATACAGTCAGATTTATATTTATAGTTACTTATATGGTCAAATAAATAACTTACATAACAGAAAAAATAACAGCATTAGTTATGGTCAAGATCGAAACGCATCTGGGTTACTCACTCTTTATAACATCCAGATTCACTTCAGTGTAGGGATCTGGTCCTGGTTTATCAACTCCACAGTAGTATTTCCCAGAATCCTCTTCTGTCAGATCGCTGATGGTCACAGTGAAGACTGCTGATCTTGTGTCGTCATACAGAGAGAATCTTCCAGCATCAAACCATTTATCTTTAATATCAGTCCTGATTTGGTCTGTACAGTATGACCACTCTCCTTTACAAAAACACTTTGTATTCTCTGTATATCCTTCATCATATTTGCATGTGATCGTGACTCCTCCTCCTGAATATCCTGTAACACTCATGGAGCTCACGACACCTACAACAAACCAGCATTAAAACACTTTATTATGTTGATTAAGAGGATCCAAAAGTTTCCTCAGTTTCTCATCAGAGTGAAAGTTCAGAAACCCCATACAATTTCCCTTTATGGTAAATGGAAAATCTTGATAAACTTTGATTTGTATAAACCTCAAGTTTATTGAGAACTACACAAGTAAATGAGTCGAAAAATGATTTGTTCATTTTGATGAACGAGTTCGAACAGGCGAGCCACACAGAACAGAGCAAGGTGAGCGTTTCCCAGATAGCAAACTGACATTGAATCAACGTGGAAATATGACATCGAAACAACGTTGATCTGACATCGTTTTGCTCATCGAATTAACGTTGAACCAACTTCAGACGCGTCATTCTTTCAAAACTAACGGAAAATCAACTTGAAATCAACGTTATGAAAGCAAACCAATTTTCGATTTTCATTTAGCTTTGAAGAATGCCGCGTCTGACGTTGGTTCAACGTTAATTCGATGAGCAAAATCAACGTTGTTTCAATGTCACGAGAGACGTCGTTTCCACATTGATTCAATGTCAGTTTGCTGTCTGGGTTGTGCTTATAAAACTTAAACTTTTGTATTTATTTTTTAAATGGCCGCTAGTTTTGCGATGGCCAAAAGCCTAAATTGTAAATACCATGTTGATTATCTTGCAAAGAAATGAAAATTCACATTGGGTTTTCTGTAGGCTAAAGTCCTGTTTCTCGTTGGCTTCACGTAAACGCTTAGTTGCTGGTCTTTTTTTTGTCACAGATTGATTATGGAGATACTATCTACAGGATTGCCTCTCTGTCCACTTTGTCCAAACTTGACCCCCTCTATCATTCAGCTCTCAGATATTTCACCAACTAGTTTTAGGACGCATCATTGTACAAATTGGTAGGATCTCTTCATTTGCGCAGGCTCGAACATTGGTATATTTTAATTTATAAGGTATTTTAGGAAAACTTCCAATTTATTTAAACAGGATTTTTTTTTAATCATTTCAAAGCCGTCATATTCTCAGGTCACATCATTGGCTTCAGTTCACAGTTCAGAGGCTGGAAAGCTAAGCCTGTTCTATTATGGCTCTTGGTCTTTTGGAACGATTTGCAGACCAAACTTAAACTGCAATCCCTCATTAAACCTATATGATAAAACTGTTTGTTTCTATGCAACTAAATGTTTGTGTTTTATGCTGTGTCATGGTGTTGTATAACATGTTGTCATGGAGATTTGTTTTGTTGTGTTTTTGTTGTATGACAATGTTGTGATTGGTTATTATTAATTGTTAATATTTAATATTTTAATATTAACTTATTGTTGCTTGGAATTTGTTTAATCCTGCTATCTGACTCCTAGTTAAACTTTCCTAGTTAAATAAAGGTTAAAGGGCACCTATTATGGAAAATTCCCTTTTTACATGGTGTTTGAACATAAATGTGTGTTGGCAGTGTGTGAGCAAATCCACCCTGGAATAATAAAAATCCACCCAGTGTTTTTTTTTACAATCTCAATAAATCATATGCACTGCCTCAGAACGAGCTGTTCTGAGATTCAGCTCTTTGTGACGTAGAAAGTGAGACAGGGGTATGATTGACAGTGTGGCTGTGGCCTAGACCCCGCCCTCGGTGATCTGCACACCATCCTCCATTGTTTCAACGACGACAGCCGGTAATGTCTCTTGGAAACATAAGTGTTAAACAAAAGTTAATCCTCAAATGTGGATCGTCGTCTACTGTTTGCGATCCACCGTCATCTCCAGTAACAGTAAGTGTATTTTATGATTTTTGAGCAAATAGTCTTTTAAGTCAATGTCAGCCAATTCAACAACAAATGCGTCTAAAGTTGTTGTCGTCGTAGGATGTCTGTGGATATAATTTAAACCTTGTTTGTATAACGTTAGTGTGTAACCACACGTTTATATATATTTAAAGATATTGTATTAAAAACTGCATATATGTTGTTGTTATCTCCTCACATTTGCCACAGAAGCACCTGTATGACAAGCTAAACATGACGTCCCTCGTATAAATGTAATTTCGCTTGTACGTAGCAAACTTTATCACAGAATGTGTATGTAATTTCAAAAAAATTGCGCCAGCATTAGTGTTTGTGTGTGTGTGTGTGTTCCACATGCCCGTCATTTCAAAGGGGACGCGATTACAACGCTATAAATACATAAATGTATCAAATAACCATACCGAGACGTACTGGTCCATTCTCATTTGTGTTTATTCTGCCGGAGTCTCTTCGTACTATTTATATATTCCGATTCAAACGTACGCTGAATGACATATAAAACAGCGGTTTCTCTCAGTCTCTCAGTAACAACTGCCATTGGTATCAAGTTACGCCCTCATCCAAAGGCAGGGCGGGGATATGCAGCTCATTTGCATTTAAGGTAGTATACACCCAAATCAGCTCATTTTTAAGCAGGCCCCAAAATGACATTTTCAAATGGTTATAATAAATTAACTGTGGGGTATTTTGAGCTGAAACTTCACAAATACATTCTGGGGACACCAGATACCAATATTACATCTTGTAAAAAGGGGCATAATAGGTGCCCTTTAAATAAAAATTAATTAATTAATGTGAAGCTGCTTTGAAAAATATTGCTATCTTATTTTATTTAATGGCTATTGGCCTGTTCCTTTGTACGTAATTTCTACTACAGGTACACACCTATTATAAATATAAGCACTTACCCAGTTTAACCTGCAACATAATCTCTGAATAGACATCAGTAAAAATACTCCTCTCCACAGCACACCAGTATTGGCCTTCATCCTCTGTTCTCAGATCAGTGATGGTGACGGTGAAGACTCTGGCCGTCGTGTCGTCAGTCAGAGAGAATCTCTCGTCTTTAGCTGGAGATCCTGATTTAACTATGATGTCACTTGACAATAAACAGTCCCCTTTACAAAAATACTTTGGATATGTTTCATATCGAGATTCATATGAGCATCTGATGTCAACTCTCTCTCCTCTGAATCCAGTAACTGTCTGTGGAGCTCGACCACCAACAGCTGAAAACACACACATCATCATATAGAGCTGTTATGTGTGAGAAAGAGACGAATAATAACTCTCAAATCTCCTCCATATGAGTCTGATGATCAAGATGTCAAACTGTGTGTAAAAGAGCTGAGAGTCTGAAACTCACCTGTACAGATGCTGGAAAAGAGCAGCAGGACGTCCAACATCATGACATCTGACGAGCGTTTCGCTCAAATAAAACAACAAACTCTGTGTGACAAACGTTACTGTCCTTCTCTTCCGTACTGAGAGGACAATGTGTGTCAGCAACTAAATGTATATTTCCTTCCCCTTCTGACTCTCTAAATCACTTCCAGCTCTACATCATTTACTAGAAAACTAGAAAAAATCAAAAACCAAATTCACACAAAAAAAAACACACACAATACAATTTATAACATCACATTGAACAATGGTAAAGTCTAGATAGGGCTGCAACAACTAATCGATAAAATCGATTATAATCGATTTTGAAAATCGTTGTCAACGAATTCCATTATCGATTAGTTGGTCTGATTACGTCACGGGGATTGTTTACATGTTACATGCGCTTCATGAGGCACACATGCAAGGTCTCTCTCCCTCGCCGCTCTACCCTGCCTCGCGCGCGCAATACGGGCTGTTTGGCGCACATTATCTTCTGTCCCTCATGCGCGCTCTTGAGTTGTTTGAAATAATTTGCGGGCATCAGCGAACCACTATCAATACGCCGCATACACGAAAATCACTCACCTTTCAGCACAATTCGCCGTCTTGAAACCAATCGTGTATACTTTATACTATATGAAGCCATACTATAGTATAATGTGAGATAGAAATGTATATTTAAGTCATTAAATTCAAGTTGACGTAAGCTTTTCCCTCCCTGTTATCATTCTCCATATGTCGGTGTTTAAACAGCGCGTCGCGTTCGGTTACGAGAGTCAACACGATGAAACTCTTTCCAAGATGATTAAATGGTAATATTATTATAATTAATAGGTAGATAGATAGGTCTATGGTTTCATAAAATGACTATCTTGCTAGTCTTTTATTGCTTTAACTTAATCACTTATGAGTGTCTGTTAGATCACACGCACTAGAGTCAGCGCACTAGATTGTAATTGAAGAGTTCAAATGCAAAAGCCTCTAAATGCCATTTGAAATTTTCTTCTTTAATGATGATTTTTATCAAACTTGTATATTTAAGTTCAGTAATTTCACTTAAATAACAATTAATAGGTAATTATCATTGCCATTTAAGTGAAATTACTGAACTTAAATATACAAGTTTGATAAAAATCATCATTAAAGAAGAAAATTTCAAATGGGATTTAGAGGCTTTTGCATCTGAACTCTTCAATTGTTCTTCACGCGCACAGTCGCCTAACTGAAATTTAAAACTGCTAAAAAAGAAAAGGCTGAATAAACTATTGCATAGATACTGTATAATACACTATCTTTCTCTTTCCTTGGTGCTTTTAACTTTTCAATGCGGCGGACTCGAAGAGCTGCGCACCGCCCTGTGACTCAGTATCGCTTAAAGTGCATCATTCAGCGCTTTCGGTGCGCATAAGCGCTGTGTTCAGCACTGTTTGAGTCTTTCACAATCATGTCATAATACTTTTGCGCAATGAAAGCATATTAATAGCCTTTCTTGTTCTGTCCTATCTATAATATGTTGCTGCTGTGCTTTACATTTAAAACAGCTGTGCATCTTAGTTTTACGTTGTTATTTTACAACAATACAAAGAGCACGTAACGTTTTTCCAATTTTATTTGTTCCCCACGAAGGAATTTTTTTTTTCTCTAAATGTTCAGATTTTATGCGATTATTGCGCACTTGTGATTTTTCTAGGCTAAGTTTTGCTGAGTTATCCACTAATCTAGTTTACAATAGCATTTTTGTCATAGGTTATGGTCATATATATATTTTATTCGTTGTTTTTCTGTATTAAGTAGATTTTAACACACAAAATAGTGATTATCAGATCAACGAGGCCTCACCCTGCTCGCCACAACCCTGATTTAGGGTTTTATTTAGTTATGATAAACAAAAAAATTAATATAATTTTTATCCGATTAATCGGAAAAATAATCGTCCGATTAATCTATTATCAAAATAATCGTTAGTTGCAGCCCTACTAGAGAGTGAAAATGTCACGTAAAATTCATCTAATGAGAAAAAAGCTTTGACAGAATCGATGAATGACTCTGACATTCTTATAAAATCGGTGGATAAAGGAGGTGCGATTGTAGTTCAGGATGCGAGCAAATACCGACAAGAAATACTTTCACAATTAGACAGTAAAAAGTTCTATAAAAAAAATTCTAAAAGATCCTACGGATATTTATCAATCTGAAATATTGGCTTTTTTAAACTTTAGGTTGGATATCTCAATCGGAGTTCAAATTCTTGTACTCTCAACACCCGATTAGACCTGTTTTTTATACTCTTCCGAAAACTCATAACAGACTTATTGATCCTCCAGGTCGACTCGCCCTATCGTGGCACAGACTAATTCTCTCTTATCTCCTTTATCTGATTTCTTTATAAGCCTTTTGTTTTTCGTTACCAAGAATAGCACAAACACACACCCTACATATGACATACCCACATATGACATTCCCTAAATTAAAAAGTTGCTGCTCATAAGTCATTTTGAATAGACACATAACTCATATATTTAGAAAACCACTCTTGAGAGTTTCCAGTTCAAGACTCAAAATGAATCAAGATAAGTGTTGGGCCCCCCCCCCCCCCCCCCCCCCCACACACACACACACACACACACTCAGACGCACCCCCCACACACCCCCACAAAACTAATACAAATAATCAAATTAGTTCAACACTTTTGTTGTTTTTACTCATCTAACGTTTTATTCAAATAAATAAGCTACAAACTTTTAAATAGGCCTACCAACCAAAACTACTGTAACTAAAGACTTTACAATAAAGTTCAAATGTTATATAAAAAAAAGAACAAAAAAACTTAGTTACAAGCAGTAGCCCCCCAAAAATAGAACAAAGATGCAACAGATTAAATGCAGTTTTAAAGGAGAACTCCGGCGAACAATGAACCTTTGGTCTAATAAAACATCGGTAGCCTACATAGTCAATCGTTCTCTGAGATTTGTTTTCATGATAATCGAATGTAAAGAGTTTTATCTCTAAAAACTGTTTAGCGTATAATGCTAGTAATGGGGGCATTGAGTAAGTAAAAAGAAATCGCTAGTTTATACCACTAACAAGGCTCAAAATAGCCCCACACTAACACAGTAACATAATGAGGGTCCCAGTATGCAAAACGAAGCATTGAGAACTTTGTAAGTGTACAGACCGTTTAATAAGAAGATACTTTATGAAGACAGTTCACTTCGCGTATACAGACAGCAGCCATCTTAGAAAAACAGTCTCGACAAGTCGATCCACGAACGACGTTCATACAGTTCAGCTCACTCAGCACGTCGTTCGTGGTTCGACTTATCGAGACTGTTTTCCAAAGATGGCTCCTGCTGTGTATACCCGAAGTGGACTCTTTATTAAGTCCAGGGCGTTATTTATCTTTATAAAGCTTCAAATTAATAATTTAGTTTATACACTGCAAAACTGCAGATGCAATAAATAGCCTGTTATGAGATTAATGTTTTAAATAAATGTTTTAATTTATACAAGGAAAAAAAAAACAACAACTTTTAAACATGAAACTAAACCACCAGTAGGTGGCGGCAAGCGGCCGTCTTAAAAAGTGAGTCATTCGTTTAAACGATTCGTTCAAAACACAGAATGATAGTAATTATTCAGTAACAAAACACTGCGCTGATTTTTGTTTTCCTCTGGAACTATTTTCATAGATGAAATAAAGTCAATAACGTGTCTAAAATTTAGGTAACTTAATATAGGCCTACAGGCTACTTGTTTATGATAATAAACATTTATGATCATTAAATAGGCCAACCTACTTCGTGATGATATTCAGTAAAACAGCTTCATTGGTCGTGTTATGTAAGTAGCCTAAATCATACATTAGCCTATATATATATTTGTACTTAAAAAATATTATAATAATACTACTTTAGCTGTTGTAAATCTAACAAATCTTTTTCTGAGTCAATTCTTTCATTTCGTTCGCTGAATGAACCAAATGACACGAAAAACATGAACGAATTGACTCGGACAAAGATTCGTCCATTTTGATGAACAAGTTCGAACAGGAGAGTCACGAACGCGCATCACAGAACAGAGCAAGGCGAGCATTTGAGCTTATAAAACTTAAACTTTGTTATTTAGTTTTTAAATGAGCGATCGTTTCGCTTGATAAGACCCGTATTCATCATCTGGAATCGTAAAACCCTTTGAACAGTTTGCACCGAAACTCTCATTTGGACCTTGAACCGTTTGGTTCCCATTGAAGTCCATTATATGGAGAAAATCCTGGAATGTTTTCATCAAAAACCTTCATTTCTTTTCGACTGAAGAAAGAAAGACATGGACATCTTGGATGACATGGGGGTGAGTGAATTATCAGCAGTTTTTTTTTAAAGTGAACTAATGGGGCACTAATCCTATAATCCCACAGTGACGCATCTGATTGGTGAAAGTCGTGTAACTGTCTGGTTAAACCCCATGAAGGTCCGTGAACACTGAAGATCGTGTAATGACGTAGGGCTAGTTCATTGGTCGCACCTCAGAGACGCCCCCACGCCATTGGATGTGCAATTGCCACAGTAGCCTATGAGCGAGCCAGATGCTCAGTGTTTTAGCATATGCTGCTGCAAATGTGTTTTACATATAAGCTTCAGTAAATCGAGGAGAAGGAGTTTCCCTCCACATTCACTATATAAAATTGGCCGTCGTCAGATTTGGAAGTCACTCAAGGTCTCTTGTTGAGAAGATCACTGGATCACTGGATTATCTGCAGTGGAGTAGATCATTGGATCTGGTTTATCTGCAGTGGAGTAGATCGTAGAAACTTGAATCTGGATTATCTGCAGTGGAGTAGATCGTTGAATCTGGTTTATCTGCAGTGGAGTAGATCATTGGATCTGGTTTATCTGCAGTGGAGTAGATCATTGGATCATCTGGACTTTCTGCTGTATTGTAGATAGTATCTCTGTTCTTGCACTTGAACTCGCTGATTTCCTGATAATTATGGTCACTCCAGTCAATGTCCTGCAAAGGAACTCATGTTATCTTCCAAACCATTACACATTTGAACACATTTGAGCAGAAACATGTTGAGTTTTAGATGCAGGAGAGACATGTTCAGAGTCAGCAACACTCACCTCTGCAGTGGTTTCTGCTCTTGTACTCAAAGGCAACAGCCCGACTGCGACTGCCAAAACATGAGGAGAAATAAAGTTACATTCAAACAGCAAACATTAGAAAGAGCCGTGTGTGTAAGCGTAAGTAAGTGTGTGTGTGTGTGTGTGTGTTTAGTTTCTGAGAAACGTGCATCTAAATCTGACCATGCTGGGAAAGTCCTGATTGTGTAACTCTTGATGATTTCTTGCTTCTTTTCCTGAACAACACGATCAGCGCCATGAGGAAGATGATCATGATGAAGACTAACCCAACACAGATGTAGATGACAGACCCTGAACGAGAGGCCTGACCTGTAACACACATTTAACGTCCTTTAAACTGATGTATAGATGTATCACACTCAAATACTCAAGAAATATGAGTCATAAAGAGTGGCAGACAGATGAAAACTGACCATCAGTGACGTGATGATCTGTGGGATTCATGCTGGTTATTCGTAGATTCGGTTCTGATGTACTGAAATATGATGATGATGATGTTTTTGAAAAAGAGCTGATAGTTGAAACCTCAGTAGTCTTATTTGATAGCCTGACTACGTCAGACTTCCTACTTCCGCTAATTTCATTTCGCTCCTGTAGTGAGTCTGAGATAGCGGCCTATCTTTCAGTTTTCCACCGGCCTGAAAACAGCCGGCCAATCAACGAACAGAGGGCGGGCTGAGAGCCGTGACGTAGCCGCTAAGCGCCGAGTTTACATTGTAGGTTAGAGAAATCGAAAACCGAAACAACCGCAGAAATGGGAAACAAGACACGGGATGCAATTCGCTCTGTTATGGAGAACATTCTGGGGTTTTTCCAAACTGAAGCAAAAGTCGTTTACAGCCGTGTTCACTCCGGTATTTCGCTCGCATCATCAGTGTTTACAGCCAGGACTGGCGAGTGCACTTCTGCCGCTCTAGGCGAAAAAACAATTTTGCTGCCCCTCTATTTGCAACGTAGCTATACCAGCAAAAACCAGCATGCTTGGCCATTATGTAGCTTGCACAACGCGCATACACTTTTGATTCTCTCATCAACACAGATGCAGTCGTTTTTATTTGTGCAAATCATTATAACAAGGAAAAATATTAACACTTCAAGCTTAGGCGTTTAGGCTACCCAATTTTTTCAGGCTAATTGTAGTAATGACGGATCAGACCTGTTTGGCCATAACTATACGACAATTCACAACAATAACAGACGCTCTTCCGGGTGGCAAAAGCCGAAGCGTCCCTATGGCAACACTAATAAATTGATTGGAGGGAGACACACCATCGGCAGAAGCCTAATCTATATTTCAACAGTTGATTCAAAAAAAATTCAGACATAGTTAACATGATCATTAGAGCTTAGATTCTTTGATCTAGAGACGTGCACTCCCAACGCACTAGACCGCGACGCGGGACTCGATCTGATGGCCGAGTGTAATGCATTCACTCTGTGTGCGCGGATTGCAGGAGAATAAAACAATTCGCGGGACTCCCGCAAACTAGAAATATCTATGAATAAAACAAATAAAAACTAATACATTTGTATTCATCAGTTGCAGAAAAGCAACAAGAACAACTAAAACAAAATAGAAATGACTTACATGGCAGAGTTTCTTTTTATAACGTGACTGCAGCGATGAGCGATGTAGCCAATCACAGACAAATGTGTTGATTTATTGAACGCAATGGCCAATCAGAAGCATTTACGATGAAGAAGCATTTACTCACCGCTCAAAAGAAAGTAACATAGAAAGTAATATAAATTAACTAACTTAGTTGAGAACGTCAGTTGTATAACGACCCACGTATTAAAAATGGTTGGGTTTAAATCGGGCTCAGGCTCATAATTAGAAGATGACATGCACTTTTGACGACGTCCACTCGCTTTAACCTCCTCACCCACAGTTTCCGCTGGATAGATTTACTTTTTTCTGAAGGAAATCGATAAAAAAAAACTACACCTTTAGCTGTATATCTGGTGGCGCAACCCCAAACACAACATATTTTCGCCATAGATTCAACTTTGATCAACAACAATGATTTTAACTATGTAACTGTTCAGTTGCCGGCTGGATCTCTTCAGTTAGTCGATAGAAGCCGCTCGCGTTCTGCCACCCGGAAGTATCGCGGAGCCTATTGTTTACAAACATTCTGAAATGCCCTATATGCATAACTATAAGGGCATAACTTACCCCCATTCAACGTCAGTTCTCCGTCTTCTTCGGCCATGACATGAAAGTCGGTCTCCTCGGCTGTGAACGCTCCTGGTGCGCTCTTATTATTATATTATTATTATCATAATAATAATCCACCATATTTCGTTTCGACATCCTGCTGCATTAGTCCCATATATGTGATTCATGAACGATCTGTTCATTGCGTATGTCACGTGACAAATGAACGTAAGACTCGGAAGGTAAAGTGATTATTTATGTTCCCCGTAAGTCATATTTTAGTGCATTATAATTTCTTAATTCAGAATATGATCAACATTGCGTAGGTGGATGTGATCGGGGAATTTGGCTGTTAAAATTATAACATTAAGCCACTTAAATAAACGAAATGACTCGGAAAATGCACTTCCTATTCATGACTCGCGAGAGCAGCGGCTCGGTCTCGCCCTCGCGGCGCTTCGGAAACTAACTTAAATCAGACTCGTGAGAGCGGGGCACGCCGACGTTGCGGGGCGGCCGCAACTCAGTAATTCATATAAATAACTTAGTTTGTGAATTATTCATTCCCGGTTAACTCACATTTTGCAGCCCTTACAAAAGCGCCGCCCCCTGTCTACAGTGGAAGTTCGATCATAGATTTGAGTTCGATGCATAATGTCTCGATGCGGCCGTGCCGGCGCATAACATACGTCATAAATAAACTTATCTGATTGGTTTACGGGTAACCAATGATTTTAAACTTCAGAGAAGCGCCCCCTTGCGAGAGAGAAAACACTTCTCTATTATGCCATTCCAGACTCTGTCTACGAAGCAAAGTGAAGTAGCAGAGTCTGGTATTACCAGGCTAGTTATCTGATGGATGACAGGAAAGATCAACTTAAAGTCAAAGTTTCTAAAACACTGACACAATAAATAAATATTAATTTGTTCTGTTGTCTTCTAGGCCTGCTTTTAACTGAATGATTGTATAATTTAATAACTTTGCAACAATGAAACTTTTATTTTCCTGTTTATTAATGTTAAGCTGCTTTGAAAAAATATTGCTGCCTTATTTTATTTAATCACTAATTGGCCTGTTGCTTTGTAGGTCATTTCTACTTCAGGTTACACCTATTATAAATATTAGCACTTACCCAGTTTAACCAGCAACATAATCTCTGAATAGACATCAGTAATAATAATCCTCTCCACAGCACACCAGTATTGGCCTTGATCCTCTGTTCTCAGATCAGTGATGGTGACGGTGAAAACTCTGGCCGTCGTGTCGTCAGTCAGAGAGAATCTCTCGTCTTCAGCTGGAGATCCTGATTTAACCATGATGTCACTTGACAATAAACAGTCCCCTTTACAAAAATACTTTGAATATGATTCATATCCAGATTCATATGAGCATCTGATGTCAACTCTCTCTCCTCTGAATCCAGTAATTGTCTGTGGAGCTCGACCACCAACAGCTGAAAACACACACATCATCATATAGAGCTGTTATGTGTGAGAAAGAGACATAAGCAGACCAGAATAATAACTCTCAAATCTCCTCCATATGAGTCTGATGATCAAGATGTCAAACTGTGTGTAAAAGAGCTGAGAGTCTGAAACTCACCTGTACAGATGCTGGAAAAGAGCAGCAGGACGTCCAACATCATGACATCTGACGAGTGTTTCGCTCAAATACATGAACAAAGTGACAAACGTTACTGTCCTTCTCTTCCGTACTGAGAGGATAATGTGCGTCAACATCTAATATTGGCATTTCCTTCCCCTTCTGTCTCTCTAAACCACATCCAGCTCTACAGCAATTACTCTGACCAACTTTGCTTAGAAAAAATCAAAAAACAAATTCCACATATTATAAGCATATCTCTATGAGCATTAAAGCTATACATACAATTGCCATGTTCATGTTGGAAGCGGAGCAACAGTTTGTTATACAGTTTCATAAAGTTTTGGCCGCGAAGGAGGTGAACTTTGTAACAGTTTTTGTTTCGTGTTGCTCAAACGAACGTGAAACCGTGAAAACTGGCACTGATTAAGTGAAAGAAGATTTGCTGTGTCGTCGGATAGAGTGACGTAAGGGAATCCCGCAATCCAGTCATGAAAATGGAAAGATGTCACGTAAAACACGCGAAATAATGGATGGAGACATGGAAAGTAGAACTGACTGCAATAAATCGCAACATGATCTGTGAATATTTAAGCATATTTAAAAATACTGGATCCGTGTAACGCTTCAAAATTCAATTTTCGGACCATAAAATGCAAATGAAAAAAATTTAAAAAATGGAAATCAGACATTTATTTTTCTTGTTTTTCCAGTTACATTATCAATGGATAGTTGCCTTTTTTCAATTTTACTTGAAATTGTGATGTCATAAACAAATATTTGAATAAATGAAATCTAAATGATTTTTAAAATTTTCGTCTTGTAATTTGCGCCGTGGGCGGTACCGTTAGCACAGGGGCGTGGCTGCAGACTAACTTTACTATCATTTCATTGATGCAACTGCTTTATTTCCACTGCATGACCGTTGAGGAGAAGATTAAAATACAGACCATCATCATCATAAAGCCACGCTTTATTTGTCATGTGGAAACGCGAAAACGAAAACATACATTTTTGTACACTTATTATTCATCAATTATTATTTAATGCAACTTGCCAACTTTGAATGTGTAAATAAAATAAACTCACACTCACATGCAAAACGAAGCATTGATTATACTTTAAAATCCCTTCCCAGATAGCAAACTGACATTGAATCAACGTGGAAATATGACATCGAAACAACGTTGATCTGACATTGTTTTGCTCATCGAATTAACGTTGAACCAACGTCAGACGCGTCATTCTTTCAAAACTAACGGAAAATCAACTTGAAATCAACGTTGTTTCAACGTTATGAAAGCAAACCAATTTTCGATTTTCATTTAACTTTGAAGAATGCCGCGTCTGACGTTGGTTCAACGTTAATTCGATGTGCAAAATCAACGTTGTTTCGATGTCATGAGAGACGTCGTTTCCACGTTGATTCAATGTCAGTTTGCTGTCTGGGTCCGCTAGTATATGGGGGCATATAATAAATAAAAAGAAATCGCTAGATTATACCACTAACAAGGCTCAAAATAGCCCCACACTAACACGGTAACATAATGAGGGTCCCTGCATGCAAAACGAAGCATTGAGAACTTTGTAAGTGTACAGAACGTTTAATAAGAAGATACTTTATAAAGACAGTTCCCTTCGTGTATACAGACAGGAGCCATCTTTGGAAAACAGTCTCGACAAGTCGATCCACGAACGACGTTCATACAGTTCAGCTCACTCAGCACGTCGTTCGTGGTTCGACTTATCGAGACTGTTTTCCAAAGATGGCTCCTGCTGTGTATACCCGAAGTGGACTCTTTATTAAGTCCAGGGCGTTATTTATCTTTATAAAGCTTCAAATTAATAATTTAGTTTATACACTGCAAAACTGCAGCTGCAATAAATAGCCTGTTATGAGATGAATGTTTTAAATAAATGTTTTAATTTATACAAGGAAAAAAACAACAACTTTTGAACATGAAACTAAACCACCAGTAGGTGGCGGCAAGTGGCCGTCTTAAAAAGTGAGTCATTCGTTTAAACGATTCGTTCAAAACACAGAATGATAGTAATCATTAAGTAACAAAACACCGCGCTGATTTTTGTTTTCCTCTGGAACTGTTTTCGTAGGTGAAATAAAACTAAAACAGTTAATAACGTGTCTAAAATGTAGGTAACTTAATATAGGCCTACGGGCTACTTGTTTATGATAATAAACATTTATGATCATTAAATAGGCTAACCTACTTCGTGATGATATTCAGCAAAACAGCTCCATTGGTCGTGTTATGTATTAAGTAGCCTAAATAATACATTAGCCTATATATATATATTTTTTATACTTAAAAAATATTATAATAATACTACTTTAGCTGTTGTAAATCTAACAAATCTTTTTCCGAGTCAACTCGTTCATTTCGTTCGCTGAATGAACCAAATGACCCGAAAAAACATGAACGAATTGACTCGGAAAAAGATTCGTCTATTTTGATGAACGAGTTCGAACAGGAGAGTCACGAACGCGCATCACAGAACAGAGCAAGGCGAGCATTTCAGCTTATAAAACTTAAACTTTGTTATTTAGTTTTTAAATGAGCGATTGTTTCACTTGATAAGACCCTTATTCATCGTCTGGAATCATTTAAAGTCCTTTGAACAGTTTGCACTGAAACTGTCTTTTGGACCTTAAACCGTTTGGACCCCATTGAAGTCCATTATATGGAGAAAATCCTGGAATGTTTTCATCAAAAACCTTAATTTCTTTTCGACTGAAGAAAGAAAGACATGGACATCTTGGATGACATGGGGGTGAGTAAATTATCAGCAGTTTTTTTTTTAAAAGTGAAATAATGGGGCACTAATCCCATAATCCCACAGTGATGCATCTGATCGGTGGAAGTCGTGTAACTGTCTGGTTAAACCCCACGAAGGTCCGTGAACACTAGGGTTGGGTATCGAGAATCGAGTATCGATTGGAACCGAGACTAACTTTTTGTTTTTCCAGGAATCGTTCAAAAGTTAAAATTTCGATTCCTAGTTTTGATATTCACAGTCCGCCGAGCGGAAGAAGAAACCGCTGAACAACACCAACGAAGAAGCGTCTACCGGAAGTGTTGGCATAACCGCGCGAGTCGAACATGAGTAGCTTACGTCGGCGATCCAAAGTGTGGCTTCACTTTTCTAAAAATAACGAAATCTTGGCAAAATTCAAAATTTGTGACAAAAGGAGTATTTGTGACAGGAGTATTTCCTTCAGAAAGGCCGTTGGTTAGCAAGGTTAGCTAAACTTTTTTGACCCTGTATCTTACAAGAATCAGAATCGAGAATCGTTAGGAACCGGAATCGAAACAAGGAATCAGAATCGGAATCGTTCAAATTCAAACGATACCCAACCCTAGTGAACCCTGAAGATCGTGTAATGATGTAGGGCTAGTTCATTGGTCGCACCTCAGAGACGCCCCCGCGCCATTGGATGTGCAGTTGCGGCAGTACAGCCTATGAGAGAGCCAGATGCTCAATGTTTTAGCATGTGCTGCTGCAAATGTGTTTTACATATAAGCTTCAGTAAATCGAGGAGAAGGAGTTTCCCTCCACATTCACTATATAAAATTGGCCGTCGTCAGATTTGGAAGTCACTCAAGGTCTCTTGTTGAGAAGATCACTGGATCACTGGATTATCTAGTGGAGTAGATAGTTGAAACTGGTTCATCTGCTGTTGAATCTGGATTATCTGCAGTGGAGTAGATCGTTGAAACTGGTTTAACTAATGTTGAATCTGGATTATCTGCAGTGGAGTAGATCGTTGAATCTGGTTTAACTAATGTTGAATCTGGATTATCTGCAGTGGAGTAGATCGTTGAATCTGGTTTAACTAATGTTGAATCTGGATTATCTGCAGTGGAGTAGATCGTTGAATCTGGTTTAACTAATGTTGAATTTGGACTTTCTGCTGTAGTGTAGATAGTGTCTGTGTTCTTGCACTTGAACTCGCTGATTTCCTGATAATTATGGTCACTCCAGTCAATCTCCTGCAAAAGAACTCATGTTATCTTCCAAACCATTACACATTTGAACATTACACCATTATTTGTTATCACCAGCAGAAACATGTTGAGTTTTAGATGCAGGAGAGACATGTTCAGAGTCAGCAGCTCCAAACCAATGAGCAACAATCAGCTTTTAGACATTACAGTGGGTGTTTTAAAGAGCTTATAGATATAAAATAATAATCATCATCATCATCATCATAAACACTCACCTCTGCAGTGGTTTCTGCTCTTGTACTCAAAGGCAACAGATCGACTGCGACTGCCAAAACATGAGGAGAAATAAAGTTATATTCAAACAGCAAACATTAATGGTAAATGGACTGCATTTATATAGCGCCTTTATAGACCTAATGGCCACCAAAGCGCTTTACATTTGCCTCACATTCACCCATTCATACACCCATTCATACACTCATTCATACACCGACGGCGGTGTCAGCCATGCAAGGCGCCAGCCAGCTCGTCGGGAGCAGCTTTAGAAACATTAGAAAGAGCCGTGTGTGTGCCTTAGGGCTGGGCGATATGGCCAAAAACTCATATCTCGATATTTTTTGGTCAAATGGCGATATACGATATATATCTCGGTACTTTCTACGTTTTCTATTTAGATAAAGAAAATCTTTATATTTAAAAAAAAATATATATATATATATATATATATATATATATTCACATTCGGCCCAATGATATCCTACAAACAATGTTGATATTGAAGGATATGGAAACAAATATAATATAGGCTATGCAATATATTATGTGCAAAAAGCTTTTGTTTTTATATTGACTAAAAGCTCAACTAAAAATGAAAATAAAAACAAAAACAAAAGCACAAACTAATTATATTAGCCTCCATTTGATTACCCCATTATAATCACTTTCACTTTCATTAAAAATATATACTTGTAGGTTTAAAATTCCACATATGGCACATTTATTTTCTCCAACAACAAATATTTTAGCAATATGTTTATTTTAGTCAGAATTATTGCGTACTACGTAGTACTATTCACGCGCATGCGCGCGCCGGCGCTCGTTCAAGGAAGCATGAATTTTAGCGGAGATTCACTTGCAGAAGCTCGTCCTCTTCTGACATGGACATATTTGTTGTGAAATGGACATATTTGCTTTACTTTCTAACATTTACAGATGGAGAATATACCTGTGAAATGTAAGTTGAGCACTGAGGAAAGCACCACATCTCAAACGCATTAAACAGCGCAAGTATATCTGTCAGTCAGCAACAGTGTCTGTCAGAGCATTTGACAGGGCGGCAAGCTGCCTTAAACTTGTTAACTATATCAAAGTGATTTTGACGCAATTAATATAAGCTTGTGTCATGTTTAGGACAAATTGTACTACGTAGCCTAGCTACTTTCACTGCAGTAGCTCACACTGCAACCTCCGCTATTTTTCAGATGTGCTCATATCAAACTACTGTATCGATATAAACGGTATTGCCTCATTCCATCAAATATAACGATACATCGTACATATTCGATATATCGCCCAGCGCTAGTGTGCCTGTGTATTTAGATGAGCTCAATGATTGACTGTCAACATCTTTTCCACATAATCAACCAGATCCATCCATTTAATCCCTGATTTATACAAAACTCATTTCCACCATAGTGAATGATAACGATAGCTCACATTGCATTTATAACTAGCTGTATAAAAGCAATAGATGTCTATGAAAAATCCCCATTTAGAGCGTAAGTAAGTCTGAGAAACGTGCATCTAAATCTGACCGTGCTGGGAAAGTCCTGATTGTGTAACTCTTGATGATTTCTTGCTTCTCTTCCTGAACAACACGATCAGCGCCATGAGGAAGATGATCATGATGAAGACTAACCCAACACAGATGTAGATGACAGACCCTGAACGAGAGGCCTGACCTGTAACACACATTTAACGTCCTTTAAACTGATGTATAGATGTATCACACTCAAATACTCAAGAAATATGAGTCATAAAGAGTGGCAGACAGATGAAAACTGACCATCAGTGACGTGATGATCTGTGGGATTCATGCTGGTTATTCGTAGATTCGGTTCTGATGTACTGAAATATGATGATGATGATGTTTTTGAAAAAGAGCTGATAGTTGAAACCTCATCTGATGGATGACAGGAAAGATCGACTTAAAGTCAAAGTTTCTAAAACACTGACACAATAAATAAATATTAATTTGTTCTGTTGTCTTCTAGGCCTGCTTTTAACTGAATGATTGTGTAATTTAATAACTTTGCAAACAATGAAACTGTATTATTATTATTATTATAGATATTATTATTATATCTATTTTGCTGTTTATTAATGTGAAGCTGTTTTGAAAAAATATTGCTGCCTTATTTTATTTAATCACTAATTGGCCTGTTGCTTTGTAGGTAATTTCTACTTCAGGTTACACCTATTATAAATATAAGCACTTACCCTGTTTAACCAGCAACATAATCTCTGAATAGACATCAGTATTAATACTCCTCTCCACAGCACACCAGTATAGGCCTTCATCCTCTGTTCTCAGATCAGTGATGGTGACGGTGAAGACTCTGGCCGTCGTGTCGTCAGTCAGAGAGAATCTCTCGTCTTTAGCTGGAGATCCTGATTTAACCATGATGATTTTATTTAACGATAAACACTCCCCTTTACAAAAATACTTTGGATTTGATTCATATCTAGAATCATATGAGCATCTGATGTTAAGTGTCTCTCCTCTGAATCCAGTAATTGTCTGTGGAGCTCCACCACCAACAGCTGAAAACACACACATCATCATATAGAGCTGTTATGTGTGAGAAAGAGACGAATAATAACTCTCAAATCTCCTCCATATGAGTCTGATGATCAAGATGTCAAACTGTGTGTAAAAGAGCTGAGAGTCTGAAACTCACCTGTACAGATGCTGGAAAAGAGCAGCAGGACGTCCAACATCATGACATCTGACGAGCGTTTCGCTCAAATAAAACAACAAACTCTGTGTGACAAACGTTACTGTCCTTCTCTTCCGTACTGAGAGGATAATGTGCGTCAGTTACTAGAATATACGTTTCCTTCCCCTTTCTGTCTCTCTAAACCACATCCAGCTCTACAGGACATCATAGAGAGCTCATTTACTCTGATCAACAGCACATGCTTTGCTTAGAAAAAAATCTAAATCAAAAAACAAATTCCACACATATCTATGAGGATTGAAGTTATACTTACAGTTGTGAAATCACACCCAACACATTCTCATCCTAGGGCGTCATGTAGTGGCGCTTTTCACAATGCGTATACATAGCTGCCAACTCTCACGCATTGGCCGTGAGACACCCGCATTTGATTGGTTTCACACGCTCACACGCCACACCCCCGATTTCTCACGCTGAAGTGTCAACCCTCACGTTTTTCCGGGTTTCTCACGTATTTTAGCTCTTTTACTGTCTTCCCATGTTAGTATTTCCCGTAAAATATCTCGTATTTTTACACTCTGATCTTAGTATTTAAACATTCTCTATAGTATTTTTTTAATGACACAGCTCTTTCTCACACATATGTCGGCTAGTTCTGAACTCTTTCAACTTTTTGAACAATCGAGTCCTGGTGTCCACTACTGAGGTCATAGCATAATATAGGATTAAAATATCTTTTTTTTTTTTTTTTCCATTTGTTTCTTATGCTCTTAATAATGTAAAAAAAAAAAAAAAATCCCGTATTTTCGCGATGGATTCCGGGAAATCTCCCTTATTTTCATTGTTCAATGTTGACAGCTATGCGTTGATCCCAGACAGCAAACTGACATTGAATCAAGGTGGAAACGACGTCTCTCATGACATTGAAACAACGTTGATTTGCTCATCGAATTAACGTTGAACCAACGTCAGACGCGGCATTCTTCAAAGCTAAATGAAATCGAAAATTGGTTTGCTTTCATAACGTTGAAACAACGCGTTGATTTCAAGTTGATTTTCCGTTAGTTTTGAAAGAATGACGCGTCTGACGTTGGTTCAACGTTAATTCGATGAGCAAAACAATGTCAGATCAACGTTGTTTCGATGTCATATTTCCACGTTGATTCAATGTCAGTTTGCTATCTGGGATGTAATTTCAAGTGTTCGTTTTTAAAATAAGTTTGTTTTTAGTTAGTTATGTGATGATAAAAACGGTGCTCTGACATCATGATTGACAGGTTCACTGTGCGAGGTAGTCACTGAAGCACCAGCTAACTTTTTTTAATAATGTTGATTATGTGGTTAGTAGTTGTATTTGCCTTATTTTAACGAGATTCTTTAGAGGCCACTTACTGAAAGTGCAAGGCGTGTGCTTGCGTTTGATTCAGCGAGAATGAGGGCGGGGCCTTGATTTCGCGGCTTTACTTCCTGCGCAGACTCAAGATCAAGATGTCAGCGTCATATTGCGACACTGACGGCTTCAGTTCAAAAGAGCGAAGGGGCGTCGTCCATCTTTTTTTACAGTCTATGATTTCCTCATAATGGCTGCTTGTTGCTATATTTTTCATTTTTAATAGCTTTATTGACTGTCGATGAGGTGTTTCAAATAATATTGAAGTTTGAGTCATTTTTAGATTTTATTCACATTCTTTATTTAGTTGTTAGAAACATTTAAGTAATATTATACACTTTATAAACTGATAATAGTAAAAAAAAAGTGTGACAAAAGCATTGTACCCAATTTTATTTTTTTGGATCATCAATCTGAAATGTTTTTGGACAGGCATTTTCATTTAAAGTTGATCACTGAATATATCAGACCCTCGTTAGTTGCGTTTGAGATGTTTTTTGGATTTGTTGCCGTTGTGTAGATCATTTCTATCCCGCTGTCCTGTGTTGCGTCAGGACGCTTTATACTGGCATAATAATCACCGGCTGTATCTGTCACCTGATTGGTCGAGTGGGTGTGACTAGGGTTTGAATCAGAATGCCGTTTGGTTACTGTGGCGTAAACATCAGAGACATTTTTGCAGTTGTTGTGGTGTGATGCAGGCGTCTGATTGGATGAAGATGCAGGCGACTGATTGGATGAAGATGTTACCACGGTGACATCACTGTTTGGAATCTCTTCATACATGAGGTCAGTCTGAAAAACAACACATACGTCAATAATCTACTAGTTAATATAAATAATACTCTCTGTTAATCAATAAACAATCTTTAACATGAATGTCTGATGTTCTACAGGTTTGAACACACACCTCTGTATTGCGCTGCATGTTTTGCTGAAATAAAGCTGAATGGAGCATGAATAGAGAAAAAAAGAACAAGTCAAATCAATTCAAACACTAAAAAAGGACTTTATAATATAATCTCAAAGAAACTGTTACCTGTCCCAGATTTCCTCTTCCTCTTCTTCAGGATGATGAAGGTTCCACAACACAGAGTCAGAACCAGCAGAACCGAACCCAGACCGCCAGCAACAGAAGCCAGATCTAAAGACAACGCTGAACACATGATATTTACATGATGAAACACTGCAGATTCTGATTATAATGTTAAATAAACAATAGATATTGTAATATTGTAAATATACAGGTGTAACCGAAGTGAAACTGCAATGGTAAACCTCAACTCTTCAGAAGAAAACACTTCTCTTTACGGCTGATGTCAAACCAAATTAACCACATGAAAAATGTGAAAAAAGAGTGATCATGTGATCGGAGAGTTGCATTATGGGTAGTGTAGTTTGTGTTCTTACTGGTGTTGGGCTGCTGGAGTTGAACTGTAGTATTTTCTGTTGTTGTTCTTGTTTCAGTTTCTGTTTGATGAGTCGCTGACGGAGAAACACCAGTGACTGTGAATGTGACAGTAATATAATAATCATAGACAAACACACACATAACACGGTTTGCTATTGCTGTATATGAACACATGTTGTGTTTTCTGTTCATATCACTGAATACTGATAATCACATTATATTAATGTTCATTTAGAAGACACTTTATTATCTGAACTGACACAGAGTCACTTTGGATAAAAGTCTCTGTCAAACACACGTGAAGCTGAACTCGTGTTGTGATGGCATTACTGTCATTATTACGAGATGATTTTACTCAGAAAGACCTGAAGAAAATGTCAGTAAAATGACACGTCACACATTCAGAGTTGAGGAACATCATAACCTCTAAATGTTCAGTGTGATTCAAGTTTATTTTTACAGAAGTCGAAACTTCCAAGTTTGTGTAAGACATGAATGAACTTGAACTAAATCATGATCATAAATGCAGCACAACTTGTTTAAAAGCTCTATTAATGTTAAAGTTTAACCAATTAATGTTGCGATTGAATTTATGTCAAGTTCTATAAACACAATAACTACACATTATACACATAACTATATTTTCATCAACACACATGTGAGTGCAGATGTCAGTGTGTGTGTACCTGTGCTGGTGTGTTCAGTGTTTGTATATGGACGAATGCTGGTTGTTGAGATCTTGACAGGTGTTTTTATCACTGGAGCTGAGAAATGAAGAAGAGCCGTCAAGCCGTAATACATTCATAAATCAATAACACAGCAGATGATTCAGATCGGTGTTAAAGCTGCAGTCTGAGTCCGACACTTTATTGTGTTTATAAAATGAGCGAAAACGTCTTTAATCAATCTTCCAAACCGTGTTCTGTCTTCTCCTGATTCTCTACGGTATAATATCTATAATAAGTGTTTATATTGGGGCTACTTTAGACCGGTCGCACCGCTGAGGAGTAATCCAGTAACCCAGAGCCGGTGTGACTCGCCATCGACACGAGAGAGAGAAGGAGATCCGGCTCAGTGTTCTTCAGCAGGACTCAAATAAATACCGTACCGTAAAATACCGTAACAGTATACGCTTATGAACAGCCCAGCCAGCAATATTATGATAGAAAGTTCAATATGATTTCATGCAATACATTATCAGCAGTAATTCTGTACTGTACACCAGAACAAGCATTTCAGTTCTTGAACAGCGAAGAGTCAGTTTATGTTCAGGAACGAAAGCGTCAGCATCTGTGAACTCAGACGTGTGTAAGAACCGATCTTTTATACCGCGAGTGCCAGAACACGACTGGACGGATGAGAAGGGAATCAGTGACGTAACGATTGAGTCTTCCTGCCAGAACTTATGCTGAAGCTTTCATTCGGTTTATTGACCTCTAGAGCGACACAAGTTACAGACTGCAGATTTAATATTGAATATCAGGCACCTCTGAGCACTTCTAGCTGGACGTCTAGGCGGGGTCCCCATCCAGCTGCACAGCTATACGGTCCGGCATCGTCCATCTTCAGGTCACTGATGCTCACTGTGAATGATCTGTGCTGAGGATTATTATTCAGTGAGAATCTGCCACTGGACACTGAGGACTCTCCAACAGATTTTAGTATGAGGACACTGTCTCCGTAAGGTCCTCTGTAGAAGTATTTGTAGGAGTTTTCATATCCTTCTGGATAAGAGCAGGTAATGCTCACTCGATCTCTCTCCGTTCCTCTCACTGTAATGTCCGCAGACTGTGATCTGCTCACTACACACACACACACACACACACACACACACAGCTTTACTCATGCACACCTCCATAATATTATATATAAACACTTTTATTGGAGATCTTCAGCTCTTACCCGTCAGCAGAAACACACAAACTATCAGTGGAAACTTCATTTCTTCATCAGAAAATCAGTCTGAAACTCTCAGTATACTCCTCACACGACTCTCTGAAACTCAAACAGCAATAATACTGCTCTCATCCGTCGGTGGACAGCAAAATAATACGCTTGTTGCTCATCTGGTGTGATGAGAATCTGTGATCTCGGTGATTCTCATGGTGTTAGTCGTGAAAACGCCTCAATTTTGACCACAAATGAACTGTAAATTCATCAACCACAACCTGTTCCTGTTCTGCCTTTCACATGTTTAAGAGCTTTCTCTTGCTCTTCTGCTCTTTTTATACTTCTACATTTTATTAATACATACATAAAAATGTTACATGTTAATTTTAAGGAAACTATCATTGCCAAACTCTGAATGATAAAGACATGATGAAGAAGAAAAGCTTGTTAGTGGTATTTTCTGTGGTAATCGACAGCAGGGGAAAACACTGTTGTTTACAGAAACTAATACAGTTGAACATTAAGATCAGAGTTTCTTCATCATATGAGCTCTGAGAAGAGTTGCATTGTGGGAAATGTAGTGTGTGTGTTTAGCTGAAGCCTCAAAGCTCTTCCTGTGGCTGTAGTTTCACTTCCTGTTTGGCGAGTGTTAGCCGAGGACATCTCATGTTTAACTGAAGCTAAACGCCTCCTAATATTATGATGATAAAGCCATTCTTAAGGGTTATGAACCCAGTATGGGTTGAGCCATATCACTGAAAGGGTGACATCTCTGTCCCCAGGACATTATATGTATGAAATTGCATGAAAATTAACTCTAAAATACATTTCATTATTAAGCAAAATGTCATGCACGTTAAGCTAACAACAAATTTAAAACATATAATTAAAAAGATTATTGATACTTCTAAAAAAATAGCATTTTCTGCACGTCCCGACTCTCTATGTCTAAATTTTACTATGAAATATTACGATTAAAATCCTTCAGAAATCTGAATTTTTCTTGCATTGTTGTGCGACTTTATATCCAAACTGCTTTAACCCTTTCATGCATGAATTATGATATCCTCACTCAGGATTTTTTTTCCTTTGTGTTTTTATTGCTCTTAGGGCATGAAAAACAAGATTTGATTTGATTTTTTTAAACAATTTTTTTATTAAACATAATACAATAATCAAATAGATGTGTATTTAACAAACTAATCAATACAATTACATCAAATCACGTGAAAACTATAAAATATATTGAAAAATATATAAATAAATCTGAAATATTGCAAAGACAATTGACCTTCATACAAGTTGCACTACATATCTTGGATATCAGAACATGATGATGTGAATCCATCAGAAATATCTTCAACCTGTCGATGTACAACTGTGGAAACACTCAGATGCTCTCAACCGATTTTCGCATTATAATCGTCTGAACGCAAACACTAGACGATTCGTCCGGACCGCGAGACACACACCTGTCGATTATAACACGTTCACAGTGATACGAGATCTCACAGAGACTAAAATGGAGGACGATTGACGTCATCAACTGGTTCTCCTGGAGTGAGTTTTGATTTACGGGAAGAAAAACGAAAGGATAAAGAATGCGGTGATCATATTTCTCCACTTTCATGGCATGTTTGTGGCTGCCGAGTCTCAGCTAAACACACAACACCCGGTTGGTGAAGCTCGCTCTCATTGGCTATCGCGGGTTTAACGTCAGAGTCGGAAATATCAAACATGTTTCATATTACGGTTTGGGATCATGCGAGCTCCGATACGGTCAGGAGAAGTGAAATGATAGTAATGACACCTCACAATTGGATAAAAAATCATTTGCAACAAGCATTGAATCAAACCGGGTTTAAAATCTTCAAGTGTGTGTCCAGCCTGAGGTTTGGTGGCGTAGGTTTGATTTTGAAATTGGTGGGGACGGGGACAACAGTTTTAGGGCTGGGTATCGATGTTCAATTTCGATTCGATTTCGATTCTCGATTCAATTTTCGATTTCGATTCTCGATTCCTGATTTGATTCTCGATTCGACTATAATGAATATAGATGTAATAAAAATCCTATATTTATAAAAAAAAAAAAGTACAGTGGACATAAGTTTACTAGTGGTTAATTAATACAAAGAAATTAACCTGTATATAAAACTCTTTTTATTTTAGGTACACTACACTAAACGCATACAATGAATAGACAGGATTTTGATGCAAGATGCAAAATTGATGCTGAAAATTGGAAAAGTCAGAACAGTTGCGCGCCTTGATCAAACAAATGCCAATTGAAGACACAACTGACTGTTTGAGGTTGAGTTTTGACATAATTTTGCGTGTTTTTAACTGTTAAAGCGATATAATCCAGGGATAAAACTTTTGTTTCTGGCGAGGTGTTTGTGACACGTGACATCTCTGAGAGTGCGCGAGCTCGGGATTGTTTAACATTGATTGAATGTTTAAACTGGTAAAATTTAAAAATATGTGAAAATGATAAACGTTAGTTACGATCATACGTTACGATGTAACGCTGGCCCGAGTGTGCAAGTGAATTAACACTCCTAAACGCGAGTGTGTATCGACTCCTGCTGCGCTTGAGAGAGACGTAGCCTATAGCACCGCGAAAAATCCATTCGTGGCCGTTGAGAATCAATTTTGAATTGACCACATTTTAAAAAACGATTCATTGAAAATATTTTTTTTTGGCTAGCCCTAATCAATTTATAAATGTATTTTAAGGTTTGATTGAAATTATTGCTAGGGATATATCAGTATCACTGGATATTGATAGGGACACGTCGCCAGAGTTCCTACTAAATTCTACGCCCCTGAATGAACTCATCTGTGTTTATGAAGGAGGACGTTATAGTTTATGAAACGCCGCTGTAAAATACAGTTGTTTGTGTGTCTCTGTCCTCTGGATTACAGAAGAGTCCAGTGTCTTTGATCTATAATCACACAAACAACAGTTATTACGTTAATGGAGAAAATAACTCAATCTATTTATAGTGTTTACACGTGAATATGATCATTCACACACAAGAGATTCAATGCCTGAAGATCAGTAAAAACACACAGTCCTGTTTCAGGATCATCACAGTGTTGAGCAAGACATTAAATCTGATTGTGTTTCAATGGATCTGCGAACACAATTACTACTGTAAACCTCGAGTTCAATTAATAATCATCAGTTTCTGCTGACTCACCTGATCATAAATCACTGGAATAAACACAACAGTGCTGGACGACAGCAGACCTGAGCAATAGATCAACATTAGTCTTAGATACTCACTTCTTCAGTTATCTTATAGTTCATAATTATAAAACCCTTTAATTCAGTTCTCACACGTGTAATCACACACACAACCAAATATTTAGTGTGAAATATTACCTTTATTCTTCTTTTTCTTTCTCACAGCCACTATAATCAGTGGAACTGCTATCAGGAGTAAAACTAAAGCCTCCGCAGTGACGATAATCACAAATGAACCTGGAAAACACAAGAGAGAAACACTGTATGAATATGAAATACAGTAAAAAAAAGAAAGAGAATATTAAAAAATACAGAATATTAACCCTTGTGCTGCATTAGATTTTTAACACCGTTGAGTGCATTAAGGACCAAAAATGGCCACATATTAAACATTGCCTAAAATATTATATATTATTATTATTTTCCACTTTTACCAAGTTAAATCTTTTAATCAGCATCAGTCCTCATCATAACTACCAAAAATGTATTCAATTTCAGGATTTTAACCCTTTAATTACCAGTTTTGTTTGCGAAACCATCAATTTGTATAAGAGGAAAAAACACAAAAATTCAATTATTTTCAATAAACTAAATGCAAAGAGAAAACTTTAGATTTGGATTATTACAGTCCCACTTTGCAAAAAATCCCACTTAGCGCGTTAGAGACCAAAAATGGCCACCTATTAAACATTGCCTATTGCCTAAAATAAGGTGCATTTCCACCCATAGGGAATAAATATGTAGTGACGTCATCTGGTGGAATACACTATATAATGCAAGTATAATGCTTTTGCTTCAAAATGAAAGGATGTTTGTGCAAAAAATCATGTTTCATGTATTACTGACAGCCTCAGATTTAAACAACGTTTTAATGGGTTTCAATGGGCCATTTTTGGTCTTTATGGTGCTGAGTGTTACTATTTGATCTACACAGTGTGTGTTATACATATTTTGCAAAATGGGATCACATTTTTTACATGTATCCAAAAAGTCACAATTTTGCCAAATTTCATACCATTTGCATTAAAACAGCCAAAATGGTCAAAGAAATTAAACTGCAAAAGACCAAAAATGTCCCTAATGCAGCATAAGGGTTAAAGGAATAATAGCATTAATTTGGGGATTACTGAAATTTATGTTACTATGACAACTGCCTGTCAGACTTTTCATTTTCATGATTGCATCCACATATTTCTATGCGCATTTTGGGATATCACATAAAAACACTGGATGGAAATGGGAACATGAACATCAATTCTAGAAATGTGCATAAAAACATGCGGTCAATTGAGACTTTCATGTGAACAAACTGGACTAACCAGCAGAACGATCTCGTCGCACAGCATCTGAAATGTTACTCATTCTTCGTCTCGCTGGATAAAAACGGTTCTTTATTCGCAAACATTTTATGAGTTAAATTTAAGTTAAATTTGCAACTTTGGATGGAAACATGATGTGGAAAGACAAATTGCCCTGTATAATCAGCCACTCTTTGTAAAGTCTTGTATATGTTACACTGCATTCCTCAGCGCTTTCTCGTGGTTTTGATCTTCTGTCTGGTTTTGTGGTTTTCCCTGTTTCCCTGTGTGTTTTTGGATTATTATAATTTTATATTATTATAAACGAAACACTGATCACCATAATGGTAACCATTTTACATTAATTTTCTCCTTCAGAGATTCTGCTTGTTATCATCAGGTGTCTTCAATAATGTTCAATCATCACTCAATTATTCACTTAATTATCTCATTAACTTTAACACTGCTTCAATGTTCATTTAACACTCAGAGTTTGGACTCACATAAACACCGAGAGTGTTAATTTAACACTGGGGACTTTGCTGTAGATTATTGTACCATTAAGAATATTGTAATATTGTAAATATACAGGTGTAACCGAAGTGAAACTGTAATGGTAAACCTCAACTTTTCAGAAGAAAACACTTCTCTTTACGGCTGATGTCAAACCAAATTAACCACATGAAATCTGATATGTGGATCATTTATACAGTAGTTAAATGTGTCTCAACAAATATTCAAAACAATGTCCTCCTTTCAAAGAGTGATCATGTGATCAGAGAGTTGCATTATGGGTAGTGTAGTTTGTGTTCTTACTGATGTTTGTCTGCTGGAGTTGAACTGTATTTTCTGTTGTTGTTCTTGTTTCAGTTTCTGTTTGATGAGTCGCTGACGGAGAAACACCAGTGACTGTGAATGTGACAGTAATATAATAATCATAGACAAACACACACATAACACGGTTTGCTATTGCTGTATATGAACACATGTTGTGTTTTCTGTTCATATCACTGAATACTGATAATCACATTATATTAATGTTCATTTAGAAGACACTTTATTATCTGAACTGACACAGAGTCACTTTGGATAAAAGCAACCCGGTCACATCCCAAGACGTCATATAACTGACGTTTTGGGACGTCTTTTGACCATACGTCAATATTCGCCTTTTTAGGGCCCCCTTAAACGTCGGTAGATGAGGTTATGGGATCCTAACTCTACCCCAGACCTAAACCTAACCCTAAACCTAACCCGTCACCTAACTGACGTTAAAGGTAAAGCGTCAGTTGTATGACGGTCCGGGATCGCCATCTACCGACGTTTAAGGGGGCCCTAAAAAGGCGGATGTTGACGTATGGTCAAAAGACGTCCCAAGACGTCAGTTATATGACTTTTTGGGATGAGACTGTGTTAATAAAAGTCTCTGTCAAACACACGTGAAGCTGAACTCATGTTTGTCGCGTTACGCTTAATAAAACCCGAGCGCAGACAGTAACTTTCACAGACCAGAGTTCATTTACAACCAGAAACAAAGACCCACGATGGGGCAAACAATAACTAAACTTGACAATAAAACGGAAGTGGGACATTTACAGACAATACTCGAATGTTAACAAGACGAACAAGCACTGAGGAACAAACACCAGGGCCTGTACCATGATGATACTTGAACAAACTCAGGCTTACGGGATTAGTTTCGAGTTGACAAAACCAAACCAACCCAACCAGGCTTTGATCCTGAGTTTAGGAGTTTAGGTGTGACATCAGTAGCGAACAGCCAATCACATGCTGAGAAAGAGAAACTCATTCAAAACTCATTGAAATTAATTTTTCATGAGAGAAGTAGCGCAATTCACTTATTAAATAAAAGTATTAAAATATTAAGAATTTAAACAAATTAACACAGCAAGAAGAAAATAGCTGTCTGTGAAAGACAACAACTAAACGAAAGTCTCGCTACTGTATATATCAGTGCAAGTAAAAGTTGTGAAGTTACGTAGTTTATACAGTTGATAAAGGTATAGAGAGAATTGAACATTTAAGCTCACATGTAGTCATTTTATAGCTTCATTTATTGATTCTATTTCAAAAGCGTATTTATATTACCTTTATATACGTATTCATGTAAATCTGCGTAATAATAATTGATGAACTGAAATTGTACATGTGAGATTGTTTAAGAGTATAATAATTACAGCAATAATTTCTAAATCATACAAATTTATTTACTAAAAGCCATGATTTTGTCTTTTACAATAATTTGCTATGTAGTGACTTTTAATTTGGAGTGGAAACGGGTGGAGTGACTTTATCGCGTCAGACATGTGTCACTTTGCTCACAGCTGATTGGTCCAAGTTCGGTTTGCAACCTCTTACCTGGAACATAACCCGCCCCGGACCAGGTTAGCCGTGGAGTGTGACGATGAACACTGCTAAAAGCCAAACCACTGTAATGGTCCCTAAAACCCAGGGTTGGCACAAACTAAACTGAAACATATCTGGCTATCCACCTAAACCGGCTTCATGGTACAGGCCCCAGGGGCTTACATAGAACAAAGATTTACAAAGGTACAGGTGACAGTGATGAACATCAATACTAACGAGGGAACAAGGGGGCGTGGGAACATGATCACAATCACAGGTGACACTAATAGAACATTAACTAACGAGGAAACGAGGGAAAACAGAAGACAATGCAGACAACTAGCCAAAAACAAACAGCACACAAAACAAGGGACAAATACATGACGATGTTGTGATGGCATTACTGTCATTATAAAACACATGAGAGTGCAGATGTCAGTGTGTGTGTGTGTGTGTGTACCTGTGCTGGTGTGTTCAGTGTTTGTATATGGACTCATGCTGGTTGTTGAGATCTTGACAGGTGTTTTTATCTCTGGAGATGAGAAATGAAGAAGAGCCGTCAAGCCGTAATACATTCATAAATCAATAACACAGCAGATGATTCAGATTGGTGTTAAAGCTGCAGTCCGAGTCCGAAACTTTATTGTGTTTATAAAATGAGCGAGAACGTCTTTAATCAATCTTCCAAACCATGTTCTGTCTTCTCCTGATTCTCTACGGTATAATATCTATAATAAGTGTTTATATTGGGGCTACTTTAGACCGGTCGCACCGCTGAGGAGTAATCCAGTAACCCAGAGCCGGTGCGACTCGCCATCGACACGAGAGAGAGAAGGAGATCCGGCTCAATGTTCTTCAGCAGGACTCAGCGGCTCTACCAGAGAGACTCGGGAGACAAAATACACTTATGAACAGCCCAGCGAGCAATATTATGATAGAAAGTTCGGTAACACTTTATTTTACGACCCGCAAACAACTGTGTAAGTACACTGAAATTACGGTGTATGTTTCTGTAATTATAGTGTACTTCCGTGTAGGTATAATCTGAAGATGAAATTCAATGAATAGATTTTGTTATGGGTGTGCTTGTTGTTCATTTTTCTCAAAAGTAGGCTATTATAAGATTTGATTGTCAGCGGTGCATTTAGCGGTTCATTATTCTGTTGATATCAGAAAATAAGGCATGCAATATGACATCAAAATAATTACATTAAAAAAAGAAATAAATAAAGACCAATTCTAAAAGGATATATTAGTGCTTGCTCCAAAAATTTAGCTGAGGTGGGACGAATAATTGATAAAACGGTATACTGCAATATGATTTCTTGCAATACATTATCAGCACTAATGCTTTACCGTACACCAGAACAAGCATTTCAGTTCTAGAACAGCGAAGAGTTTAATCAGCGCTAGTATGTTCAGTTTATGTTAAACTCGTGCGAGAGATTCAAACACATACACTGTTCTCGGATCTTTGATATCATACACCGCCCGGTCTGTGCGGCGCTGCTTTAAGTCGGACAAAACAGTGAGCGTAACTTGAGTCTTGAGTCGATTGACCATCCTGATGGAGAGCAAGGAAAGCATCTGTGAACTCAGACGTGTGTAAGAACCGATCTTTTATACCGCGAGTGCCAGAACACGACTGGACGGATGAGAAGGGAATCAGTGACGTAACGATTGAGTCTTCCTGACAGAACTTATGCTAAAGCTTTCATTCGGTTTATTGACCTCTAGAGCGACACAAGTTACAGACTGCAGATTTAATATTGAATATCAGGCACCTCTGAGCACTTCTAGCTGGACGTCTAGGCGGTGTGTCCATCCACTCCAACAGATATACGGTCCAGCATCGTCCATCTTCAGGTCACTGATGCTCACTGTGAATGATCTGGTCTGAGGATTATTATTCAGTGAGAATCTGTCACTGGACACTGAGGACTTTCCATCAGATTTTAGTATGAGGACATGCTCTCCGTAAAGTCCTCTGAAGAAGGATTTGTAGGAGTTTTCATATCCTTCTGGATAAGGGCAGGTAATGCTCACTCGATCTCTCTCCGTTCCTCTCACTGTAATGTCCACAGACTGTGAACTGCTCACTACACACACACACACACACCAGCACACTACTTTACTCATGTACACTGCTATAATATTATATATAAACACTTTTATCAGAGATCTTCAGCTCTTACCCGTCAGCAGAAACACACAAACTATCAGTGGAAACTTCATTTCTTCATCAGTTCAGGTCAGAAAATCAGTCTGAAACTCTCAGTAGTTCCTCACACGACTCTCTGAGACTCAAACAGCAATAATACTGCTCTCATCCGTCGGTGGACAGCAAAATAATACGCTTGTTGCTCATCTGGTGTGATGAGAATCTGTGATCTCGGTGTTTCTCATGGCGTTAGTCGTGAAAACGCCTCAGTTTTGACCGGAAATGAACTGTGAATTCATCAACCACAACCTGTTCCTGTTCTGCCTTTCACATGTTTAAGAGCTTTCTCTTGCTCTTCTGCTCTTTTTATACTTCGACATTTTATTTTCAAAGCATGTAAATTATCATCATCCACTTTAACATTTTAAAGAAAGCAATCTTTGCCAAACTCTGAATGATAAAGACATGATGAAGAATAACTAATACAGTTGAACATTAAGATCACAGTTTCTTCATTATATGAGCTCTGAGAAGAGTTGCATTGTGGGAAATGTAGTGTGTGTGTTTAGATGAAGCCTCAAAGCTCTTCCTGTGGCTGTAGTTTCACTTCCTGTTTGGCGAGTGTGAGCCGAGGACATCTCATGTTTAACTGAAGCTAAACGCCTCCTAATATTATGATGATAAAGCTATTCTTAAGGGTTATGAACCTAGTATGGGTTATATCTGTGGGTTGTCTGTTTGGTTTGCTGGATGGAGTTAGAGTGAGTGACGTTTTCATCTCATCTTTTCCCCATTTGATTATTCGTACTTTAATAGATGTTATTTTGTGTTGTCTCTTTCTTTGCGAGTCGGCCGTGACTTAAGCATCTCAATAGCAGTTTCTTTTGGGCCCAAACTAATCGGTGTCATTTATATGTTTCTTGCAATGATTTATCAGGATATTCAGCAACTTTTGAACGGTGCAGTTCCAACATCAACCAGCAGGAGTGAACAGACGAAACCAGACGAAACCCTGCATTGAACATCCAGCAAGAAAATGATACCGTGTTTTGTACATTTGAAGGAGTTTCACCGCACTCACGATAAACAAGGTGCCCGACAGACAAGACTAGAAAACTCAAAAAATAAATAATCTGTCCGCACACTTGAATCCTTTAAGCAAATTTAATAGCCAAGCTTTCAGTCAAAAGACCATCTAAATGTCTAAAAACTAAATGTCACACTCCATTTAACTGTTCAAACACATCAGGACAATCAACAGTGATAAACAACACCTGCAGAAGACAGGTAGGACCAGTTGTAGTCCAATGGTGGGAGTTGTAGTTTTTTTAGGTGATCAACACTAACTCCAAACTGACATAAATATACATATACAAAAAGTATACAAAAATATAAGCGCATATATAAATATATATATACACACATTCATTCACGCTTGCTATATAAGTACATGGAGACGGCAAAAACATCAGTAACACCTTCATAAACTGCAGTATTCAAGACTTATAAACAACAGCTGAGACTATAGCATGACACTCACGTCAAAGTCCACATTTAATAATTAAAGCAATGTAGATTTTACCATATTTTGAGTCATTTATGGTTGATCACTGAATATATTGTTGAGATGTTTTTTGGATTTGTTGCTGTTGTGTAGATCACTTCTATCCCGCTGTCCTGTGTTGCTTCAGGAAACTTTATACTGGCATAATTATAATCACCAGCTGTATCTGTCACCTGATTGGTCGAGCGGGTGTGACCGGGGTTTGAATCAGGCTGCTGATTGGTTACTGTGGCGTAAACAGTAGAGACTTCTGTACAGTTGTTGCGGTGTGATGCAGGCGTCTGATTGGATGAAGACGTTACCACGGTGACTGTGTCTGGAATCTCCTCATACATGCGGTCAGTCTGAAAAACAACACATACGTCACTAATCTACTAGTTATTATAAATAATACTATATAATAAAGGTTTGGACACACACCTCTGTTTTGCGCTGCATGTTTTGCTGAAATAAAGCTGAATGAAAACAGAGAGTAAGTCAATATAAACACTAAAATATAACTTAATAATAACAATAATACTCCTGTTACCTGTCCCAGATTTCCTCTTCCTCTTCTTCAGGATGATGAAGGTTACACAACACAGAGTCAGAACCAGCAGAACCGAACCCAGACCGCCAGCAACAGAAGCCAGATCTGAACAACACAACAACACAATGCTGATTCTGATTACACTGTTAAGTGATTATTAATATTCTTGTAATTGATATGTGTTATAGTACTATACTATAATAGCCTATATTATATTGTGTAACTGAAGTGAAACTGCTATGGTGAACCTCAACTCTTCAGAAGGAAACGCTTCAGTCTGTGGTTGATGTTTAACCACGCGAGGACGAGCCTGTTCCTTTCTCCAAAATCAGCTAATTCTATGTGATCAGAGAGTTGCATTATGGGTAGTGTAGTTTGTGTTCTTACTGGTGTTAGGCTGATGGAGTTGAACTGTATTTTCTGTTGTTGTTCTTGTGTCATTTTCTGTTTGATGAGTCAGAGAGAGACAGTGACTGTGAATGTGTCGCTGAACACATATAAACTCTAAAGCTCTACATTCACACAAACTATTCACATCACGTGAGTTATATATTATTTTATTCATAACACTGATTACTCTCAACTAAAATATTTTAACGTTCATTCTGAAGACGTTTCTTACCCAAAGCAACTTGTTTTACATGTTTAAAAACCGGAAGCAAAAATATGAGGACTGAACCTTCAGTTTTCAACAACTTTAATCTCAAAGGAATCATCTAACGTATGAATTCAAGTACATTTAGAAGCACAATATTCAAGAAATAAGAGTCATAAGAGCGAGAGACGGAAGAACTGACCTGAGTGTGGACTCGGTTGTGTTGTACTGGAAGATGACGGTGTTTTTGAAGAAGGGCTGATGGTTGAAACCCCAGTGGTGTTATTACCTGATGGGTCACAGGAAAGATCAACTTAAAACACGGACACTGAATTTAACAGTGTTGTAGTCGAGACCACCTCACTCGAGTCCGAGTCGAGACCGAGACCAGAGAGAGTCGAGTCCGAGTCGAGTCCGAGACCAGAGACGGTCGAGTCCGAGTCGAGACCAGTGAGGGTTGATTACCTAATTTACTTTTAATTACTCAGAGAAATCCTTTTTTTTTTTACTGAATTTACTATAGTTTAAAAAATATGATCAGTTTAGGGTAAAAAGGCCACATAGTAGGTGGTGTTAAAAGTAATTTTATTACAATTTGTCATGCGCAGTTGCGCACTAGAAAATCACCAATCACTGGGCGTGTCAATCAATTTAAAGAAATATTTTATTAACATACATTAATAATCATGAAAAATATTTTGAATTGAACTCGAGTGGACTCGGGAATAAGTCCGAGTCCTAAAAAAAATAATGTTCGAGTACGAGTCAATTCCGAGTCCAAATGCACACGAGTCCATGACAAGACCAAGACCATTAAAGGAGTAGTTCACTTTTGAAAAAACTTTAGCTGATAATTTCCTCACCCCCGTGTCATCCAAGATGTCCATGTCTTTCTTTCTTCAGTCGAAAAGAAATTAAGGTTTTTAATGAAAACATTCCAGGATTTTTCTCCATATAATGGACTTCAATGGAAACCAAACGGTTCAAGGTCCAAAAGACAGTTAATAACAATTTCAGATGCAGCTTCAAATGTCTTTAAACGACACCAAACGATGAATAAGGGTCTTATCATGCGAAACGATCGCTTATTTCAAAACTTATTCCAAAAATGTAACTTTTCTAAGGACAAATGCTAGCCTTGCTCTATTCTGTGAGGCGCGTTTGTAACGTCACGTAATACGTAATTACGTTAAAAACGTCACATCAAAAACCTTAATTTCTTTTCGACTGAGGAAAGAAAGACATGGACATCTTGGATGACATGGGGGTAGGGTTGGGTATCGAGAATCGAGTATCGATTGGAACCGAGACTAACTTTTCGTTTTTCCCGGAATCGTTCAAAAGTTAAAATTTCGATTCCTAGTTTCGATATTCACAGTCCGCCGAGCGGAAGAAGAAACCGCTGAACAACACCAACGAAGAAGCGTCTACCGGAAGTGTTGGCATAACCGCGCGAGTCGAACATGACTAGCTTACGTCGGCGATCCAAAGTGTGGCTTCACTTTTCTAAAAATAACGAAATAACGGCAAAATGCAAAATTTGTGACAAAAGGAGTATTTCCTTCAGAAAGGCCGTTGGTTAGCAAGGTTAGCTAAACTTTTTTGACCCTCCCTCTTAAAAGAATCAGAATCGAGAATCGTTAGGAACCGGAATCGAAACAAGGAATCAGAATCGGAATCAGAATCGTTCAAATTCAAACGATACCCAACCCTACATGGGGGTGTGTAAATTATCAGCAAAAGTTTTTTCAAAAGTGAACTAATCCTTTAAAATATGGTCTCGAGACCGAGTCCGAGTCTCGAGTACTACAACACTGGAATTTAATTTAAAATACATTCAATATTTCATTTAATCTCCGTTTTAATCTCTCAGTTTCTTGTTGTGCCAAAGTAATCCATCACTGTAACACACAGCCACGGTAGGCTTATTACTGTATTTAACACTCAACACACTGCAGTATACGCAGACAATCAACTCAATACAACAATATGAGTCAGCTGACAACCCCAAATCCAGAAGAGGAAATAAATTACAATAAAATGAAGAATCTGTGTAAGTGAAGGAGAAAGCTGTACATCAGTTCAATGCAGAGATGCCGGTGTGTTCTCTGAGCTCAAACTCTTCTCAAATGATCTAAAACACTGGATAAAACTTTGGTTCCCATTGAAGTCCATTATATGGAGAAAAATCCTGGAATGTTTTCATCAAAAACTTTAATTTCTTTTCGACTGAAGAAAGAAACACATGGACATCTTGGGTGGCATGGGGGTGAGTAAATTATCAGCAAAAGTTTTTTCAAAACAAATCACAGGACTCTGATTATTGCATTTTACTAAATGATCCATCTTTTGTGGATTTGGGTTGTAGAAGATTAATGACTTGATCTCTCACTCTCTTGTTTCCATGCAGTTCATTTCTGCTATTGACATATTTAATCACTCACCATCTTTAACCAGCAGCGCAATCTTTGAATAGTCATCAAAAATAAACCCCTCCACACCACACCAGTATTGGCCTTGATCCTCTGTTCTCAGATCAGTGATGGTGACGGTGAAAACTCTGGCCGTCGTGTCGTCAGTCAGAGAGAATCTCTTGTCTTTACCTCGAGATCCTGATTCAACCATGATGATTTTATTGAACAATGAACACTCCCCTTTACAAAAATACTTTGAATTTGATTCATATCCAGATTTATATGAACATCTGATGTCAACTCTCTCTCCTCTGAATCCAGTAATTGTCTGTGGAGCTCGACCACCAACAACAGCTGAAAACACACACATCATCATATAGAGCTGTTATGTGTGAGAAAGAGACGAATAATAACTCTCAAATCTCCTCCATATGAGTCTGATGATCAAGATGTCAAACTGTGTGTAAAAGAGCTGAGAGTCTGAAACTCACCTGTACAGATGCTGGAAAAGAGCAGCAGGACGTCCAACATCATGACATCTGACGAGCGTTTCGCTCAAATAAAACAACAAACTCTGTGTGACAAACGTTACTGTCCTTCTCTTCCGTACTGAGAGGATAATGTGCGTCAGTTACTAGAATATACGTTTCCTTCCCCTTTCTGTCTCTCTAAACCACATCCAGCTCTACAGGACATCAGTAATGATTCACCAACCGTTATTAAATACGTAAGCAGTGTTTTACTCTGGAGGAAGGGATGATCCACTTCATTATAAGAGGGAAGGAGCATCTGTGACATTTATACAGTGTGTAACTATTTGTGTTTTACAACTCTTCTAGGACATTAAATATAAATGATGAGATCAAAATAAAATATGACGGTAATATTTTTCTTGACCCTGTTATGTGTTAAACAAAGGCATATTCATGTAAAATACACTGAATAAACGTAGTATTTAATTAGTCCAGCCGCCGTTCACATCACACTGATTCTCTCACAAAAACCAACAGGATTTTCCCACAGGCTTTTGGATTATCGAAAAAAAAAAAAAACCCTATATGATCAACAAGAGTTTATGATACATGCATGTTTTGTCCTGCAACATAACTTTAACATATGAACAACTTTTATGAATTATGAAGCCTAAATACATTTGCTCGAACTACACCAGGGTCCCACGACCAGAACAAACTTCACCGTTTGTGTGAATCTACTTATGGTTCAGAGTATTTCTTTTTTTCCGACATTAATTTCACATGTCTAGTACAATTATGTGGTTTTGTTTTATTAATACAGTGTATACTTTTGTCTTGATATGCCAAGAAAGATTGGAAGTGAAATGTGACAACATGCCCCATAGGTGGAGTGCATTATGACATGACCATATGACAAATTAAAAAGATATCTGATCTAATAAAAAAAATATATATATATACAAGAAAAACTAAAATATTTAACTAAGCATTCACGTTTTCATATAAAATAATGCCATTTTTTAATAATTAAAAAATAAAATAGTTTGAGTTTGACAATGAACACACAGCTACGCTATACAACATAATGAATAATTTCTGAATATTGACTCTTCACCGTTTTCTTAATAGAATTCATAAAAGTATTTAACATTATAACACAGGCTCACTGTATCGCAATGTGACAACATGCCCCGTCTGCACAACTGGGGTTTAATCTGTGCTAGAAACCCTTTTAGAGAAGTATTTAAGAACCATATCAACAATTAAGTCAAGCCTAACATATAGGAGATTCAAATAATATCACATTTGTCTGATTTAAAATGAAAAATTAACAAGACATTTGTTTTTGCCAAGGTTAAATAAATGTTCAATGATATCTTCCAAAGATTTCTGAATTATGGTGTATTTTATTTCTCAATATTGTGTTGAAATGGCAACTAGTGCGTAAACCCACTGTGTTTTGTGGAAGTATTTAAGACACGCATGTTACGACAAGCCGTGCGCTGACGTCGGCCCCAGGAAACAACAATATCAACCAAGGCCTTCTAAAATATAGATTATCATTACCTAGATGTATAATTATACAACATATACAAAGTCTTGAAAACACATTCAACAGAACAAAAGTTGATTATTTTTTACAACATCAAAGTGTTTTCATTTACAAAACTTAGATTTTTATAATAGAAAATACAATATTCATATTTATAACGGATTGTTCCCTTAAAAACGGTGACAGGAACAAGAAATATATGGCTGAAATCTGAATTTAATCTATATTTTAATGGTTATTATGTCAAAGAAGAGCTGCATAAACTACTAATAAAATAAATGTCAACTAAGTAAATGTAAACGAGTAGCGGATTAATCATTAACCGATCTCGACTCAAACACCCACGTGATCTGCTTCATAACTGAGCATAATCATGCTGTTTTACACCTGTTTAATTGACACCGCTTGATATCGGCAGTGATAAACACACTCCGCTCATGCATGTGATGTGAAACTGAGACTGGTTAACCTCTGAAAGTACATCACCGCAACATTTAAATAATCTGCGTTTCGGTGCAGCTTCACAAAATAACCATCTTTCAAGCACAGATTAGCGTGTATTTATGCGTTACAAACATTTAAAAAACAGCTAAACACAGAGTTGATTAAAATAAGAGTAAATCATATTTTTAAAAAAGTATTTTGACCTCGAATTTGTCATTAAAGTTATAATGGCCTCATGACAGCCAATGTCAAAACCAACCAGCTGACAGTTTAATGTAATGTTAACCAATAAAGCTAGGTGGCTTCTAAAGTTTGATCATTAATCTGCTATGTCATGTTTATGACAGGTTGTGTTGTCTCAGGTTATGATGTATTAGTTTATGTCAAGGAATGTCATAATTGAGCGAATGACACTTAATGACAGTTGTCATAAACATGCATAAAACTATTTAAAACATATGATGATGAAGGTGTCATGTCAGTCTTATGCACACCCCTTCAAGTAAAGTGTTAACGATGAGGTATTTTGTTTCTCCAGAATTGTGGGAGAATCACGATTTCCGCTTTACCCAAGAAAATCGATGGAGAATCGTGGAGCGTTAAGCGGATCCTCGTCTGGTTTGATGTTTTGTGGATGTGTTGCTGTTAGGTAGTTATAATCACCGGCTGTATCTGTCACCTGATTGGTCGAGTGGGTGTAAGTGGGGTTTGAATCAGGCTGATGATTGGTTACTGTGGCGTAACCAGTATATTCAAACGTGCAGGTGTTGAGGTGTGATGCAGGCGTCTGATTGGATGAAGGCGTTCCCATGTTGAAGTCTGTGTTTGGAATCTCCTCAGACATGCGGTCAGTCTGAAAAACAACACATATATTAATAATTTAATAGTTAAAACACTCTATTGTTTAATAAATAATAATTTAACATGAATGTCTGATGTTCAATGGGAAAAGGTTTGGACACACACCTCTGTATTGCGCTGCATGTTTTGCTGAAATAAAGCTGAATAAACCAGAGAAAAGTCAAATATCACACAAAAACATGAATATAATAATAAAAATGCGCTCAAAGAAACTGTTACCGGTCCTAGATTTCCTCTTCCTCTTCTTCAGGATGATGAAGGTTCCACAACACAGAGTCAGAACCAGCAGAACCGAACCCAGACCGCCAGCAACAGAAGCCAGATCTAAAGGCAACGCTAAACACATGATATTTACATGATGAAACACTGCAGATTCTGATTATAATGTTAAATAAACAATAGATATTGTAATATTGTAAATATACAGGTGTAACCGAAGTGAAACTGCAATGGTAAACCTCAACTCTTCAGAAGAAAACACTTCTCTTTACGGCTGATGTCAAACCAAATTAACCAGAAGCTTATATTTATACAGGAGCTAAAATGTGTCCTAACAAAAGTACAAAACAATTTACTTTCAAAGAGTGCTTTATGTAATCAATAATGCTGCAGTTGCATTATGGGTAGTGTAGTTTGTATGTTTTTGGCTGATTGAGTTGAACTGCAGTATTTCCTGGTGGGTGTTCAACTCTTTACCTGTAGAAGAAAACACACTGGCTGTAAAATGACACGTCAAACATTCACACAAGTGTTGAGGAACATCACAACCTCTAAATGTTGTAATTGTGGTTTATTTTTTTACAGATTTGAAGCTTTGATGAAATTCAGTTTCCAAGTTGGTGTAAGTTTGTGCAAGACATGTCAGAACGAGCTGGAAACACGTAATTACATCATGATCATCCATGCAGCATTAGAATAGGGTACGGGTTTGATATCTGTGTATTCAATATAATCAGACTAACTATTAATATTTTGATTGAAGTTAAGTAAACACAATAACTTTACATTAACTATATTTTCATCAACACACATGTGAGTGCAGATGTCAGTGTGTGTACCTGTGTTAGTGTGTTCAGTGTTGCTGTGTGTATATGGACTAATGCTGGTTGTCGAGATCTGGACCCGTGTTGTTGTCTCTGGAGCTGAGAAATGAAGAAGAGCCGTCAATATGACAAATATAAAACAATAAAACATGAGTGATGAAGTAGATTGTTGAATATCAGTCACCTCTGATCACAATAACCTCCACATGATGGTAATTTTCATATTCATGTCCAGCTTTACAGCCGTACGGTCCGGCATCGTCCATCTTCAGGTCACTGATGCTCACTGTGAATGAACTGGTCTGACGATTATCCTGCAGTGAGAATCTGCCATTCATCACAAATGTCTGCATTCCATCAGATTCTAGTATCGTGACCCGATCTTTGTAATATCCTCGGTAGAAGTATTTGTAACTGTAAGCATATCTAAATCCTTCTGGATAAGGGCAGGTAATGCTCACTCCTCGTCCCTCTGTTCCTTTCACTGTAATGTTCACAGACTGTGAACTGCTCACTACACAAACACACACACCAGCACACTGCTTTATTCATGTACACTGCCATAATATTAGATATAAACACTTTTATTGGAGATCTTCAGCTCTTACCCGTCAGCAGAAACACACAAACTATCAGTGGAAACTTCATTTCTTCATCAGTTCAGGTCAGAAAATCAGTCTGAAACTCTCAGTAGTTCCTCACACGACTTTCTGAAACTCAAACAGCAATAATACTGCTCTCATCCGTCGGTAGAAAGTAAAATAATACGCTTGTTTTTCATCTCACGTGTACTGTTTGTGTTCAGCGAGTCTTCATCTTGCTTTATTTTTCTTTTGTTTGGACGCGCCCTTCGACGGATTGCGTCATCGCGGCGCGACGAAAGCTGTCGCGATGTAAACAAAAGCAACTTTTATTGCGTTTTTTTCTTCTTTACTTTCTCTTTTTCTTCCTTTTTCTTCTTCCCCGGGCAGAATTAACCTTCTCACCTTGGCCTGCTATAAAATATTCTGCGTCTGAGATTGTCTGTGTCGCTGGGCGGAGTTTGCACGAGTTTCATGTGTTGTGTTAAATTAAACCCAGCTGTCGCCGTCACCCCTTTCTAAGAATGGACGTGGAAATCTATCCAAACCTAAATGGTTATAATTCAAGAATGCTTTGGAACTAAAACCTAAGTTGTTGTTGTTTTTTTATTTATTTATTTTATGAAGCACTGCCAATCTTTGTAGACTTAAATTTGTTGTGCTACAGTTTGGCCAAATTGCACGCAAAAACATGTTATTGAACTTAAATAAACGCTATGATGAATTATGCCTTTTTTACAATAGCGAATATAGCTACTCTTCATTCTTTCCCAAAGAAGATGATTGTGCCAATAAATACCTTTACACATGACACTTTTTATTCACTTTGTTTTGAACATGACAGTAAATTTAACAATAATACATGTTATAATTTAACATCTTATTAAATTCATTATGCAATGCTTTTTATTTCTTAAAAACCTAATTTGTTACATTTCATCTGATCAGAACAATTTAAGGGTCTTTGACTTTATCCAGATAGACGCATAACGATCACCTCATTAAGTTCAACACATGTTAAAAACTTACTTTTTAAATGTTTAATAAACTTAACATATTATTTAATATATATTATAAGCTATTTGTAACCATTGCTATTTCTGTAAACTATTTTTCATTCTCCACAACAGACAATATGGACGATGCAATGCCAGCTAAAAAATCATATCCGTGTCAGACCTCTTCATGTTCATAATTCCAGCGTTCTGTAAACATTATCCTGATATAATAAAAACTTTCCCTGAAAACATTCCTTACAGTCACACAAAGCAGATTGGGTCATTGAACACACATCATAAACACTCCGTAAGCACGCACAGCAACCACCTGACAGTCATACACACACCCCCTCTAAATCAAGGGGGTCATAAATGTTTTTTGTCATCAGCTACAGTAAATATACCACTCACTCCTTAACCATATGTTTCTCTTATTTATTTGGAGACAGAAATACACACACCTTAATTAAGTTTCAAGTTAGATTGAACAGGATTGTTCCTCATAATGACTAATATATATATATAGTGAAGTACTAAATAAATCACAATTTTTATAATTAAAATAAAAATTAATTGCCCAGAAGGCACACATATGTCAAATGTATCCAAGCAGAGCTTTAATGGAAAATGCATATTGAGTGAGTGTAATAACAGCCTTCTCTTGTTTTGAATTTGATTGAACCTGATTGAATTTGGTTACAACAACTAAATTAGAAATTTTTGGTAGAATCAAGCAGAAATATCTTCTTAGAGGAACAACAGCATGTTTACTGTTTACTGTGCACATCTACTCGTAGAATATTTTGTAATTTAATTAGAGTACTGTATAAGTAATATTATTACAAATCCAAACAGAGCTTTAATGGTACTGTGCCCTATAGTTTCATGACTGCTTTTGCTGCTGCTAAAGCTACTGTTCCTACTGTTGCTACTGCTCGTGCTCGTCCTGGTCCTCCTGCTACTGCTACTACTCCCCCTCCTACTGTTAATATTGTTGTTCCTATTTCTATCAGTTTTTGTTTCCGAGACTCCCATTCAATTTTTTTCTGGGCTTCTTTATACATGTCATTGGTGTAGTGTTGTCCTCCATTCTTCTCCACCATCTTCTCAATCTCCTCCAGTAGTTTGGTGACCTGAGAGCGGTTCTCAGTTTCATTATTATTGAAGGAGTGAATCCTGTCCCCACACTCATTAACAACAGCCTTGAGATCATTACTTTCGCTGATATAGTCCTCTAATTGTTGATCCAGTGAATCAGCGTGAGTGAACAGAATGATGGTGTAATGTGCAGCTTCTTCTCCGAAGTTCTCCTGAATCCATTTGACTGTGTTTTTCTCTTCATCTGTGAATGGCACGTCCAGTCTGATGACCAGCAGAAACACATGAGGACCAGGAACAGACATCTCCACACACTTCACAATCTCAGCCTTCAGATGCTGTTCTGTCATTGTTGTATCAAACAGGCCTGGAGTGTCGATGACTGAGATGGTCTGATCATCCTCTTCTACTGTTCCTCTCTCACAGGTTTTAGTGACTGACCCTGGTGAACGTTTCTTCTGAAAACACTCTTGACCCAGGATGGTGTTTCCCGTTGAACTCTTTCCTGATCCAGTTTTACCCAGAAGAATGATCCTGAGTTCTGAAAGTGAGAGCATAAATTGATATTTTTGACATTACGGAGACATTTGGTTGGGCCCCACAAGTGTAACAGGTACATACACATACAACAGAAAGTAGGCTATACTGTCAAATGCATGTATCATTAAGTAGCTATAATTGACACAAAATGAATCATTTACATATATTTGATGTGGCTGCCTGATTGAAATGAGTGCTTTCACCTTTAATACGCTGATTTCACGCATGCCGTCATTTTGAAATGGCTCCGGTGGGAAGACAACCGGAAGTGTCGCCTTTAATCACAGGAGAGTCGCGAATGTGATGGCTCATTGTTGTGTTTAATGTAGAAATTTGGGTAACACTTTACAATACGGGTGCACTAATAAGCATTAATTCATGCTTAACTAATGCACAGATAATGCTGAATTAATGTGTAACTAATGATTATTTAAGCTATTCATTAATGATTACCATATTAGGAACTAATTAAGAGTCTGTAGGGTTAATGTATTAGTTCATACATGAATTGTTGTTAATTTAATATGTAATTGTCGATTAATTCCATAATAACTCATTTTTTTAACTAATAGTGTTAATTAATATGTTAATTACCAGAATGAGCCAAAGCCTTGTATTTCAACTTCCAGATAATATGACAGGTACACTAATATGCATTAATACATGATTAATTACTTCATTGTTACTGCAAATTCATGTGCAAATTACTACAATCACTAAATGACTAGTTAATAATGATGTGCCCCAACAAGTAAAGTCATAACATAATGATACCTTTGCAAATCATTAGCTAATGATTAATTAAAGCAGACAACTGGAAGTTGAAGTGCATAGCTTTGACTAATGGTGATTAACACATTAATTTACACTATTAGTTAATAAAATATGTCATTAAGGAATTAATACACAATAACACATTGAATTAATAGCAATTCATGTATTACTTAATCTATTAATCATATTGACCCTTTATTAGTTGCTGATGCAGTAATCATTAATTAATGGTTTAGCTCTTCATTAGTTATACATTAACTCATGATTATCTGTGCTTTAGTTAAGGATGAATTAATGCATATTAAAAAGTGTTACCGAAATTTGTTATTCTAAAAATGTTGTACACACATTTCTTTTATACTTTAGACTACATACAGTTAAATTTATAAATTCATATATATATATATATATATATATATATATTCAGAACCATATACATATGCTATTTGGGATATTAACATCCAATAGTGTAAATTGCGGCAGCAGCTTTGGTAGTCCACGACATTGTTGTCTGTCTGTTCCGGGATTCTTCCCACCGAAATGCCCATCAAAATGGCGGCTGCGTGAAATCAGCGTATTGTTGTGATGTCATGAGCCAATATAACTTCCTGTTCTGTCTCCTCCTCTTCCCTTTTGCATTGTAATCTCTCATGGGATGAGTAGGTTTAGTTTTACTTCTGATAATCTTATTTAATCTTCATTGGAATTATTGCTTTTATATCTATATCGTCACTCTTGTTTATGGGTATACTGATTTTTTACTTCCCGGTCTGATTATTTTTGTCATTGTACCCTTTTTGAGTTATATTTTGGTGTTTTTCCTTAATATGTGGAAATGAGAGGACATGCATTTTGACAGAGGGTCGAGTCTACTTCATATGTACACTGGAGCCAAGCTGGTTAAGAACCAAAATGCAACTTTAATAATAAACTCTTAAACACGCAACAAGCAAAGACTGGAAACTGGTGACTGAAAACAAGAACAAGAAGCTGGACAAGAAACATTCAATCCTAAGACACAGGAGAACTTAATCCTAAGACACAGGAGAACTGACGTACGAATACAAGCATTGTGAATGATGATAAAATAACTTTTTGAGCCGCTATAGGTCGTGTCACATTCCTTTTGTTTAAGGATGGGGATTCAAAGCATAGAAGACAGATGACATTACCTCTCAATTATTTTGGTAACATCATGCTGTATTTTAATCATGATACTCTACTAGTATACATAATTAATTCTGTCAACTACCGGAAACAAAAAGCACACGATTAATTTCTCAGTATGGTCTTAAACTAGTATAACATTAGATTATTTAACTTAGACTGACCTTTATATGCTGATGCCATCATGTCTTTCGCAGTTAGTGCTTGTTGTTCAAAGTCCTTCTGTGTTTGTGTGTGTGTGAGCCGGACCTACAGTAGTTAATGTGTCTACACTTCATCATATAGTAAAAAACGATAACACTTTACAATACGGGTGCAATAATAAGCTTAACTAATGCACAGATAATACTGAATTAATGTGTAAATGGTTATCTAAGCTATTTATTACTGATTACCACATTAGGAACCAATTAAGAGTCTGTAAGGTTAATGTATTAGTTCATACATGAATTGTTATTAATTAAATATGTAATTGTGGATTCATTCCATAATAACTCATTTTTTAACTAATAGTGTTAATTACCAGAATGAGCCAAAGCCTTGTATTTCAACTTCCAGATAATATGACAGGTACACTAATATGCATTATTACATCATTAATTACTTCATTGTTAGTGCAAATTCATGTGCAAATTACTACAATCACTAAATGACTAGTTAATAATGATGTGCCCCATCAAGTAAAGTCATAACATAATGATACCTTTGCAAATCATTAGCTAATGATTAATTAAAGCAGACGACTGGAAGTTGAAGTGCATACTAGCTTTGACTAATTGTGGTAATTAACACACTAATTTACACTATTAGTTAATAAAATATGTTATTGAGGAATTAATACACAATGACACATTGAATTAATAGCAATTCATGTATTACTTAATCTATTAATCATATTGACTCTTTATTAGTTGCTGATGCACAATGGTTTAGTTCTTCATGAGTTATACATTAACTCATGATTATCTGTGCATTAGTTAAGCATGAATTAATGCATATTAGTGCACCTGTATTGTAAAGTGTTGCCCAAAAAACCACTATGGCAGCGATTGGCTGCATTTTGACACCTAAAGACAAAGATCAGAATTACTGTATGTTGGGCAGTGACCTACATGTATGTTTACTCTGTCTTAGTGCTTTGTCATATAGTCAAATCTATAAAAACTTTTAAAGAAACGGGTGTTCCTGTTTCAACAATGTAAATCTCTGATGATGCTGATGAGAAACATCCGCCTTCAGACATCCAATGACTGGCCGTTGTTCTTTCGAATATGTTACTATCTGCAGTCTTGGTTTAGTGAGACGACATTTAAAAAACATTCAGATGAGCCAGTGTCAATAAGTAGCTCAAGAACACAGCTCTGAATATGTTGTGCCGTTATTTTAACAGTGCATAGAGCTTTGCCTGATTTGCTGAATTATGTGAGAGACCCACGTTCAAAGCCATTTATGAGGATCAGATACATTTGTTTTCTTGTGACGCCATTGGCCTGGTAAGCCACTTGTTTACAGTATGGTTACTGTCACCCACTGACTGATATTACAATGTTAATATTCAAATATTCAAACATTTACACTCTTCATACATTTATTAGACACGATTATTTAAGAAAAAACAAATACTAAACATTCATATGCAGCAAAAGTGTGAAGCAGAATAAGGGGTTTGGTTTGTTGATGAGGTGTCTGTGTTCAGTCAGTCTGTTTTTTATCAATGCTGTGATAGATCGACTCTTCTTGAGCAGAATCAGCTGTGAGATCCTGATAAACGTGACTCTGTCGACTGGCGTTCAGTTCAGTGTAGATCGGATCTGGACTCAGACTGTTTGTCGATGCAGCAGCAACATTTATATAGAAGAGGTTGGTGTTGGCTGCTTTTGTGGGAATCTCGTTTGCTGCCGAACTATTATCACTTTGAGCTGCGTTTGAGTTTGGCAGGACAGTCGGGCAGGACAATCGGGCTTTATCGTATTCATTCTGTACATTGGAGGAAGGAAAGTATTGCTTGGTCATTATTGGACAAGAACGTGAACCTTGACTTATACTTGAGAAGAATAGTTAATAATGATGGACATGTTCAACTCACCTCTTCTCCTTTTCTTAATAACAGATGAAGCCTTGCAGTGAAGATTGCCAGACCTGTGATAGATGAATGTTATATAAGTTTCAAAACTTCCAGTATCTGAATTCAGTCCATCATGATTGAATCTCATTTCTTTAGTTAAGTTAGTTTTTTCACAACCCCAATTGTTTTAATCTAAATGATTATGTCTGTTTACATGTATAGATTTTCCCTCATCAGGGACTATTAAGTGTCCACACTGTCTGAATTTTATATATTGTAATATTTGATTGTGGCTTTGATTGGGCTTTAATATAAAGATAACTTTAGGAATACATCAAATAAACCCTCGGACACGGACGAGCTCTTTTCTCAACTCCTTTTACTTCCGCTCTCCTCTCTCTGTACCCCCGTCATAATAAAAGTCCCTCCAGTAACATCCACTTTAACACAATATACTGATGAATCAACAGTGAAATATTCAAATAAAACATCAGGATCAATCTTTTTAATATAATGTGCTACATTTAAGTCTTACAATATTAATATATCGTTAACCAAATATTACCACAAGTCAGCTTTTTCTTTCGTATGGCCAACACAAACAATACTGCACATATCAGGAGCAAAAACAAAACTCCTGCGACGATGATGCCAATTGAACCTGAGAATAGAAACAAATATAAAATTGCTAAGCATCTTCAAAGAATGAAATGAAAGATGATAACATGAGATGAGGTGTTGAGAGGCGTTTACCTGTGTCAGGTGAAGAGGTTTTGGGAAAAGGGGTTTGAGCCAATGCATCTGATGAAAGATGTGTGCTTGTGATTAAAAACAGGCTGATAGTCGTCTTCTTATTTAAATGGGTAACAATGAAGATGGACTATCAATTATTAAACTAATACATGACATGAGCACACTCAATTTAATTCAAAACAGATACAAACATTCATTTAGACTATTGCAGAAGTGGCATTAATCACTTACCCAGTTTAACCAGCAACAAAATCTCTGAATAGACATCAGTAATAATACTCCTCTCCACAGCACACCAGTATTGGCCTTGATCCTCTGTTCTCAGATCAGTGATGGTGACGGTGAAAACTCTGGCCGTCGTGTCGTCAGTCAGAGAGAATCTCTCGTCTTCAGCTGGAGATCCTGATTTAACCATGATGATTTTATTTCCATAGATACACTCCCCTTTACAAAAATACTTTGAATTTGATTCATATCTAGAATCATATGAGCATCTGATGTCAACTCTCTCTCCTCTGTATCCAGTAATTTTCCGTGGAGCTCCACCACCAACAGCTGAAAATACACGTATCATTAGCGAGCATGTTGGATTAAGAGAGACACATATACATTTTGAACTCACCGATACGAATGCAGGCCCAGAGAAGAACAATACGGTTCCACATGGTGAAGCTTTACGGGACTTTGTTGACTAAATAAAATCCTTAAACGTTGACAAATGTCTCTTTCTTCCGTTCTGGCATATGGTGTAAGGCTTAACTTCTCCTTCCCCTCATTTCCACATTCATCATTATAACGGGTCCTAAAATATCTTGACATTAAAAGCTTACTGTGCATATCAAAACTGTGCATAGTTTATAGTTTTATAATCTGTTCATTGTGTTATTATGAGGCCTCAGAGGGTATTAAGCATCCATGTAGAACAAGTAGAAGTTCAGTTAAAGATGTTTTTAATAGTTTTCATAATCCATTCTCCGATTTTAATACCGATACAAAATGGAGAAAATACTTCATCGAGAAATGGGAGGTTGTTGAACCTATTGAAATACACTTAGGTGTCAGATACGGTACAAGAAAGAATATGATCTCAGGAATGTATGAACAGACTTTCATATATATTTCCCTCTTCTTAAGACTCTTGAATTCATTTTTAGGAATATCTTTTTCAAGAGAAACGGCAAAGTGACGTATCGAGATTTGTGTGACGGAAAAACATCCTGTGCTCCATCAATAGCAATGCACTTCAGATCCGAAATTTACTACGATGATCTTGAAACTGAAAACCCATTAGGATCTAAACATGGGATTCATAAACTTGGCTGTTTATATGTTGGATGCACACATAAATTCTTCCTTAATAAACATACATCTAATTTCTTTGTTTCGTTCTGAAGATGGAAGAAAGTATGGCATTGACAAAATACCCAGCCCATTGGTTGACGATGTAAAAATACTTGAGCAGGAGGGAATGAAGGTGGAATTTTTTGAGGAGCCCATCTTTGGTTCTTTTGCGCAATTTACTGGCGATAACCTACGTCTACATGATATCCTTGGTTATGTTAAATATATTCACATTCCTGACGGTGCGTCACTGACAAGGTGTAGCACAGTAAGTAGTGAGGATGATCCGCAGGTGATATTGCGTAACAGAAACCTAAATGATTAATATTATAAGTATCTTGCTGACGACCCTAATGAAAACTCCTGTTATGGTATTCTGTACTCAATACCTTGACTTACTTTAATGTATCAGAGAACTTTGTGCTGGATATTATGCATGATATACTGGAGGGAGTTGCACAGTATGAAGTGAAACTGCTTTTTCAATACATGAGTTACAATATAATTTTAGGTGATTCCATTCCTCAAAGATTGTATGCCTTCAACTATGGCTATTCGGACAAAAATAACCACCCAACCAGGGTCAACCTATAAAGCATACACTCTTAGAAGAAATGGTTCTATTTAGAACCAGAAATGGTTCCATCCCCCGCTTCATATATGGAACTCCAAACCTTTTTTTTGGTAAAAGGTTCTATTGGCCAAGTATGGAACCCCAGGGTTCTATATAGAACCCAGAGGAACCCTTTTTTTAAGAGTGTATAGAACCTTTTAGGGGTTCCAAATATGTAGCACTGATAAAACCTTTTAAGAACCATTTCTTCTAAGAGTGTGAGGTGGCCTTCAGCTGCTTGCAAACGGACTCTTTTGAGGAGACAGTGGATTTCCAAATGTGTTGCCGTGATTCCACAGTCCACGCACAATGAGTGTGAAATGGAGATAAGCAGCCTTGTAGATCTGTAGCATCAAACCCACATTGCTTATAGAAATACAAGTTGTAAATAGTAATGAGATAAGAAGACCTCATGCAGCATGGACCAACAAGGGTATCAAACAACCTCCAACCAAATATCGTAAAAGTCCAAAAAGTTCTTCGTTTGAAGGCAAACTTAAACAGTTCTCAAATTGGGCTTAAAGAAAAGGTAGTCATGAGCTCAACCATGGGGTTTCCCTCAATCCAAACACAACTCTCTTGCTCGTCTGTGATCGGGGTTATATGCTGTAATCAATTAACTCTAGCGCCCTCAAGCGGCTGCTAGTGGTAACACATGTTGGCCCCTATGCATCATCCTCAAGAAAACAATGGAAAACAATATACAAGTAACGTTTTATACTGTTACATCAGAAATTGGTCACTGAATTCAGTGATTCAGGTCAAATGATTGTGAAATAATGATTATTAAAACACAATAACACCAACAGATCACATTTTCTATTTGTTCATCTCATCTGGCTGTTATAACTCACGTACTGCAGCCAAACAAAATATAAAGTTAATGATTCATGGGTAAAGAGCCGAACTAAAACAAACACTGATCAACATAATAGATCCCCAGACATATGTTGTGATGCAATTGTGACATATCGAGATCTTTACTCACACATATTTCTATACCGACACTTAGACTGGGTAGAAACAGTAGACATTAGATTTACAGTACATTTAATGTGTGAGAGTTCATTAAATAAAATAATAATTTACAGTCTTACACTATTAGACATTAAAGCTTATTTATTCAAGAGTACAATTCAATGATTTTTCTTTATATACACACTACCATTCACAAGTATGGGGTAAGATTTCTTACTAAAATTAATACTTTCACACATTAAACCGATTAAAAGTGACAGTAAAAAAATTATCTTTACATTGTTAGAAAAATAAAATCAACTTTGATCACAGGAATAAATTACGGTTTACAATAGATTCACGTAGAAATATTGCTGTTTTGCTTTTTTTTGATTTTGCCTTTGTGAGAATAAGAGACATATAAGAACATTATTAAGGAGAAAAAAGGACAGGCTGCATGTTATCAGTCAGTATTTTGATCGATACTGTAATAAATTGACTCTTGAGCAAAACAAGGGTTCATTTCTGTGTAGATCGGGTCCAGGCAGTCTGCTGGAGCAGAATCGATGTAGTTGACGTCTTTGCTGTGGGTCTGTTGTGTGTTTGTCAGTCTGTGAATATCCTGGACATACGAACCTTTCTCCCTTTGAGCCACGGATGAGTTTGAGAGTACGACTGGGCTCATTTTCAGATACTCGTCCTGTAAAGAGGACGCTTCATATCAGCAATGAAATCAGTGCACTTTCTCAGCATCGGTATGCATGCGGTAATACCAACCCGATCTCACGGGAATTCGTACGAATTAGTACGATTTTGCTAAATTGTCCATATTTTACGAATTAACCAATTCGTATGAATTCGTACGAATGACCTACCCCTGACCCCGCCCCTAAACATAACCGTCACGTGGGTTTGGACAAATCGTATGAATTCGTATGAGTGAGGTCGTACGAATTAGCCACTTTTGAATCACTCGTACGAATTGGTCGTGAGATAGGATAGGTAATACTCGTGAATGTGATATGATAGATGACTTACAACAATGTGATCTGATGTTGTCCTGGTGTGATAAGATACAGAAACTGGAGAAAAAAATACATGTATTAATTGCATGATAAATGTTAACAATGTTTAATATTGTTTATATGTCTAGGTGGTGTTTTTAATGCTTTATACGATGTGAAAATTCATAAGTCGACAGCATTGCTGAGTATTTGCTTAAAACTGCAGTGTAAACTCAAAAACACGGTCATTTTGGTGATCAAAGATGAGTTTTAAGGGGGATTTTAGTCAGTGAAGTTGGTGTAGATAAGAGGAAGTCTTGTCAAGCCGACTCACCTGACTGCTTGCAGGTGGCGGCCCATTTAAAAACCTTAAACAGAGCGTATGGACACACAAGTAGAAGTGTGCCGACACACACCAGACCCAACACGGTCACAAACCAGAGGTGAGATTCTGTAGAAAGAGGAAACGATCTGACACACCTGATAAAAACACCATTCATTTGTGTGAAAAAAGAAACAGAGAGAGAGAGAGAGAGAGAGAGAGAGAGAGAGAGAGAGAAACCCTCACAGATTTCTTCAAGACTGGTGACGATATTAGATCTGTTAATGAACACCAAGACACAAGCTGTGTGTTTGTGAGAAGTTACAAAGAATGGAAGTTACTGTAAAGAATCAGATGTGATGGATAGATATAGATAGATAAAACCAACCAACCAGACAAAACAAATGATTGAAAGAGTGAACTGTGAATAACACGATACACAGACAGATACCCTGTTCTCCTGTCTCGGCCCAGTTCTGTGCTGTGATGTTTGCAGGACTGTTTGTGCTGCTGACAACCACTAAAACACATCATTTGAAGGAAGTTCATTAAAACATTGTGTGAATATTTTTTATTTTTTGTAAACAATAAACATAATTTTCCTGGTTTACTGTCGTACCTCTTGGTAATGAAGTTGTGGGTCTCTGTGGTTTATCTGTGAAGAGAAGGAACGTGAACAGGAAAGATTCGCTAACAGGGAATGTTCCCAGAACTTTCTGGCAAGGTGCTCTCAAATGTTCTTCCAGTAATGTCCGCTCAAAATGATATGGTTCTTAATGTCAGCACTCCAATCTAATCTTATTGAATGAGGTCTGACGTTTAATAATATTACTTGTTTTATAATGTTCAGAGAACATTCAATAGTAACAATAGGCGTGTTTCCATTACAGATTTGCGCAAAACTTTTGCGATATTTTCCAAATGTCGATAAAAAACGATTGCGAAATGACGGTGTTTCCATTAACCGATGTTATGCGACTAAAACGTCTTTTTTTCCCTCTCGCGATAAGTCATTACAAAAATCATGGCAACGGACTTTGTTAGGTTTATAACCTATTTCAGAGCCATGACATGACATTCACCACACTAGACATTATTATTATTATTAATGGAAGGAAGGAGACGTGGTGTGTTATCCAAGCATTAATGGCAGGGAAAGACACAGAGTTCCTGGGTGTTTCTCCCTTATTTCTGCTTTGATGTCTTAATGGCAAGTCTTTGAGGTTTAGAGAGGCTATTCCTGTAATTACTGTTTCTTTTTTTTAAAAATGAATTTAATAAAAAACTATCTCGTATTATGTCCCAAACGGTCGTTGCAAAATGAAAAATGAACGGTTGTTCTATTTTTAAAACGCAAAGTTGAACACCAACATTTTAGTTTGACCACACCAATGCTGCGCTATATACATCTCAACGAATTTTCAGATATTTGTTTATGACTTTTTGCCCCGTTTAAAACAAATTAATATGGGGAAAAAATGTAGATTTTACTGGTTTTCTAAGGCCAAATTAGAACCTGGATATTTATGATATTTTTCCCGCAGTGCTGTATAGGTAAGTTATTATAAATGCGTCTGAAAAGATAACGAGCTAAAAACATAATCTCCGGATGCACCTTTCATACGGATTACATAATCAGAAGGTATTAGCTTACGATTCGAATTTCTTCTTTTTAAAGTGGACATTTAAAGCTTTAGTCTATAAAGGATATTGTTTCAGTTCTCGCGCTCCAGTTCACGAAGATCATAAATCGCGCCTGATTGTTTTATGTTATTTTACAAAAGCACAACGTTTTCTTGTTATTGTGACATCACGCAAATAAAAGTAGTTGCGAATAATATATTATTATTTTCTGTATAACCAGAAATGATAGAGTATTTTAAGTTGATTTCACTGTTGATGGGAAAATGAAAGTGTTCACCACGCGGCTCTTGAATATTGGTCAAAATCGAGTGTTTATCCTAGCCCTATTATTATTATTATTATTCTCCAACCTCTAGGCCTACTATGAATGAGATGTGACGAATTGCTTTGTTCCTTTTTTGGATAAAAGCGTCTTCAGATGTAGCCTGATAAATGTTATAATAGGCTAATGATGATAATTATTATTATTATTTGTGGACACGGGCCTAAAACACACTCCGTCTTCTAAGTCAGGTGACTGTAAATGCACAAAATCAGTTTTGCGAAAAAATCCTTTTTCGAATTGCCTGAAAAACCTCCGTAAAAACTTTTTTGCGATAAACGGGAGTTTTTGCGAAATTGACGTGTTTCCATTGAGCGTATTTTCATTTCGCAATTTCAATTTGCGCAAATTGAAGGGTAATGGAAACGCAGCTATTGTTATAATGTTTGCCAAATGCAGGGCTGCCAACAGAGAAGGTCTAGCGCCAAGCTAAACTCAAAAGTTGTCAGCTCTGCCAAATGAAATGTTTCATTTATGTTCACATTACCAATATTTTTTTTTAAACATTCAGATCTACCGTTCTGCAAAACGTTCTTAGAACATATTTTTGTTGGCTGGGATGTGTGCGTAAACGACTCTCACCTCGTCTTCTGACAATTAGTTGTCTTTCGGCATCGGGATCAGGCATCATTTTAACATCCACGCCGAAGGTGTACACGTCAGAATCCTCTGAGATCAGTCCGAAGATGGTGGCGGTGAGAAAGTGCGCGGATGTGTTGTCAAGAAGAGCGAATCGTCCTTGTCTGGTCCACCTGTTGGATTCAGTGGTCTGAACCAGTTTCTCAAAGAATAATCCATTTGATCTGCCGAAGTACTTGCTGTTTCCCTCGTAGTGCGATGGGTATCCGACGTGAAACGTAAAGTCTTCTCCCTCATATCCAATCTCAGTCACAGTGCAACTAATGTCCAGTAGACAGACTGGAAATGAAGTGACATAAAATGACAATTGGCTAATAATATAGTAGGTAAATACGTTTTACTGTGGTGTTTTACTTGTGGTAGTTATCTGTTCAGATTATGTCAAGTCAAGTATATTTAAATAGCGCTTTTCACAATATAGATTGCATCACAGCAGCTTCACAATATCAATCAAAACATAATAACATTCATTTCTTGGTGGAAAAACATCCTCGATGTAACCCTTAAGATCCTAATTTTGTGTACAAGCAATTATATTAAAAACTGTTTTTTTATTAGTAGATAGTGAACTATTGATTACCAAACTAAAGTTTCAAAATCATTTTCCCAATACTAATCCAGACAGAATATCTTCTGAAATTCAGATACTGTTATTTTATTGTAAAACGATCACTAAAACTCACCTGCACAGATGCAGAAACCAAAGACTCTTGCTGTCCGCATGCTGAATGGTTTAATATGCGTTTGATGGTGGGCAGTGTATAAACCCCATCTGTCTTTCTGTCTGTCTCTCACTTCCTTGTTTCTATTTGGGTCCAAAACACAAGACTTCAGTTGTACAAAGGCAGTTCAACTGAGATTTCTCAATATGATTAACTTCCCTAACTTTTCACCAGTATGCAGCCTTCTCTTTTCTGTATAATTGATTGCACAGGAACAAAAAATTTAAACACAATTTACTGTAACAACTGCATTGTAAGTATTGATTTGACTGGGGAGTTTTTACCGGTTTGATTAAGCACATTACTCTATAACTGTGCAAACTGACACTGCAAAACATTGGAAACTTGTTTTCCATTAGAATGTTTATTTGAAGCAAAATTGCATGGTCTAATGAAACTTTTTTTCAGAGAAACAATGTATATTTATTGGATTGCAAGACAAAAACAACAGTGCAAAGTGAAGATGAGAAACACAATAGAATAATAATAGTACATCATAATACTGTATCAGGCAGTTACTGCTTCTCAAAACCAGACAAATCTGAAGGAATTCTGTATTATATTCAATAACTTACATATCAAGATACTTTACTTTTTCTTCTTTTTTGTGCATTTTTTTGTGCAACGTTTTTATGCTCCATATTAAAGTAGGCAATTTTATCCCTGTGATTTTTTTTTTCAAACTCATCATATTCATTTTATAATTTTAGCAAACTCATATTTAATCATAAAGTTACCTATTTAAAAGTTTTTTCCACAAACATTTCTTCATGCCATAAAATAGTTGAATGCAACTCTAGATCCTTGCCTCATTTAGTATGTGCGGTTCTATGAATATGCAGATGAGCCACGCCCCCACTCCCTCACTCAGCTCTGAGATCCACTGGTTGACGATCTGATTGGTTGCAAGTTCGTTTGTGACGTCAGAAACGCCAGCGATTTCAAAGCGTGTTTTTGAGACTGTCTTTGGTTCACTGCAGTTTTAAGGAGGAAATACTCAATGCTGTCCACTTATGAACTTACACATGGTGTGTGTTAAAGCGTATTAAAGACACAAAAATAGACATAAACAACATTACAAACTTGATTTTCACCACAGGGACTTTAACAAAAGACTGTATCAATTGATTCAGTTAATATTTTTTATTTTATTTTGTGAAAATACCACAAAAAGGGTTTTGATGCCGCTGTTGATGAGGATTCAGTGATCAATAGTGTTATAGATCGCCTCTTCTTGAGCAGAATCGGCTGTAAAACTCTGATACACGTGACTCCGTCTGCTGGCGTTCAGTTCTGTGTAGATGTGGTCTTGTGTTTGTGCTGGAACTACATCTATGTAGTAGGAGTCTGTGTCGACCGCTTCTGTGTTTATATAATCCAGGTTTATGGGTCTGTAAAATTCCTCTTGACCACTTTGAGCTTTGGATGAGTCTGGAAGCCTTATTCTCTGGTAGGCATCCTATATAAAATACATAAATATAACTTAAACAATTATAAGCAGATAATGGCTAATATATATATATATATATATATATATATAAAAGCCTGGCCATAAAAAAAGAGTTGCTCTTTAGATTAGGCAAATGCTTAACACTGTGTCCGTGATGCAATAATCAATATAATATAATAATAAATCAGATCACCTTTTCTATTTGTTCACCTGGCTGTAATAACTCAAGTATTGAAGCCAAACTAAATCTAAAGTTAATGAATTAAGGGTCAAGAGCCCAACTAAAGCAAATACTTATCTCCACAATGGTGACTTAAAATTCCGGTTTTCTCCTTCAGTGATTCTGCTTGTTATCATCAGGTGTCTTCAATAATGCTCAATCATCACTCAATTATTCACTTAATTATCTCATTAACTTTAACACTGCTTCAGGGTTCATTTAACACTCAGCTCAGAGTTTATATAATTCACACTCTCAGTGTCAATTTAACACCGGGGATTTTGCAGTGTACTATACCAGATCTTGCCCAAAAACTGATGCACGTCTTGATGGAAACAACATCACAACATTTATTTCCATAAATCTTGTAATTGTCATCCTGGAATATGGCCATGATGTGTATAACAATAGTAAAACAACATGATAAATTATGAATGAGATTTGCTGTCGTCACCTGCACTGGGTTTGATATTGTCCTTCGGTGAGGAGCAGAACCTGATAAGAGCATAACCAATTTAATTATCCATTCATTAAACTCAGAACTTTAACGAAAGATGTTTTGAAGAACAGACATGTGCTGTAGTCTCACCTGAGTTACGCCGACTGCTGTGTTTCAGGACTTGAAACAGACCAAACAGAATCACAAAAAGCAGAGCGCAAACACACATCAAAGCCACCATCATCATGAACCTGGAGTAAGACTCTGTTGATGCAAACCCACAATGAGTTGACTGAAAAAAGGAGAACCACATGTGTGTGTGTGTGTGTTTTCGTAACCTCACCGTCACGTTCTTCTGGGAACAGGTCAATGGTTTGTTCTTGTGGATCCCCTGCACAGAAATCAAAAGGGAAAGGACTATAGTTCATCTATATCGAAACCTCACCACACATGCAATTGAGATCCGTCCTCACACTCATTATGAGCCGTGTAAGAGGAAGACGATGCCGTATCACATCCCATCTGAAACCAATCTCAGAGTCTCAAATGCACCTCAAATATCTCTGTAACTGTTGTAGGGTCAGTGTTTCACAGTGCATATGATCTCAGTACAGATCGACATGGGAAATATACAATAATATACTTTCATCAAGATATTAGATATCTATATTCCATGTCCTCATGTCTCAATTTACATACATACGCCAATTCATGAGAACAGCCTGCAATTTACATGAGCTCTTAAAAACCACAGGCACAGTGTAAAAAGAGCTTTTTAAAGTAGAATGTTTAAGATGTTTAAGTCAAGTCAAGTCAATAACGCTTTTAACAATATAGATTGTTTCAAAGCAGCTTTACAGTGATAAAAGGGAATCACAGGAACAGAGATTTTTTGGCTTTACATCCGCTCGAATAAAGTTATTGTCCAGCTTAAGTTAGTTTTGATTGATTCACTTCCATTGCAAAGATCATTAGTTATTAAAGGGATACTCCACTTTTTTAGGAAATAGGCTCATTTTACAACTCCCCCAGAGTTAAACAGTTGGGTTTTACCGTTTTCGAAAGTATTCAGTTGATTTTTTGATTTTTAGAAGAATATCTGTAAGCAGACAGTTTCTGGTCTCATTGACTTCCATAGTATATTTTTTTCCTACTATGGAAGTCAATGAGACCAGAAACTGTCTGGTTACTAATATTCTTCTAAATCGGCTGAATGGATTTGAAAACGGTAAAACTCAACTGTTTGTAAAATGAGCCTATTTCCAAAAACAAGTGGAGTATCCCTTTAACTTAGGGGCCGCTAAACACGACACCGTTCCAACAGAAAACCCTACATCACATTAGCCGCTCGTACATATTAACTATATTCAGGACAGTGAGTCTCCAGCTGTTGTGCATCTCACCTTTGCTGACCGTAATCCAGATCTCAGAGGTAAAATCCGGCAGGAGATCGATATCCACCCCACACCAGTACCTCCCCGAGTCTTCTGGAGCCAGGCTAGAGACGAGAGCCGTGAGAACATGAGCGCTGGTGTCGTCCAGAAGAGCCAGTCTCCCTCGTTCAGATCTCGCGTCTCGACGGCTCGTGTGGACACACTGAAACCGGCCGCTCATCTGACAGAAGAACTTGCTGCTGTTCTCGTATGTTTCAGGGTATCTACAGGAGACTGAGATGTTGCTTCCCACAGATCCGGTGACGGTAAGAGCCAGTGAGTTATTCATCAGACACAGCGCTGACAGAACAAACACTGCTGACAGAGAAAGATTCAGTTATTAGAGGAGAAAAAAGGGCAATTCTCACTGATTCAGTGTCATGAGAGATATCATACCTGAGAAACTGATGGAGGAGACGGTTCTCATGACTGTCGACTTCAACATCGACTCCCACTACCTGTTCTCACACTAAATACTAGATAGAGATTGTGTGTGTGTTTATAGAGTTACACTTCCCTAATGGATAAACACAAACACAGAAGAATAAACCTCTCCCTCTTCAGGCCAGTGGAGGGAAAGTCTGGCCATCCCCAATGTTACACCATCCATCCATCATATTCTTTCTTTATTTCTTTCTTTCATTCATTAATTCATTGATTCAGTCATCCATCCCTTCATCCATCCATCATGTTGTTTCCTGATTCTTCTGTAAGGAAAGGCAATTGCATGTTCCTGCCTGAAGGAGCTGTAAAATATTACTGAACATAAAAACATACACAGTTTGATCTTATTTTTTAAACACCATCTTTAAAAATGAAGAACTACTTGTCTTAAAGAAAGAAAAACATTTACATTTGCGACTTACAATTACTATATGTCAGAGGTCGTACGCCTCTGGAGCAACTAGGGGTTAAGTGTCTTGCTCATTGGTGTCTCACAGTGGATTCGAACCTGGGTCTCTCACACCAAAGGCATGTGTCTTATCCACTGCGCCATCACCACCACAAAACACTTTCATGAAGCTGTAAAACACCATCTAATGACGGTGACAGGAAGTTTCCCTTCACACTGAAGTATTCGTTTGATATCTGTAAGATCTGTAGTCATTAATTTAGATGTTTTTTAACCAATCTTTTTGAGTGAGTGTTTTTTTCTTTTTCTTTTTGCAAGAGGTTTTATGTGGGTTGTTTCTGTCTCAACATTGGCCGTTGCTTAAATATACTTTAAAAAGGGGAAGGAGAAAAAAACTGCAAAATAGCAGAAGAAATTTTTCATCTTGCATTTGTACTTCACTCTCCTGGAGTGTAACTTACAGCGGCTGAAACTACAAAACGGTAAGAGTTACTCTCGTTCAGTCATTAATATTGTCTAAATAATGAATCTCCACAGAATATTGAAGGGAGAAACATTTTCTATCATAATAACCTCTGAACATCCGGAGCTCATGTGTTACTAACGTTGTCTTTAAATGAGTTTCAATTGTGGAAATCCACTACAGTAAAGATATTTTTCAATCATTTTTGCACTGTTTATAATCTAATACACTGCTGTTATTGTAGTTTTCATGAAACAAAAGCTGACATGTTGTACTGTTGTGTAAATGATTCAGTTTGCTGTGGTGATGTCCCTGATAACTCTTGCTCTGGTGTTTCTGCTCCTGATTCCAGGTCAGTCTCTTCTGTAAATGACACACGAGTTAATTACTAACTAAGAGTGAAAGGTTTTGGCTTGTTAACATGAAAAATATGACTAGTAAAATATCTACTATAATGTAGGGAAATTTCTATGATTCATTTGTTGCTTCCAAACAAAATTGCATCATTCAGGTTTTTGCTGATATAATGCGAACTGCTGAAGCTGCTAACATTTACAGCGTGACGTTGTTCAGAGTTAGTGTTCAATGTTCTGCTTCCTGCATTTCATCACCGTCTGTCTGATGTCTGTAGACACAGATCAAATCATATGTGATTCAAAACTTTTAATTAAAGTGTATGGTCCTGTTTAACTCATAGATGGACATTTGTTTCCTATCCTTGTTTCCTTGTAAATGTTGTGTTTCAGGAGTTTGTAGTCAGTGGGGTGGTTGGGGTGTGAGTTACAGTCCTCCACACATCTGTGCACTAAAGGACTCAACAGTGATAATGAGATGCACTTATACATACCCTACTGGATATAAGATCAAGAAAGTGTTCTGGACCAAAACACTGGTAAAATATGATGACGAGTTTCCAGATCTGTCTAATGATCCTGAATACCGTCAGAGGCTTCAGTATCTGGGAGATAAACAGCAGAACTGCACCGTCAGACTGAGTCATGTGACACTGAAGGATTCACGCATGTACTATTTCAGATTCACCACTGATAGACCTGATGTGAAATGGATTGGTGAACCAGGAGTGACTCTTACTGTCACAGGTGACTTTGATGAGGTTTATCTCTTCTTCTGTGCATTATGTTGAATAATAATCAGTGTGTGACAGCAGCACTAGATATATAATGTGTGTGTTGTGTTCAGATCTTCAGGTGGAGTCTCCTGAGAGAGTGACAGAGGGAGATTCAGTCAGTCTGACATGTAAAAGCAGCTGCGCTCTGACTGACAGAGCAACATTCATCTGGTACAGAAACTCACTGAAGATATTAACTGAGAGTCAATTCAGGAACACACTCATCCTCAATCCAGTCAGAAGAGAGGATTCAGGCAGATATAGCTGTGCTGTAGACGGACACACACACGTCTCTCCTGATGTTCACCTCAATGTCACGTGTGAGTATGTTCTTTGAAGTTTTCTTTCTAAAGTTCACTCGTCCCTCCTTTTCTTTAAAAATTGAAGTAATTGGGGCTAATCTTTAAAATATTAATATACTCTCTGTTTAGTACAGCCAAAACACATGAACAATACATGTGTTTTTAACATTTTCTGTAGAATGAATCATTCAAGAGCCGAACATATAGCGCTTTCTTCAGTCACATCTAACAATTACGTTACTAACTTCAATTTGTCATATAATTAGGAATCACTAACTGACCTAGTTTGTAAGTAATCTAACAGCACTGAACACAAACACAGAAAAAATATATGTTTCTTAATACTTGACATGATCTTTTGACACAAGGATCCATGGATGTATGTTATTAATGCTAAATTCTGCACCTACAATCTGTGTGTAAGGATAGAAATAGAAGTGCTTTTTTGGGTTGACGGGTGATACTATATATTTCTCCTGTAGATCCTCCAGTGAAACCTGTGATCTCCATCAGTCCATCTGGTGTAATAGTGGAGGGAGATTCAGTGACTCTGAAGTGCATCAGTGACTCAAACCCTCCTGCAGGAATCCACTGGTTTAAAGGAGGAACGATTGTAGGATCTGGAAGAATCTTCAACATCTCAAAGATCAGATCTGATGACAGTGGAGAATACAAGTGCAAGTCCATCAATAAACATGGAGAGAAATACTCTGATACTGTGACTTTAAACGTCATGTGTGAGTTAATAATCACCATTGTTTAAAATTTCCAAACACATAATTTTGTAATAGTTTTTGTGAATTTTAATTTTTGTCTGTTTTAGATCCTCCCAGGAACGTCTCAGTGTCCATCATTCAGTCTGGTCAGATCTGGGCAGGAGATTCAGTGACTCTGAAGTGCATCAGTGACTCAAATCCTCCTGCTGTGAACTTCAGCTGGTTTAAGGAGAATGAAAGCTCAGCTGTTGGATCTGGACAGAGTTTCAGTGCACTACAGAGTGGACGCTTCTACTGTCAGGCTCACAATCAACATGGATCTCAGAGATCAGACGCTGTAACTGTCACAGGTGAAGCTTTTATTAACACACTCCTGTCTCAGTTTTTAGATTTAATTATGATATTCTCCCTCTTTCAGTTGGTCCTGTTGCTGGTTGGCTCGTCTGGTTGGGGATCACAGTGGCATGTGTAATCATCATCATCATCATCATCATCGTATTGTATAAAATGTATATAAAATAATCAACAGAGAGTAATATAATTAGCTTTTACTTAATGCAGAAGTGCAGAAATTAAGAAAATGATTATTAAATGATCGTTTTTTTTACAGTCAGAAGAAAAGGATAAACTGTAGATCTGCAATACACGAGTATGAGGTGAGATGGCCACAGAACCACAGAATGATAGTAATAAATCAATCACAGCTTCTCTGTTCATGTAGAATATATATATATATATATTTAAATATTAGCACACTCGAGATTTTACAGGATTTTATGTGGGAAGAAACACTGTGGAGTGATTACACTTTTGATTGTCATTGTAATAATTTATAATCTCTTACATTTATTACGGTGATGATTATGGTTGGGTATCGTTTGAATTTGAACGATTCTGATTCCGATTGCGATTCCTTGTTTCGATTCCGGTTCCTAACGATTCTCGATTCCGATTCTTTTAAGAGGCAGGGTCAAAAAATTTTAGCTAACCTTGCTAACCAACGGCCTTTCTGAAGGAAATAATCCTTCTGTAAAAATACTCCTTTTGTCACAAATTTTGCATTTTGCCGAGATTTCGTTATTTTTAGAAAAGTGAAGCCACACTTTGGATCGCCGACGTAAGGTACTCATGTTCGACTCGCGTGGTTATGCCAACACTTCCGGTAGACGCTTCTTTGTTGGTGTTGTTCAGCGGCTTCTTCTTCCGCTCGGCGGACTGTGAATATCGAAACTAGGAACCGAAATTTTAACTTTTGAACGATTCCGGGAAAAACGAAAAGTTAGTCTCGGTTCCAATCGATACTCGATTCTCGATACCCAACCCTAGTGATGATCCTTTTCTCTGTTTCCCTGTAGAACGATCCCAGAACTGATCCAAGAACTGATCCCAGAACTGATCCTAGAACTAATCCTAGAACTGATCCCAGAACTGATCCTAGAACTGATCCCAGAACTGATCCCAGTGAAGGCACATATACATCTCTTGATCTCAAGACCAGATCATCTGACCTGTACGACACACTCACAGTAAGAGAAATATCTGAATCTACACGTGCTAAAGAGTTGCAGTCTAGATCATTAACCCTCTAAGACCGACGGGAGCGCCAGCGCTCCGGTTTGTGTGTGTCTGTTTAAGAGCTTATAGAAACTGAAATTATATGGCTAGCTCAATCATTCTTTTTCAGAGATGTAACATGTTCATATAAAGCCTCAAACATGCTCATGTTGCGTTGTTTTCATCCTCTAATGAGTCTGTACAAATTGCGTAAAATGCGTTTCACAAAAAAATCACAAAAATGCATTGCACGTCTTTCCACACATGATCTGTAGATCTGCGATTGATAGTTACGTCTTCCGATGGCGCATTGTTCGTTATCACGTTCTGTGCACTATGACCCCAGCGTGTGTCGCATATTGTGACGTCAAAAGCTGCGTCATTTGACCATGCGTTTGACTCCTATTTGACTCCCATCTGCTTTATGTTCCTTCTTATCGTTATTGTCTTTTTACCATTGCTTCTTTCTATCATTTCCTTCTCGTTTACACACTCGCAAATACAAGCACATTCACACACACAACACGCAACGTTATGTCTAAACGAAAGTACACGGACGCGGAGGTTTTGGAAATACGTCTGCTCATCGGCTTTATTTATTTATTTTATATTTATTTTATTAGTAATTTTGACAGGGTCTATTTATTTTATATTTTAACCAATTCAATGTTCAATCAATATTCAAAAGCAAAATGTTGACCACAAATTTAATTGAATATTTTACATTTTTACCCCTTTTTTTTAGTTTGAATGAGTGTATCTTAAAAACTCATTTATGTAAAGAGTTCAAATCAATTGTGTATAGTTTTAAATTGTTTTATGCACGTTTTTCACATTGACAAGTTTCAGGTTGACATTTATCCATTTTTTGTATTGAATAAAATATGCATATATTTTTTTTTAAATTGTTTTTCTTTTTGTTTATTGCACTTTTTATATATTTATCTAGTTACTATTGATTTATTACAAACATAGCCTTCAATTTGGGAAAGTAAGGATTATTTTGATGTATGACATATGAAAATGCTCAAAAGAATGGCATATAAAAAGAGAAAGATATACTCTGGTGAGATTGTTCTATGGCAGGTCATAAAGGGTTAATAATCAATGTGTTTTTCCCATAGATTGTCCATCCCAGACCTGCTGTTCACCAGTCGGGCTTATCTGGATATGAGAATCTGTCAATTTAATCTGTAAGTCTTCCTAATTTCATCAAAAAATAAAGAAAATGTCCTCGGTAGTCAATTAACTAGTCAAAACAGTCTTTTCTCAGATTATTTTTTAGGTCTTGTAGTGTTGATTTATGTAAATGTGTGTCTTATTTCTGTTGAAGCCACAGCAAGACGCCGCAGTGAGATGAAGCTCAAGCTAAACTTTACTGTCCCATCGCTGGACACTTCCACATCACAACTACCAGTGAAAACGAAACATCTTCAGGATTTACCTTTTGCACAAAGTAATGGATTATATTCATGTGACATTAATAACAGTCAATGTGTAATTAATAAATTAATTTCGAGTCTTTAATATGTTATACATTTTATCTGTGTATTTAAGGTCCATGCGACAGATTTTTCTCTTTAATTGTTTTCAAATAAAACATGTATGAAAAATGTATGAAAATTCAATATTTTGTTTTGAATCTGTGCTTTAGAGTTAATATCAGCACTGGCCAAGTCACGTGATTTCAGCAAACGTGGCTTCGTTGGGTCATAATGTCAAACGAAATTTGATGATAAAACGGTTCACAACTTTTTTTTGTTCTTGCCCCCTTTAATCCTTTGAAAAAGATATTGTGCCTCCACCTCAGACTACCATATAAGTTCACCAAAAATTATGGAAATTGAAAGATTTGCAAATGAAAAATATATGCAACGAGAAAAAACAGCAATAGTTTAAATATCATACCTGAGAAACTGATGGAGGAGACGGTTCTCATGACTGTCGACTTCAACATCGACTCCCACTACCTGTTCTCACACTACATACTAGATAGAGATTGTGTGTGTGTGTGTTTATAGAGTTACACTTCCCTAATGCACATGGATAAACACAAACGCAGTGTCAGAAGAATAAACCTCTCCCTCTTCAGGCCAGTGGAGGGAAAGTCTGGCCATCCTCAATGTTACACCATCCAACCATCATATTCTTTCATTATTTCTTTATTTCATTCATTCATTCATCCATTCAAATATTCATCAATCCAAACATCCATCCATCCCTATATTCATCCATCTATCATGTTGTTTCCTGATTCTTCTGTAAGGAAAGGCAATTGAATGTTCCTGCCTGAAGGAGCTGTAAAATATTACTGAACATAAAAACATACACAGTTTGATCTTATTTTTTAAACACCATCTTTAAAAATGAAGAACTACTTGTCTTAAAGAAAGAAAAACATTTACATTTGCGACTTACAATTACTGTATGTCAGAGGTCGTACGCCTCTGGAGCAACTAGGGGTTAAGTGTCTTGCTCATTGGTGTCTCACAGTGGATTCGAACCCGTGTATCTCACACCAAAGGCATGTGTCTTATCCACTGCGCCATCACCACCCCAAGACACTTTCATGAAGCTGTAAAACACCATCTAATGACGGTGACAGGAAAGTTTCCCTTCACACTGAAGTATTCGTTTGATATCTGTAAGATCTGTAGTCATTCATTTAGATGTTTTTTAACCAATCTTTTTGAGAGAGTGTTTTTTCTTTTTGCAAGAGGTTTCATGTGGGTTGTTTCTGTCTCAACATGGGCCGTTGCTTAAATAGACTTTAAAAAGAGGAAGGAAAAAAAAATCTAAATAGCAGAAGAAATTTTTCATCTTGCATTTGTACTTCACTCTCCTGGAGTGTAACTTACAGCGGCTGAAACTACAAAACGGTAAGAGTTACTCTCGTTCAGTCATTAATATTGTCTAAATAATGAATCTCCACAGAATATTGAAGGGAGAAACATTTTCTATCATAATAACCTCTGAACATCCGGAGCTCATGTGTTCCTAACGTTGTCTTTAAATGAGTTTCAATTGTGGAAATCCACTACAGTAAAGATATTTTTCAATCATTTTTGCACTGTTTATAATCTAATACACTGCTGTTATTGTAGTTTTCATGAAACAAAAGCTGACATGTTGTACTGTTGTGTAAATGATTCAGTTTGCTGTGGTGATGTCCCTGATAACTCTTGCTCTGGTGTTTCTGCTCCTGATTCCAGGTCAGTCTCTTCTGTAAATGACACACAAGTTAATTACTAACTAAGAGTGAAAGGTTTTGGCTAGTTAGCATGGATCAGTAAGCACTGCTGCTAGCCTCAGGAAAAATATGACTAGTAAAATATCTACTATAACGTAGGGAAATTTCTATGATTCATTTGTTGCTTCCAAACAAAATTGCATCATTCAGGTTTTTGCTGATATAATGCGAACTGCTGAAGCTGCTAACATTTACAGCGTGACGTTGTTCAGAGTTAGTGTTCAATGTTCTGCTTCCTGCATTTCATCACCGCCTGTCTGATGTCTGTAGACACAGATCAAATCATATGTGATTCAAAACTTTTAATTAAACTGTATGGTCCTGTTTAACTCATAGATGGACATTTGTTTCCTTCTTCTGTTGTTTCCTATCCTTGTTTCCTTGTAAATGTAATGTTTCAGGAGTTTGTAGTCAGTGGGGTGGTTGGGGTGTGAGTTACAGTCCTCCACACATCTGTGCACTAAAGGACTCAACAGTGATAATGAGATGCACTTATACATACCCTACTGGACATAAGATCATGAAAGTGTTCTGGATAAAAACACTGGTAAAAGATGATGACGAGTTTCCAGATCTGTCTAATGATCCTGAATACAGTCAGAGGCTTCAGTATCTGGGAGATAAACAGCAGAACTGCACCGTCAGACTGAGTCATGTGACACTGAAGGATTCACACATGTACTATTTCAAATTCACCACTGATCAAGACAAATGGATTGGTAATCCAGGAGTGACTCTTACTGTCACAGGTGACTTTGATGAGGTTTATCTCTTCTTCTGTGCATTATATTGAATAATAATCAGTGTGTGACAGCAGCACTAGATATAATGTGTGTGTTGTGTTCAGATCTTCAGGTGGAGTCTCCTGAGAGAGTGACAGAGGGAGATTCAGTCAGTCTGACATGTAAAAGCAGCTGCGCTCTGACTGACAGAGCAACATTCATCTGGTACAGAAACTCACTGAAGATATTAACTGAGAGTAAATTCAGGAACACACTCATCCTCAATCCAGTCAGAAGAGAGGATTCAGGCAGATATAGCTGTGCTGTAGACGGACACACACACGTCTCTCCTGATGTTCACCTCAATGTCATGTGTGAGTGCAGATTAATTTAATCTTTTAAAAAACTGGAGATTGAGTTTGAATGAAATGATTTGAGGTTTTAATTTTTGTCTGTTTTAGATCCTCCCAGGAGCGTCTCAGTGTTGATAAATGGATCTGGTGTAATAGTGGAGGGAGATTCAGTGACTCTGAAGTGCACCAGTGACTCAAACCCTCCTGCTGTGAACTTCAGCTGGTTTAAGGAGAATGAAAGCTCAGCTGTTGGATCTGGACAGAGTTTCAGTGCACTACAGAGTGGACGCTTCTACTGTCAGGCTCACAATCAACATGGATCTCAGAGATCAGACGCTGTAACTGTCACAGGTGAAGCTTTTATTAACACACTCCAGTCTCAGTTTTTAGATTTAATTATGATATTCTCCCTCTTTCAGTTGGTCCTGTTGCTGGTTGGCTCGTCTGGTTGGGGATCACAGTGGCATGTGCAATCATCATCATCATCATCATCATCATACTGTATGAAATGTAAATATAAAATAAACAGAGAGTAACATAATTAGCTTTTACTTAATGCAGAATTGCAGAAATTAAGAAAATGATTATTAAATGAAACATGAAATGGCATTTTTCCATTCGTTTTTTTTAACAGTCAGAAGAAAAGGATAAACTGTAGATCTGCAACAGACGAGTATGAGGTGAGATGGCCACAGAACCACAGAATGATAGTAATAATAATAAATCAATCACAGCACTGTGGAGTGATTACTCTTTTGATTGTCATTATAACAATTTATAATCTTTTACATTTATTACGGTGATGATCCTTTTCTCTGTTTCCCTGTAGAACGATCCCAGAACTGATCCCAGAACTGATCCCAGAACTCATCCCAGAACTGATCCCAGAACTGATCCCAGTGAAGGCACATATACATCTCTTGATCTCAACACCAGATCATCTGACCTGTACGACACACTCACAGTAAGAGAAATATCTGAATCTACACGTGCTAAAGAGTTGCAGTCAAAAGTCAGATCATTAACAATCAATGTGTTTTTGCCATAGACTGTCCATCCCAGACCTGCTGTTCACCAGTCGGGCTCTTCTGGATATGAGAATCTGTCAATTTAATCTGTAAGTCTTCCTAATTTCATCAAAAAATAAAGACAATGACCTCGGTAGTCAATTAACTAGTCAATATACTAAACAGTCTTTTCTCAGTTTATTTGTAGGATTTGTAGTGTTGATTTATGTAAATGTGTGTCTTATTTCTGTTGAAGCCTCAGCAAGACGCCGCAGTGAGATGAAGCTCAAGCTAAACTTTACTGTCCCATCGCTGGACACTTCCACATCACAACTACCAGTGAAAACGAAACATCTTCAGGGTTTACATTCTACACAAAGTAATGGATTATATTCATGTGACATTAATAAAAGTCAATGTGTAATTAATAAATTAATTTCGAGTCTTTAATATGTTATACATTTTATCTGTGTATTTAAGGTCCATGCGACAGATTTTTCTCTTTAATTGTTTTCAAATAAAACATTAAATGATAAAAAAAATGTATGAAAATTCAATATTTTGTTTTGAATCTGTGCTTTAGAGTGCATATCAGCACTGGCCAAGTCACGTGATTTCAGCAAACGCGGCTTCGTTGGGTCATAATGTCAAACGAAATTTGATAATAAAACGGTTCACAACTTTTTTTTGTTCTTGCCCCCTTTAATCCTTTGAAAAAGATATTGTGCCTCCACCTCAGACTACCATATAAGTTCACCAAAAATTATGAAAATTGAAACATTTGCAACTGAAAAATATATGCAACGAGAAAAAACAGCAATAGTTTAAATATCATACCTGAGAAACTGATGGAGGAGACGGTTCTCATGACTGTCGACTTCAACATCGACTCCCACTACCTGTTCTCACACTACATACTAGATAGAGATTGTGTGTGTGTGTTTATAGAGTTACACTTCCCTAATGCGCATGGATAAACACAAACACAGTGTCAGAAGAATAAACCTCTCCCTCTTCAGGCCAGTGGAGGGAAAGTCTGGCCATCTGTAGTGAAGTTTTTCTTCTTCCACGCAACAGACCAGGAGACTCTTGAGGTATCTTTCACGCAGAAGTTCTTTATTGCGTAGCTGTAGTCATCTCAAAGATAGTCTAAGATAGTCTAACTAAGGGAAAATATTCCCTTACAATTTATACATTTAGAGGGGAGGAGTTTACATTGAGGGGGGAGAAACTGAAACAAAAGTAAATGTATATGATTCAACAGATTACCAGAGACGCTAATCTAATCAGTCTGACCAGCGTGGTCACACTTTTACCATTACAAAAGCAAAGCTGAATCTTGAACTTAATGGCCAGGAAGCGCATAAAGACAAAAGCTAATGTGTGACACCTGGAATGCTTGGCTTAATCTTATTGGCCTCAAAATGGTAAACACTGTATACATTTTTCAGTTCAAAATACTGTTAAATAAATTTGTATTTCTTCAGTCCCCCCTTTTGAGAGTATTAATAACTCTCACATTATGTACAAATTTAAACACTTAAGAAAGTTCATTCATGTAACTTGTGCTAGTTACAGGCACATACTCATGTTCTGTGTTTGCTTTTTCTGTAATTACATGCTGACACGGAAAACAAACATGCAATTAGGGTCCGTGAAGCTCTTACGGAAAAATTAAACTTCAGTTACATCTGGTGTAATTTTTGCTGAAAGATCAAGACTGTTTAACCATCATGTTTGTGCACAAGAGAGTCAATGCAGCCATCTTCGGCTGTGGCCTGCAAGGTTTCCAGCAAAAACGAGGATTGTGGAGTATTCACTTTGTGCGATGTCCTGGTGGTTACTACATCTTGATAATGTTGATGGATGACTGAAGGTTCCGAAAGTCTTTTCTCTGCGTTGTGTATTTTTCTTCTTTACTTTGGTGATAGTTGGCTCGGCAGTGGGTCTCATTGTTCTCTGGAAGTGGTGTCTTCATACGCAGGTGAAGACGTCTGTCCGTATGGGTCTCGGGATAGCCATCAAGTGGTATCTGCACAGAGGAAAAAGAAAACAAGAGAGCAGTATTTCTTCAAAGACAAGGGTTGTATCCTGCTGAGTAAACACTGAGTCTGCTATTGTTCCCTCTTTCCCTATTCCTTAATTCTTGACACCTAAAGAAAACAGTGAGGTGAGGATGGACTAAATGGATGGGGGAAACCTATGAGGGAGTCTTCACCGAAAGGGTTGGCCCCCAAAGCCTGTTGCATTTGGTTCTTCCCTTGGCTCCTCACTGGTTCGTGTCAATATCATGTCCCTGTGGGTGGCAGAACTTTGCAGAACACTTTGCAATGTGACAGAACCCTTTTCAATGTGACACATAATACCAAGCTTTTTCTTCCTTGACACAATACTGCCTATCAACATTACTTGATGGGGCACATGCCACTTAGGCTCTAATGGCTTGACCTGTCCTGTGACATGTGTACTTTGATCTGCATAACCCAATTATGAGTTATTTTTCCTTTATCCTCTAACAAAACATCAGTCGTTGTAGACATCATACGTGAGAATGGGTGAGGGTAGTTAAACCAATTTCCCCAATGGGAAAAGGTGACAAAATTGACTTTTGCTTCATTCATTATTGCGGACACTGCATGAGGGCATGTACATTTACAGTCTGACCTAACACTATTATTGATGAAAGGCCTGTGCTGTAGAATAACATTTAAGGCTGTGAGTTTACTTAAAGCAGTCCCCCAAAGGAAAAGCTGAGACAGTCACTTTCCTTTTGTTCCGTTAAACAAACATAAGTTTTTTATCTCTGTTGTAAGTTACTGGGGAAATTAAGCACTCACAGTCCAAATGGTTAACACATCAATAAGCTGCCCCACCCGTTTAAAGACGTGGGGAATGGCGGCTTCAGAGTAGCAAGCAAACTGAGAAGTTGGGCAAAAAGGTTGACTTCGTTAACGTTCTTTCTGCTTTTTCTACACTCTCTGCTCCAATGTCCTGGCTGACCACAGTAATAACACCTGCCCTCTCTCTTAGGACATTTACGTTTCTGTGGGTTTTCTGTGCTGACCTTAAAAGAGGCTGCTGCAATTTGTACTCTTGCCTTAACATCAAAATCTCTTTCCCAAGCAGTTAACCTGTCCAGGTTACTTCTAAGAGTTCTGTGAGACCAAGTCAGATCCAAAAATGGCAAAGCTCTTCTGTAGTCAGCTATAAGGCCATCTGACCAGATGCGGACCAGCGGTCCTTTGTCATTGAGTACACTTTCAGAATCATCCACTATTCCACTGTACGTTACAGCTGACTGACAAAACCTCTCAGTATATTCATTCACAGTTTCTTCTTTCTTTTGTACACAGTTAGTAATTCTAGACCAATCTATCTTGGGTCCTAGGATATTCTTTAGGATTTTCAGAACACCTTCTCTTGATTCATCTTTTCTGGCATGTTGCAGTTCAGAAGTAACAGCAGACTCAAAACTGTTGAATTCAGATTCAGTTAGAATTTGAGACATTAACTGTGTGACTTCTGTTAACGACATGTCGTAGAGACGCATTTTGCTGACCAATGCTCTTCTAAATTCAGTGAACTGTGTGCGTGCTGGCGGTAAACTCTGGGACAATCTCTCTATGTCTCTAGGTCCGAGCGTTGTAGCAACAGTTTGGATTTGAACAACAGAAGCACTGGAAGGGACACTTTCTGACTGTTCAATTCCCTGCTGTCTTTTTCTAGCAGCACACACCTTCACTGAATTTACATGCTTATCTGTTACTGATGGGATGTCTACATCTCTTTCAAACAATGCTTGTAAGTCAGGAAAAGTTTCATCTGACTGTTGGTCTTCAGTGTTACATTTGGCTGAGGCCTGGTTATGGTCCACCTTTGTCTTGAAACAGGACAATTGAGTCTGCAATTGTTTGTTCTGTTCATTTAACTTAGCAATACACCTAGCTTGCTCTTGTGCAATGGATAAACTGTATTCTTTGTAACAACAGATAATAGCTTTCATATTGTTCTTGCGAATACTTGCTCCAAGCACTTTTTTACAATCTTCCATCGACCATACTTTTTCTGGGTGAATGCCAAATTTCTTTGTCAAATTCAATCGGACTGACTTAGTCACTATGGAGTCCATGTGCTCTCCTAACAATGACTTAAATTCACTATCTGACCACAATGG